CCCCACCTTTCTTGACACCCATATCCTACCTATAAACATCCACACACCATATGCTATCCTATATACTCGTCTCTATCACATCTTCTTGGTTTTCTAACGTTATATTTGAATATATATTCATCATTTATATTTGTCTAACGCAAAATCATATTAAACAATAGAAAAGATAACAATTTTAATACTAATACTCTTTTCTTTTGATATCACATTTTATGATTGACAGGTTTTGTTTCAAATTCACTCTTGATGTAATCAAACGCATCACTAAGTTTACCAGTTATAGGAAATAGAAGTTTGCCAAGGAATATCTGCTCTTCTTAAAATATATTTGGAATTACAGTTTCACCAATAGTAAAGTTTATTCTGCTAGGTATACCTGATCTGATGGAAAATGATCTACATTTTGCTGGTTTTAATCTCATTCCCATACTTTCAATCTTGGTGTTGAATCAAACTTCAAACTAGAAATCCATTATCAAGCCTATATGCTATTCTATTCACTTCTCTATACCAATCTAGATCACATCTTGGGTGTCTTATTTTATATTTAAATCATACTTCAAACTAAAATCCATTATCAAGCCTATGTGCTATTCTATACACTTCTCTATACCATTCTAGATCACTTCCTGGGTGTCTTATTTCATATCTGAGTCAAACTTCAAACTAGAATCCATTATCAAGACTATATCCTATTCTATACACTTCTCTATACCATTCTAGATCACTTCCTGGGTGTCTTATTTCATATCTGAGTCATACTTCAAACTAGAATCCATTATCAAGAACGAGCGTACTTTGCTTTACTTTTTTTCTCTTAGAAAAAAAATAATGCAGTTTCATAAAAGCAAACTTTAAAAGAATACAGTTTTTAAATGTTTGAAGTTGTATTACAAGTTTTTAAAAACCGAACCAAAACGATGACGAACCCTACATGTAGGATTTCTTAAACTTTTTCGCGAAGTTTTGCATCTTGTCGCGAAAATTAATTTTGCTAAAATAGGAGAAAAAGATGCGAAATTTCGTAACAAAAAACATGCGACACTTTCGTGAAAATTTACTAAATTTTCTCAATACAAAAATAGGAAATTTTCCACACGAAAAAAAAACGAAATTTTTGCATTTCTTGTTTTTTTTCGCAAAAAATTTCGTGGAACAATTTTCCCATTTCGCTGGAAACTATATGTTAGTTTATTTCACTGCTCCCTTAATCTAACGTGTGCTATCTAATTGAGACCTAGAGCTCGTGAGATGAAGTATAAACAGAAGATGATTATCTATATCCTTGGGTTAGAGTTCTTCTAAACAGGATATGGAGATCATAGAGTTTATTTCAACTGTGGAGGGGAGTCCAGAAACACCCCCGCCCCCTCCCCCTCCCCATTCTCCTGATGCAAAATAATGGACTGTTCCAGTATTTCCATTTTATGTAATACTAGCTAAAGGGCCCGGCATTGCCCGTGGAAATTTTTTTTTTAATTTTGAAAAAAAATCGATTTTTTAGCCTATAACTCCACCGGCCACCCATGAGTGTCCACAAAATTCAGCTCAATCGGTCCAGCCGTTTTGCCGGCTATACGCAATCAAGTTATAGTATGTAGTGTAAAAACTTTCTGCAATAAATGATTTCACAATTTTTATTTGTATGTGAAAACGTTAGGTTTAAAACCATTTCAAACATAATTTTAAGAACAGAGGAAATTATCTTTTTCTTCTTTTATTAAGTTAACAATTTTCATCAACATATCTAAGAGCTAAAAATAATAAAATATAGTGACGAATTGAAATTAAAGATATAATTTGCTGTTTTATATAAAATTCGAATTTTAGAAAACTTAATATGCTTTATGTCGAGTTTTTACAGGCATTTGCATCCTTTTTGATGCTATTTTCATTGTACTGAAGATAATATTCGGCTATTTTTTCAAGTTTTTTTCTGTAATATACATTCATTCATTCATTTATGGTTTCTAGCCTTTCATTCAAAGCATTTACCACAAAGAAAATATTGAAAGTCAATTTGTTGTTATTATGCAAATACATAATATTTCTTTGATAGCTTGTAAAAAGAATGTTTTAAAGCAAACAAAATATCTATTTAAAATAAGATGAAGTATCATATGACGTTAAAAATCAGGTCTTAATGGGTCTGTAAACGAGAAATGAAATGAGGTATAGGTTGAAACCAAAGTATCTAGTATCTAGCTATACGCAACATATATATGAATGTCTTGTTTTATTATATAGATTTGTCTAAACATAGTTTAAACCTTTAAACCAAAGTAAAATATTAAAATGAAAATGTCAAGAAAAGGGTTCGTGACAATAATACAATCATAAGTATTTTCACATTTTTAGTTTATATTAATGGCTTCACGAGTTTAACAAACAACTAAATAGAAAAATAACTTATTATTTTCTACAGTGGGACTCATAATACTTCAGAATAGGAAGACATAAATAAAGCAAGCTTTTTGTATTTGGTGATAAATTAAACAACGAGTTTCATATTTAGTCTGAAAGTCAGCACTCAGTAGTCTGAAAGTCAACACTCAGTAGTCTGAAAATCAACACTCAGTAGTCTGAAAGTCAACACTCAGTAGTCTGAAAGTCAACAGTCAGAACTCTGAAAGTCAAAACTTACTAAATCGATGAACGAAAGTAATATCGTTTGTTATACATTTGTTTTTCTTCTAAAGATATGGCTGTGAAAAACAGAAAATATCACCACAGAAGGAAAATAATTATTAAATTAAGAATAAACGAGGGCCGGGGGGCGGGGAGCTAAAAAATATACACCTTTATTCATTCGTTCTACCGTCATACGAATGTAAGATTTAAATGTATGTTTTATGTGTTAAAATTTGATCGATTTTTTAACAACCCCTAGTGAGTGCGCGCTGTGTTCAAGATTGAATACATACACTATTATATCATATATGTATTGTTATAACTCTGCAATAGATAAGAATATATTTGAATGTTTACTTAGTTACTTAAACCTTCTATAGTTTACTTCAGTTGAAGTAGTGACATGTTGACTGTAACTGCAGTCTAAGAGATTGTTCGCCGGACAACATATTGTTCAATCTATAAAATAATAATTAAGCTATTATTAATTTAAAAGAAATTAAGGTTGAGAATAATGTGGTTATTTCTGTCAAATTGTTCGGGTTTTCTTGGAAATTTATTAATACTTTCCGTTTGTAATATTTAGTTAGAATAAAAATTATAACTTCTACATCCTATTCTTTTTTAATCATATGATACAGGGAATTATGCGAGAATTAATTAGGTTTTAAGTGTAATTCAAATTGGAACAATCTCTCTAAGAAATGTAAATTCTCGTGGTCCCTTAAAGGGAGTGACCGGCAATGTATGGTGTTGAACTGAGAATGTAGTATTGTGGAGAAATTTTTTAGGATTCAATTGAGACATATAAAACGTTTTAATGATGAATGATTACTGAGTTTGAACGTAAAGTCGACGTTCAAAATCATCCATTTGTTTGGTTACCGGGGGTATGATAGTTCTGTACCTGTGTGCTCAGTTAGCTGTACTGTATAACAATAACTAATAACTACAACTGTTTAACAATATTGATATAGTATAGGTTAGGCCAGAATCAACTTATAATAAACAAATATGCAGTACGCTATCGGTATAGTTTATAGCCTATAAAAGTAGTAAAGGATTAGCGTACATCATCACTCTTTACACTATAACCTCGTTGGTGGTTACGTTTTGAGAATCGATATTTTTAAATGATTAAATAACGACGACAAAAATGTAAAAAAAAATTCTACAGTAAACTAATTTCATATTTAATATTTTTTATTCAACTACAAAGCACGAGATAATACAAATAAAAAATCACAATTTACTATGTAGTTTGGACCCGCCTAACCAGAGTAGGTTGTTTTAATTGGTTCGCCCACTATAAACGAATGAGAATTGCAGATAAAAACAATGTACATTGTACATTTTAAACATAAGAGCGATGATAAATCAGGAAAATGGTAAGGAGGAGGTGAGGGAGTATAAGGGAAAGGGAGGATACTCTGCGTAAGGGTTGGAACAAAGGGTAACATAAGTTATTAAAATCATGTTTATGAAATACAGGGTGATGAAGATAGTAAAAACTAAGCTTATCCACATGATACACAGTTTGTTTTTTTACAGATATAATTTGCATAACTATCTAGATAGATCTTGGCGACTTTTCTTTTAAACGATTTTGCAGATTTAGTTTCTTTTAGCTCTAATTCAATCGAGTTCCATATTTTTGGAAATATAGCAGAGGGAAAACATTCTAGAGTTTTAAAGAGAACCCGTTCAAGTTTAATAAATTGTTTAGGAACAGGTTGAGAAAATAATGATTAATTCTTAGAATTTAAATTAAGTAATCTTATTCAGTTACTAGTTTCTGTAATCTCTTATTTTTCACAAACATTTTCTGTAGATTTTCTTGAATTTTTAATGAAAAGGCGACATTTGAAGAATTTGTAGAAATTTGCGAACAAATTCGTAAAGTATAAGAAATTCAATATATAATGATGAAAAAGAAAAAAATGATTCTAAAATTAATTAATTGACAAATTTCTATTGAGGAATATGTTCCTAAACATCTAATTAGTTTACTGTAGAATTGTTAATACATTTTTCATAGTCGTTGTTAAATATTTTTTTTAATCAATTCTCGAAACGTAACCACCCAAATGGCTGATTTTAAAAGTCGACTTTGATTTCAAAATCACTAGTTATACATCATTAAAACGTTTTATGTGTCTCAAATGAACCCTAAAAATGTCCCCACAAGACTACATTCTCAGTTCAACTACCAAACATTGCCGGTCACTCCCCTTAAAAAAAATAATTTTAGAAGAAAAGACGACATTACAATGGATGTATTCGTCTAATTTGTTTTATTGCAAATAAACAAGGAGCACAGTCTCAGGTATTGCAGTACAATTTCGAACAGTGCAGTACTATTGTTGTTAATCGTTTGATTTGAGAAAACTTACGACATTTCAAAACAGCGTTCATTTTTGCATTGTTTTTGGATTTTTTGGGGTCGTTTCTTCGCATTTAGTTTAAGAAAAGCAATTGTTTAAAATAAACTGAAAAACATTTTTTTCTTTTCTTACACTATGTTAAATTTTGACCATGAAAGGCAAAACATAACCCAGAAACGAACCAACTGAAAGCAAATCATGAAGTGCTGTAAAATACAGTGCAGATTCAGCAAACCAAGTTTTTAAAGATTTTAAGTGGTTGAAGTTTCTTTTAATTATGTTTTAAATCTATTTCAGAATGCTTCAAAACCTTTTAAATCTACAGTTGATAGATTGTCCCATAGTTTGTGTTTAAAATCCGAAAAAAATACTATATTGAAAGTATTATAAATCCTCCTCGTTTGAGGTAGAGAATTTCTCCAAACAATTTTTTTTCATTTTGCCTTGCCATAAACCCACAACATGGTTTATACTATTTTCTAAGTTTAAACTCTGTAAATCTGACTCTAGCTATGGTGAAAGAAACCCCGAAATTGGCAGCAATTTTGTATTCAACAAACGATATTTGCAAACAATATTTAATATTCCATGACGTTTTAATTTTTCTGGTCTCGTCCTTTTTATAGACCAATTTCACAGCGGGTGGAGTGGGGGGGGGGTGGGTAACGTTAAATAGAGATATTTAGCAAATATTTAGAAAATCAGATATTGGATACTTTTATAATCAGATTTTTAGTTTTATCTTTCAATCAAACATTTTGTGATTTCGTTCTTTTTATTCAAACAAATTGTAATTCTAGGATTTAAGGATGGTTTCAACAACAAGAGTTTTTAAAAACAAAAAATGTGCAGGTAATAAGATTATAGTAAAATCAGTGAAATTAAAAAAATTAAATAACAAAATTGATAATAATAATTTTAATAATAATAATACTAATAATAATAATTAAGGAGTAACTATAAACTATGTTCACCTTTTTTTTGGTTCTCGTATTAACATGACTAGACTGAGCAACATAAACCGAATTCAAACCATTATCCGCATCATCATCATCCCAAGCATAATCTATCTTATCATCCAAATCATCTTCTGTTTCTTGTTTTTCATCTATTTCGATCAAAAGATCGGAGATCGAATCATTTGATAATTCATCTTCTCCTCTGTGTATATTTCTCCCTTCTCTAATTTTATGAATGTTTAAATCAATATCATAAGCATCTGCCATTCTTTCGGCTTCCATTGAATCTTCTCTAATTTCCTCATTCAGAATATTGGTCTTCTGCTGATTCTCTGAGGTTCCTTTTTCTTCCAATGCCTTAAAAGTTAAAGAATTGTTCACTTTATTTCACATGACTCAGTGACCGGAAAAGTTAAGTTGCGAGAATGTTATTAATGGATTTAAGTTTTGCCTTGTTTCCTCAGACACCTTCTTGCTGGGCACTCCTTGTAGGAGTGCAATACCATTTTAGAATGTTTCTGAGACACTTTCCAAAGTAAAATGGGACAAATCTCGGCTGAGCTTTATAAATACAAAAATCTCTTTCTAGAAAACCACTGTTTTAAAAGTTAGGAACTTGGATCTACCGAAATGTCGACTAAAAAATTGAGTCTTTGCCACAAACTCTGATTTTCTAATTTCAGCGTTTTTGAAACTCGATGTCATAAACTGTTGATATTTCAAATTTTGAATTCTGTGGCATCAAATAATTTAAGTTTGAAATATCAAAGGTTTACACCATTAGGTTACAAAGATAAAGGAATGAGAAAATCAGAGTTTGTGGCAACAACTTAATTCTTTTGACAATCTCTTTGAAGAATTAATATAAATAAATATTAAATATTAGTTGAAGGGTAAATTCTTCAAAGATGCAGTGAAACACAGAAAACTGTTGAAAAGGAAGACGACTATTATGCACTCGTTTTGATTCTAACTAGTCCATGAAGATCATAAACACAACAATTGTTAAGTGTGATCTATAATTAATAATAATGAAAATAATAATTGTATATATATAGTTGTCCATGAAATCTGTATATATTGTTGTCCTTGAAATCTGTATATACAGTTGTCCATGAAATCTGTATATATGTTGTCCTTGAAATCTGTATATATATATAGTTGTCCTTGAAATCTGTATATATAGTTGTCCTTGAAATCTGTACATATAGTTGTCCATGAAATTTGTATATATGTTGTCCTTGAAATCTGTATATACAGTTGTCCATGAAATCTGTATTAATGTTGTCCTTGAAATCTGTATATACAGTTGTCCATAAAATCTGTATATTTAGTTGTCCATGAAATCTGTATATATAGTTGTCCTTGAAATCTGTATATATAGTTGTCCATGAAATCTGTATATATAGTTGTCCATGAAATCTGTATATATGTTGTCCATGAAATCTTGTATATATGTTGTCCATGAAATCTTGTATATAGTTGTCCATGAAATATGTATATATAGTTGTCCATGAAATCTGTATATATGTTGTCCATGAAATCTGTATATATAGTTGTCCATGAAATCTTGTATATAGTTCTCCATGAATTCGTATTTATTTTATCTGCCAAAAGAATTATAATATAAAGATAGTTATTTCCAAAGACTTTGCTAATTATAAAGAGGAGGTGTTGGAACTTTATCCGACTATTGTGTACACCTGTACAGCTGTATTTTGACGTCATTGGTTATTTTGGTTGTTTCAGAGTCTAACGATCGACATTAAAACCTTAGATATTTAACACAATTGTGAATGTTTTGTGCTAAAAGTTAACTAAAATTAACGATATTAATTTGTATTCTAAAATTTATTTAATCATTTGTTAGATATGAGACACAAGACGGATGAAAGGAAAGTTAATTGCAGTTGCGTGTATACTCTGCGTACATATTAAAAACCAGTTCTCTCTGGGCGGAATTTGTAAACAAGTATAGATGTATCAGTGTTCGTTTTGTATCCGAGGAGGTTAAAGCATTCAATTTTGAAAATTTTGATAATTCACATAATATTTTCCTATGACTAGAATATTTCATAAATTTTTTATTTGAAAGATGTATCCCATGTCAGGCTGTGACATCCGTCTTGTGTTTACATTACCGCCCAGAGACAGCTCGATGCAGTACAAAAGATGTGTAAACCTCTGAAATAACTTTCCTTGCATTATAACCTTGGATGTCACAGCCTGACATGGGATCCATTTTCGCATAAAAAATCAATGAAATTATCTGGTCATAGGAAACAATTACGTGAATTATCAAAATTATCAAAATTAAATGCTTTTATCCTCTTCGCAGATACTAGAAGAACACTGATGCATATATTCTTGTTTACAAACACCGCCCAGAGAGAACTGGTTTCAATATGTACGCAAAGAATGCGCAACAACAATTAACTTTCCCTGCCTTATTACCTTGTGAATTATGATATTTGTTTAGGTCTGTTGTTGTTTATTTTTGTTCTGTTAACGTCCAGCAGAATATGGTATTCTGTACTGCATGAGTCCAAAAATCCATGTACTGCGTGTACTGCACCGTGTACACTTGAATACATAAACTCAATAGAAGATCTGGAACAATATACACAAGGTAATTTCAACCCCTAATAATTAAGGCAGACGCTGAACTCCAACCTTCGTGTGTGCGAGGTGGGGAAGACTTCACTGCAGATTTTACTTTTGTACATGACCACTTTTTCAACAATTTTCAATTAAATTAGTATTTATTTAGGGTTAGGTTAGGTTAAGACAATTTCTGGGCCGAGCACTGCGGCTAGGACAAGCTAGGGGGCCCAGCGCTGCGGCCACGAATTAGGTTAAGTTATGACACTTTCTTTTATTTAGGGTTAGGTTAGGTTAAGACACTTTCTGGGCCGAGCGCTGCGGCCACGGGTTAGGTTAAGTTATGAAACTTTCTGGACCGAGCGCTGCGGCTAGGATTCATTCTCGATCTACAAATGGCATCCCCCCTTAACCATGCTTAATCATGCGGCAGTGAAGTCTTCCCCACCTCGCACACTCGAAGGTTGGAGTTCAGCGTCAGCCTAATAAGTATGCCAAGAACTTTAATAGCTCCGTTTACAAACTACTATCTATAATATTTTTATTTTGGTTCTCAGTGTCATAAAGTTTTCGAACATAACTATCTCTTTCTCTTTCTGATTTCTTTATATTTCAGAGTTAGATATTTGTGGATCAGAGGATTCGGTTCATCTTTTAATATTTCAGATTTAGATATTTGTGGATCAGAGGATTCGGTTCATCTTTTAATATTTCAGAACTAGATATTTGTGGATCAGAGGATTCGGTTCATCTTTTAATATTTCAGAGTTAGATATTTGTGGATCAGAGGATTCGGTTCATCTTTTAATATTTCAGAGTTAGATATTTGTGGATCAGAGGATTCGGTTCATCTTTTAATATTTCAGATTGAGATATTTGTGGATCAGAGGATTCGGTTCATCTTTTAATATTTCAGAGTTAGATATTTGTGGATCAGAGGATTCGGTTCATCTTTTAATATTTCAGAGTTAGATATTTGTGGATCAGAGGATTCGGTTAATCTTTTAAAAAGAATTTATAAAGTAAATGTTCTAGGCTCTCCAATCAGGTGATAAATATATAAATGCTTCTTTTACCCAGAACCGGTGCTACTTAAATACAGCTGTTCTTTTATCTATTGTTCCATGCATGTTTCTTTATACATGAATCATGTAATTAAGGTTACTTTATACAGGTTCCTTTATAGATAGTTCCTCTTTTATTGTTTATTTACCCATGGTTCCTTTATAGATAGTTCCTCTTTTATTGTTTATTTACCCATGGTTCCTTTATACAAGTTATTTTTTACATGGTTCATGGTTCATGGTTCATTACATGGTTCCTTTACTCACAGTTTATTAAGTTCCATGGTTCCCATATACATGTTTCTTTTTACTTGGTTTCTCTTTTTAAGTTCCTTTAAGAATGGTTTCTTTCTACAGGTTTCCATTATTCAATATTTTCTTTTATACACACGTTCCTTTATACAATATCACATTGTTTATTTTATCCATCGTTCCTGTTCTCAGTCTTGATTACGGGTTCTTCTAGCCATGGTTCCTTAATATAGGTTCCTTTATTCCTAGTTCCTTATTACAGGTTCCTTAATATGTGCTATACAGGTTCCTTTATTCATAGTTCCTTATTACAAGTTTCTTTATCCATGGTTCCTTTATCCATAGTTCCCTATTACAGGTTCATTTATCCATGGTTCCTTACTGTAGGTTCCTTTATCCATAGTTCCTTATTACAGATTCCTTTATCCATAGTTCCCTATTGTAGGTTCCTTTATCCATAGTTCCCTATTACATGTTTATTTATCCATAGTTCCTTATTGTAGGTTCCTTTATCCATAGTTCCTTATTTTAGGTTACTTTATCCATAGTTCCTTTTGCAGTATGCAGGTTCCTTTATCCATGGTTCCGTTATTCATGTCCCTTTTTGAATACATAGTTTGTTTATACAGGTTCCTTTAACCAGGGTTCCATGAATTATTCTCCCCTCTCTGTTCAATATTTTCAAATCTTATTATTCCATTCCATTTAACTCTAAAAATAAAGCTTTTAAACCTGGTCTATTCAATAAAGAAACTATAAGAGGAAATACTGAAAACTTTTACTGTTGTTCAATTATTGATAATATTATAAGCTCAAATTCCAACTAAAACGTAATTTCCCCGACCCTTTCTTCCTCCACCCCTGCAGGTAACTTAGTCCTTCTTTAACTTGTAGCATCATGTTTCTATTTGTTAGTTTTTTTTTCCTTAAAAAAAAATATACCAAAAATAAAATTCAGGGTATAGCATTAAAACCAGCTATGCTAGCTAATGTCAGATATCTATATATAAATTTGGCTTGTCTGTTTGTTTGTTTGTCTGTTTGTTTGTTTGTATCCAATAAACGTCAAAACGGCTGAACCGATCGGGCCCAAATTTTTTGTGGGACATCTAGGGAGCCCAGGGAAGGTTTATGAATCATCAAAATTTCAAATATTTGTCTCAATCAAAATTCGATCGTCATTAAATTTTTTTTAATTTTGAAAATCCGCGAAATTTTTTGTGAAAATCCGCGAATTATGTTTGTTTTGTTTTACGATGTACACAAAGAGAACATGTTCACAATTAATTTAGAAGATGGGCGCGAAGCGCCCTCTAAGGCTAGAAAGAAGGGCGCGAAGCGCCTTGAATTTCTAGTATTGTATATATGTATATGACGATTATTTAGCTAGCTACCTTTACCCATTCGACACTGGACACATATATGTACATACAAAAAATTTTTAGCAATGAATATATAAATTTAATTTAATTGAATTGATTGTTATTACTAGCTAGTAGTTATACTATTTTTGTTATTATTATTATTGTTTGTATTAATATTATTATTATTATTTTAGTATTCCTAAACCACTAAAAAACAAGTTGAATCAATGGTTACTAGGTGATATCAATCTCATTTCAAAGGGTCGTTTCTCTCCTTCTTTTATTTAATACAAAGTACAATTTATTATCTCTTTTTTTCATGGACAATTTTCAAAACCATGTCAGGTTGATATAGTGAAAACCTCTTTAAATGACATAATTTTAATAAGATATTAAAATATAGCTAAACACGAGGCCGAATTAATCCCAGAACAGTACAAGTATAGGGTCGGACCAGTACAAGGATAGGGTCAGACCAGTACAAGGATAGGGTCAGACCAGTACAAGGATAGGGTCGGACCAGTACAAGGATAGGGTCAGACCAGTACAAGGATAGGGTTAGACCAGTACAAGGATAGGGTCAGACCAGAACAAGGATAGGGTCGGACCAGTACAAGGATAGGGTCGGACCAGTACAAGGATAGGGTCGGACCAGTACAAGGATAGGGTCAGACCAGTACAAGGATAGGGTCGGACCAGTACAAGTATAGGGTCGGACCAGTACAAGTATAGGGTCGGACCAGAACAAGGATAGGGTCAGGCCAGTACGGATTTAGTTTTCACTTTCCCTGAAAATCTGAGATGGCAGTGAAAATATAAAAAAAGAGAAACGAATAAATGTGTAGGCTAACAGACAAAAAGTTGTACAAATTCGGAACAGGTCAGATTTAGTTCAAAAAATAACATTTTTAAATCCACATTTCGTTTGTTGAATCGAACTTAACGAAATGACACGAATATTTTGTTCAAAATTTCGATTATCCTGTTAACCTACAGGGTGTCCCACGGAATATGACAGTTGAAAAATAGTTTTGAATGTCGTCTTACATACACTGTATTACACTGGTATTAAAGGCTTTTTGTAGTTTATTTCGTTAGAAAAATCTTTTGCTCATATATATTTTACTTTGAAATCAATTTTACCATAACTAAGCTTTGAGGGCGCTTCGCGCCCATCTTTTATTTAAATTGTGAATATGTTCTTTTTGTTTACATTTTAAAACAAAGAAGAAAAGAATTTTGCGGATTTAAAAAAAAAATTTGCGGATTTTCAAAAATTTAATTTTTTTTACAAAATTAAAAACCTTAAAAACACATTTTTTTAAATTAAGACATTCTAACCTATTCACCAACTGTAATATTTCGTGGGACACCCTGTACGAAAATCCTATAGCATTCTGTTCCTAATTTAAACTCCAAAATCACGAATGTAATATAATGTAAATATTTTTTTAATATTGCAGAAAGTTTTTAAAAATCATATAATTGATTTCCAAATATTTATCAAAATTCCAAACACCGCAAAGCTCATATTTTTAGATTTAGTTTTTAAGTAGTAATTGGCAAAGTACTCATATATTTGTGGGTGAGAGCTTGCAGCTTTTGGATGTATAATAAGTCCGTCTCATACTCTGTGGGAAAAACTGTATAATTTTTTTATTTGGAATAATTTACCTTTTAAAGATTATTCTTCAGGTTTACAAAGGAGAGTTCTCATTACAATCCCATGAGGAACTTATTTTCAATATTTTAAAATCAAGAAAAACCCAGAAAATTAAAAACGTAGATTTTCTATTTAAAATATAGACAAAATGCATGCTCACTTGGTTTTCATTTGTCAAAAAATATTGACTTAAAATATTTTTATTACAATATGATGCCGATGCTAATCAGCTTAGTCGCAATTTATTAAACTACATGCGGGTAGAAAGTGACAGTTCTCTTCTCATAGCTGAGGAGAGATTTTGGAAATTTTGAAATTAAAAACTGGCGGACACAGGCTTCTAAAGTAAGACTAAAATAATCAACTATTTTTTATGCAAATGTCCAAGCAAATACATTCAATTCACAGACACAGAGATTCTTGCAGCTATGCATTTTGCATTAGTTTTTTAGCAATAGCAAAATTTTAATCTTCGGCTTTAGAATACCTTTTTTTATAGACTTAGAATAAAAAACTCTGATTATTCTTTCTTCTTTTTCTCCAGAACATAAGCTGCCCCAAGCCCTTAAGAGTTGTTTTTCCATTCTCCATTCCCGCTGCTTTTTGTTTGGTACAGGGTTTCCCACGAAACATTACACTTGGAAGACGACTTGAAGGTCGTCTTGATTTTTGATATAATTTGCTGCGTTTATATGCTAGCCTGATTTTATATGTAAAAGTTGTTAAATAATAATCACAAGATAGTCCTGGCATTTACAAAATGTGGTCTGCCTTTTTTTGTGCTTTCAAGCTGATTTCGACAATTTTGGTTTTATTTGATAAAATGGAGATCTGAACTTTATTTCTAATATCTCTGGTAAAACTGAAAGCAAAAAAAAGGCAGACCACATTATGCGAGGGCTAGGATGATAATGTGGTAATTGTTTCAAGAATCATACAAGTTAAAGGAGGTTGACGACTGAATGTCAAAAATAAATTCAAATTCTTGCAAATGTCATGTTTCGTGGGATACCCTTTATCTTAGCATTGATTCAAACAAACCATAATATTTGGATAAATTTGAAAATGAAAAAGAGCTATGCGGCCAAATGTCCAGGTTAGTAGACATATGCACTATGTAGTGTTGATGAATGATGTTAGGTACATTCCCAAAGGATTTTTCCCAAGTGGCAACTTCCCAATGGTATTTTCCCGAGTGGCAACTTACCAAATGTTAAATATCCCAAACAGCAACTTCCCAAGTCTGTCCTAGCCGCAGCGCTCGGCCCTCAACCTGTTTTAGTCGCGGCATTCGGCCCCCTAGCCCATACTAGCCGCAGCGCTCGGCACCATTGCAGCCTGAGGCGCCTCAGAGGGCCAAACCTAATCTTTGGGAAGTTGCCGCCTGGGAAATTGCACATTTGAAAAGTTGTCACTTGGGAAATTGTCACTTGGGAAGTCGCACTTGGGAAAATGCCTTTGGGAAATCAATAAAACTTTAGAGACGAGCGTTTGGACTATATGTAGTCCTTTTTATTACATTGATGGTTCCCTTAAGCTTTAAACCTTTTGCTTTTGTGTATAATACAGTGGTAGACGTTTATATCAATGCAAAGAAGACAACTTTCGTTTTCAATAGATTGAAATAAAGCTTTTAAACAGCATGGATACACATTAACATGAAAACAAAGAGAAGATGTCGATTGAAAAAGCTTCTCTTTGATTTCTTGTAAACTTTTAATTCGAAAAATATCTTGTTAACAATTAAAAAATCGTCTTCATTGAATTGATATAATAGCCTATTATCTGTAGTTTAGTGCACAAATTAACCTTATTATATTTCAGGGTTCTAATTCCTCTGAATATGTTAGAAATCTAATTATGAAAGCAGAAAAATCTTGTGATTTCTGCAAACCTTTACTCTTGACGGTAAGATATTTCGAGGCAAGAAGAATGTACCAATGATTGGAGGCACTATTATTGGTACACTGTTCTTGCCTTGTATATATATATGCGAGTAAATGTATGTATATATATACATAATAGCTGACCAAACGGTTAAACCAAATTGGTGGAAATTCTTCGTGGGACCCCGTGGCCGTTGGTAACCATAGAGAATAGAATATATAGAGAGGAATTTAATGTGAAAAAGTGTAAAACGGCCATTTTGTTGTACTGTTTCCATACTGCAGGTGTACTTCACATATTTATGCTATATAACCTGTTGGGCCCTGGAATAATATTATATAGAAAATCTAAAATTATTGTTAAAAGAAAACCAAATTATGAAATAGGCTGGTTTCATAATTGACCAATGATCATTTCACATAGACTCTATGCCTTCCACTTTACAAACGATGATTTTCCGTTATAACTATAAATCAAATGATGTTTTTATTCACCTAATTCATTATAAAGTTTATTTAACAGTTTAAAAAATTCGAAATTGAAATGGATAGTCTAGGGAACATACTGTATTAATGTACTCTACTGCATATAATTTGTGAACATTTACATGATTTGTACACTTTGAACTCCCTTTCAGGCTGAAAGGGACTGAAAAACTTCATACCGAGAGATTCTTTTAATTCCTCTCTATATATTCTATTCTCTATGTTGGTAACATAAACTAAACGAATTTTTGAAATTTCACGGGCAATGCCGGGCACTCTAGTCAGTATTAATTAAAAATACAATGACATTTGATTTCAAGAACGAACTGCAAAATTTTCAAAGCAATTAAAATTTTTGCAAAAAAGAAAATTTATATTAACAATTAAATATGTGTATGAAAAAAAATTGCGTTTCTACCGAATATAAAATATATTTTTGTTTATTTAGGCTGAGGAAACATGGGGAAGAATTAGGTGATTTTAAATATTTGCATTTTCTTCTTAAAAATCAGTAATTCGATAAAAAAATCTATTTAAAACTTCTTATAATTGATTATTTATTGAAAAATCAGAACGAAGACGTCATTATCTGGTGCTAATGTTTTCCGTTTGGTTGGGCCTAACAACGCTATCATACTTGCTGACAGACATAATGTTCTGGAATTAAGGTATTTTCAAACTATTATGGTTTTTAATTTTTCCAAATATTGTGTTCTANTAAAGTAAACATATTAAGGTGGCAGCATCACTCAGGACCAAAAATAAAGCTTATGTATGAAATGGCCACTTTTTCTTTTTCTTGTTTGATAATTTTTGTATACAATTTTTTTCATGCGTGCTGTGTATACTGTATATTGTATATTCTGGTAACAAATATTTAGAGAATATAGATTTTGGGAAAATTTGCTTTAATTCATAAAAAGTTTATATTGGTTGTTATTAAAATGCACTGATTTGTAGATATAAAGAATATATTATTTTTATTCCCACAAATACTCAATAAAAATTTAAGGCCGTAAAAAGATTTTTTTTAATTATTGGCTTTTTAGGCAATAAGCTGAGGTGTTTTTCGACTGATTTTAATTTTTGCACTTTGCACTTAATACTTGATACTTTACACTTTACGCTTTACACTTTACACTTTACACTTTACAGTTTACACTTTACAGTGCTGAGGAGCTGGCAGATATGTTTGACTGTGCTGAGCAATGGTTCAAGAAAGTCAATTCTCTAAACAAAGACCTGGTAAACTAATAACTATGCAGGCTGTCCCAAAAAAAATGGGATAAAAATGGGACACAGACATATATTCAAAATCGTGTTCAAAGAGTCCAAGTTTAAGCTTGGATTGACAATTGACAATACTAATTTATATTTTAATTTTTGCAAATTAAAAATGTTGGTAAATATTGTCTTGTTCAATATGTACGATCAACTTACATTATAATTAGTCATGTCTTGTTTTGATTTAATTGTGTTTCCTTCATATTCACATATAAAATGTAAGATTTTTATTGAAACCATTACATTTTTTGCATTCTCTAGCCTTTGTCAAAAGCTTCAGAAGGACAGAGATTTGTCATTTTTTAAATGGAAATCTGAAATTTGACAATTGTTAGATCAGAGCCGGCGATTTAAAAAATTCAAGAAAATACGACTCGGGTCTAAGTTTTTAAATCGCGGGCTCAGTAATTGAAAGGAGGCCTGCTTACGCTTATTTTGTTTTTTGTGATACACCCTGTATTTTATATCCTTTATATCCTTATATCCTTTATCTGATCAAAACTGTACGCATGCTCTTCAATTTACAGATAGAGGATCATATCCTTATATCTTTTATCTGATCAAAACTGTATGAATGCTCTTCAATTTACAGATAGAGGATCATATCCTTATATCATCTGATCAAAACTGTACGCATAGTCCTTAATTTACAGATAGAGGATCATATCCTTATATACTTCATCTGATCAAAACTGTACGCATAGTCCTTAATTTACAGATAGAGGATCATATCCTTATATACTTCATCTGATCAAAACTGTACGCATAGTCCTTAATTTACAGATAGAGGATCATATCCTTTTATCCTTTATCTGATCAAAACTGTACGCATGGTCCTTAATTTACAGATAGAGGATCATATCCTTTTATCCTTTATCTGATCAAACGTACGCATGCTCTTCAATTTACAGATAGAGGATCATATCCTTATATCCTTATCTGATCAAACTGTACGCATAGTCCTTAATTTACAGATAGAGGATCATATCCTTATATCCTTTATCTGATCAAAACTGTACGCATGCTCTTCAATTTACAGATAGAGGATCATATCCTTATATCCTTATCTGATCAAACTGTACGCATAGTCCTTAATTTACAGATAGAGGATCATATCCTTATATCCTTTATCTCATCAAAACTGTAGATAATATCGTCGTTTTGCTAGTTTGTTTATTTTTTTATAATTTCCCTCCAATGCTTATGTACAATCAATCCAAAAGTCACTTTTATAGAGAATCCATACTTGGAAATAATTAAAACAGGGATATTTCATTCCTTCTTAATAACTCAAAGCATTTACTCGAAATACTCTGACGGGTTCAGTAACATTATGCCAAGTTCGCAAATTTCCGCGTTCGTGAATGCCTAGTTCATAAATGCCTAGGTCATAAATGCCTAGACAACATTATGCCTTCATTTCTGGTTACCTAGCTAACAATATGCGTAGATTTCTGAATGCCTAGATAACATAATGCATAGAGAACACAATGCATAGATTCGTGAATGCCTAGATAACATCAGAGTGCATTGATCTATACCTATACAATATATTTTAACGAGATAGAAACATATTAAAGAGAGAAATAAAACATACAATCCGGGAAAATTTTTATATTTTTATTTTAGTTGTTGCATTTGACAGCATGCCAAGAGCTGATTATCTTTCAACTTTGGACCATGAGAGGCAAAAAATTGACTGTAATAAAATGTTTGCCAAAATAAAATATTTAATAAATCATTATTCATTTGCCTTCTAGTATCATTTCTTTCTTGCTTAACTATGTCTTATGTTATTGGGTCATTAGGCATTATGAAATATAGGCATAATGTTATCTAGGTATTCATGAATATAGGCATAGTGTTGTCTAGGCATTATGAACTAGGCATTATGTGATCTAGGCATAGTGGACTAGGCATTCACATACTAGGCATTCGCGAACTAGGCATAATGTTACTAAGCCGTCTGTAGCTGCTTTAAAGTTCATAATAATTTTGATAATATATCGATAAGTACAACGATTGATTTCTATTATTAAGATTTTCCCAATGCTGGTTTGGGACTTTTTCCCAAAAGCTGGAGCAAGTCAAATTCACCCTCACTTTCAGGTAAATATCTACCTACCTACCTACTTATCTTCCTATCTACCTACATACCTACCTACCTACTTATCTTCCTATCTACCTACCTATCTACCTACCTACTCATCTACCTATCTACCTACATACCTACCTACCCAACCACCTCCCTTTCTACCTCCCTACCTACCTACCTACCTACTTACCTGCCTATCAACCTACCTACCTACCTACCTACCTACCTACCTACCTACCTACCTACCTACCTACCTACCTACCTACCTACCTACCTACCTACCTACCTACCTACCTACCTACCTACCTACCTACCTACCTACCTACCTACCTACCTACGTACCTACCTACCTACCTACCTACCTACATACCTACCTACATACCTACCTACATACATCCTTACCTACCTACCTACCTATATACCTCCCTAGTCCCTACCTCCCTACCTACCTACCAATCTACATACCTAATTTCCAAACACACCTACTTTTTTGTCTACCTTACTAACTTCCATGCCTTCTTATCCTACAAAGTTTCTACTTACCTACTTTTCCCCGTACCTACCTTTTTGTCTACCCATCTACCTACCTACCTTCCTTCCTACCCACCTGACTGCCTACATTAACCTACCTTCCTTCCTTTCTACCTAACTAACCGTACCTAATCTTCCAGCAGACTATATTCGACAGTTTTCAAAAAATAGTAAAGCGGAGGAATCGGAGAATAGATCTTTTAGCTAAAAAGACAAAGACGCGACAATGGAGGGGAAGCTAGGGGGGGGGGGAGAGACGAAGGTTGCATTACGTTACATTCTCAAAGGAGGGGGAGGCGCGCGTACCATTCTAGAGATTGAAAAAAACACGCTTATTTAACGGGAAACTAATGTTAAAATTGACTTAATACTTATCACACATTTTACAAAGAAAAATTGATGTCGGTGCAATAATACAAATCTGCCCATTCTCAACAGTTTATACATGATTTTTACAGATGTGCCTGACCTCCCCCCCCCCTTAAAATACTACAATGACGCCTCTGATAGACTCTGATAGTATAGAGAAAGTTTATGAGGACTAAACTGTGACGTTGCAATTAAAAAAATTGTATTAACGACTTTTTAACGGTGGTGTATTTTTCGACCTACGCATATCCGCTATACTCCACTTCTGACTAGGGTTTCCATTCGCAAAACTTTTGCGCAATTTTTGCGGAACGAAACGCAATATTTTTCTTTCTTTGCGCATCAATTTTGCGCGAAAAAACAACAATTTGCGCAATCATTCGCAAAAGTCATTTCGCGCAAAATTGCCCTATTCCGCTTTTGCGAAACTCAAGTTTTGCGCAATTCCGCAACAAGAGTTTTGCGCAAATCCGCAATTCCGGTGACGGTGTGTGTTTCTTAGAATTCAATTCTGGAAAAATCTTGTTTTGGAATGTCTTCCTATTGGTCGCTTTTACATAATTGACCAATGACAGTTAAGAAGAGTTCAAATCTCACAATTTTCTCGACAATTTTAGTTTTGGACATGCATATTTTCTTAAAAGTGGATTCTTCAGGCATTGGCTACTTTCTTGCATTATTTTATATGAGATTAAAAAGATTTCAGAAATTTGATTTAAAAAAATTTAAGAATACAATTCATACTCATGATTAAACAAAGCTTTTAAGGCCGAGTCACTTGAAATTATTTAATAGGATTAAAATATTGCCAAGTTTAACACTCTCTAATTTCTATTTTATTAATTTTGGTTCCTTAATTTAAACTTTTTGTAACTGGAAGTAACCAATTGAGTGTAGTATAATCGTTATCATACTCATATGTTAATATTTTTTTTGTATATGGAATAAATCTTCAGTTGTTCAATTCTAAGCTTAGAATATCAATTTTTGACAATGTGCCTAAAAAGTTATATTTTGCGTAAAACTTGCGGTTTTGCGCAAATTGCGCAAAAAAATTTGCGCAAAACTAAAGTTTCGTTTCATGCGCAACTTTCGCAAATAATATTTCCGGTTTTGCGCAAATTGCGCAAAATAAATAGCGCAAAACCGCGCAAAACTCATTGCGTTTCATGCGCAAAAATAGCGCAAAAGTTCGCAAAAATAAAATTTGCGCGAAAATAGCGCAAATTTTGCGCAAAAGATTTAGCCATTTCGTGGAAACCCTACTTCTGACCTACTAGCACGTGGTTTTACAGCTGCTATATGGAATAGTGGCCGCAGCGCCTGGCCCCTTAGCCTGTCCTAGCCGCGGCGCTCGGCCCAGAAATTTTCTTAACCTAACCTAACCCTCAAATAATACAAAAATAAACAGCTAGCGTAGGTCTGATATTGCAGTCGTTCGGAAAGTTAGTAGGTCGGAAGTTCGGAAGGGGGGATGTTGCGTATAGACGATGTAACATTACCCTTTTAAACGTATAAGAAACCAATGCAACTAAAAAATTTAATTGACGTGAATAAACTTTGTTATTGACATAAAAAGAATAAATTACGAATTATACAAACATTCTAAAAAGTGGCAATATAACTGCGTACAATATTTCGGTCAATTGAAAAAATAGTACTTTATTGACAATTCTAATTCTTTGAATTTTACTATCTCCAAATGCAAGCCTATTTTCTTTCTATGTTTTTCATTTTAAAATAATCAATAAAGTAAAGTAAAATAAAGTAGATATGGGGGGGGGGTGTTATGCCCCCCCCTTACAAGTTTAGGGTTGGACATTGCACCCTTGCCAAAACCTTCTGTATGCGCCTTTGCCTACCCGTATTACCACTACCTGTCCCCATATACTGCAGGTTTGGTTAGATAAAGAATATTCCGGCCAATTTTTGACGCATTTTCAAGCTGCACAACTTTACAGGTTAGTTTATGTAAACAAGATTTACCATTCATTCAACTTTTTAAAATATTTTCTAACGTTAAAGGAATTGTTGATAGTTCAAATATTTAGAAACTTGGTGCCAGGAATCTTAAAGCATAAATTTTTTTCAGAGATTGGAACTTTTATGTGAATATTGTTAATATTAAACGTTAATTGATCTCAATATCCAATACGGGCACTTTTGATTAAATTTGAGGATAAATGCTGGATCCGCCAATTAAAGTTATTCTTGAAGGGTATGGGCCCTAAGGGATATTGACAAGGGATTGAATTATAATCCGTAAGTAATGTCAGATCAGCAAGAATTTCTTCTCTTTTAGTTTTTCTAGATATATTGTCTGTTCAGTTCCGAATACTAAATTTAATAAAACGCAATTGTGTAATTTATATTTTCACTAATTTCTAAAATAATTATTTATTCTCTAAAAGTTTCTTTATCATGTATTTGGATAAAATTACTATTTTCCATTATTTTTCCTTAGTCCGAATTTAATGTATTTAAGCCGCGGCTCAAATTATGTACATTCTGCCTTTGGTTCAGCAGAAGTTTTGTTTTAATTTTTAAAGAGGCTGTCGAAGTAACCCGATTCACAATGGTACCCTTTAAACCTTTATCTGAGCAACCATGGGATTGTTTGTTAGGTTCTGAGAATATCCTTATATCATTTCCTGCTTAAATCCGCAAATATATTTAACAGACAAACCAATTTTTAAATTAAAAACAAAGATAGATTTGACAAAGGTTTATAGGTTACCGTTAAATATCCGGTATTATTATCTCTTTTAAAATGGAGGGTTGCACTTCAAATTACATAAACACTCCCTTTAATAAAGGATTGAATATGGTGAAGATTACTGGACAGATCTAATCTCCCTCCACCTGAACCTTGGACTAGGAAACAGATAAAATAAGATTATTAAAAATACTGGGCAAAATTTTGTATTGATGCAAAATACACTGCAGTACAGTACAGAGGACAAAAAAGTGTAGTACAGTATAATTCAGTTCAATGCAGTATAGTACTGTTACCATAAAAAAATGGTATGAAATAATGAAAATCTAAAGCCTTAAAACTGATGTAAGTAAACCTACAGAGTATAGGAAAAAATATATTTACAAGTAAAAAATGAACAAATAAAATAATACTAATGAATCATGGAAAGCAGGAGCTCTCTGATGGACTCTCCGCCTTGCATTCGCCTCGTACGACAAGTTAATATTCCGTCTTCAAACTCTTCGTGAATACTGACTCTATTTCGGTTTTAGCCCAGACTGATCCTATTTTCTCCCTCTAAGCCATGGTTCACGCTCATTGGCTTGAATTAAACCAGGATCTGGGACAATGGTGGCTTCGGTTTTCCACGCATTCAAACATGCATTCAAAGAATGTTTTCTGGGTTGGCATTTTCTATCGACACATATTTCTCTACGTCGGTGACTTATCATTCGCCCACTTTCTGTCCAACCTAGAGCTATATACAAAAGAGCTAATACATTGTCTTGTTTATAGGCCAGACTACTTGCAATCTGAGCTAAGCTCCGTATCCGTAGAAGGACTGAAGGAGTTACATCAATAGAACTATCCAATCCAAGTTTAGCTCCGGGTTCATATGAGAACTGAGAGGGTTGCATCAATGAAACTATCCCTATTTCGAGCTATTGAGTTTACAAGGGTTACATACAGTACAATACAGCATGCTAATTACACTACACTATTGTACACAACACTACAGTGCAATACTATCATTTAATTAAATTCTGTATAAATAATCATTTATCATGAGTAAAACTCAAAACCTAATATTCTAGCTAGTTAGTTGTAAAATTCTACTTTAAGTTAATATTATCATCAAAACTTGTATCTTTTATCCAAATTTGAATTAAGGCCCTTTTTATATGGATAATGTTTTTGTAAAACATCCATTTTTTCCTTATTTATTTCCTTTTTTTAATTTCATCATAAACCATTATATTCAAAACAAATGTTTGAAATAGAATAAAAATGACTAGAATTTACAGAGTATACATTTTATACAATGTAGACACGTATCACATGTTTGAAAACGACAATTTTCAGAAATATTAAAACTACAATTCATGATTTGGAATTAATCTAAAAAACTTTAATCATTCCCTTTTTTAAATTTCATCATTTCTTGCCAATTTTCAGTTCTAATTGGCTTTTTTATGCTATCTAATATTTTTTAATGAAAGTTTTCATTTTTAACTTTTATCTGTTTTTGAAGGATTTAAATCAGGAGAAACGGTGGTTTTTACACCGCTAGACAGCCACAGGTCAATATTTGGCTTCAAAATGCATTTTTATGGAAATTTATCTTTCTGCAACACTAACTATTTATAACACTGTTATTTTGGTTATCAGTGCTATAAAGTTGTTGGACAGAAATTTTCTCTTTATCGAGAAGGTTCAAGCCTTTTTAATTTTAGGCGAGAACCTTCGAGATATAGAGAAAATTAAAGTCCAAAAACTTTAAAGCACGTCGTGCCGAATAATAGTGTTATAGGTAATTTTATTACTATTTCTAGATCAAATAAGCTTTGAAACAAAGGAAGTCAAAATGTAAAGTTGATTTCAATTTTATTTTCATTTCAATTGAAAAAAATATTTTGGAAATATCCTTAATATTTTGGAGAAAATCCGGGAACCAATCAAAAATTTAAATAGCACACGTGTTATAATGTACAGCTAATTTAAATTTATAGCACGATGATTATGAATAGTTTCATAAAAATATCTGTAAATTAAATCTAAAAGGGCATAAACCTTCTCGATAAAGAGAAAATTTCTGTCCAAAAACACTGCGAACCACACCTAAATGTATACAAAATAAACCAACCTAAAACAATGACTTTAACACACTTGTCCACTCTGTGTTTCTTTTCTGCCTTTACGTACATACGTGTTTCTGGAAAATATTTGAATTTCTTTCGATTGTCTATATATTTGCAACCTGGTAGTGTGAACCTTTGATATTTGATCTAGCAGAATTTACAGTTTGAAATATCAAAGTTCTACGACAAGGTTCAAGATATTGGGATTAGAAAATCTGAGTTTGTGGCAAAAACTCAATTCCTTTACGTATGATTAAATTACGTAGATTGTTTTAAGTTTTAAAACAAAAACATTCAATTTTTATTAAGCACAGCCATGCCACTCTTTCAACAGAGGGTCATTTAATACATTCTACCCTCCTACAGTCCCAGTAAGAAAATTATCAGTAATTATCCTGTCAATGTATAAATCTCCTATTAGAGATAGAGAGGTAATGGTTGTTGGAGATAGGGTTGATGCAACATTTATAAAATTATTCTACGCAGCTATAAAATTGCATCAGGTAAAAGTTTTTTTTGTGATGGAAAATTCTATTTTTATCTTGTATTACAGAGGTTTATTCTTAACATTAAATTTGCAATTCATTTAACCTGAAATGTACAAGGATGCCCAAGGATGAGATTTCAGAGACGATTCTTCTGAATTTAATTAAACTGTAAAGCTGTAAAAATCAAATATTCGTCTCTTTAAAGTCTAATACTTTGTGGGTAACCCTGTATAAAAGCAACGTAGCATGAAGTTTTAAATGATTATATATTATAAATGTCGTCTTCGTAAAAGTGAGAGTTTTCCCAGGGTTAAAAAACATGTTTGAAGGATAGATTCTTTAATTGAAATATATATATATTACGGTGGTAGGCGATTATATCAATATAATGAAGACGACTTTCGATTTCAATTTTGAATCATATCAAGCTTTTAAACAGCATGGATAAACATGGAAACAAAGAGAAGCTGTCAATTTAAAAAGCTTCTTTTATTTACTTGTAAACTTGTAATTCTAAAAAAGCTTGCTAACAATAAAAACTCAAATAAAAAGTCGTCTTCATTATAATGTAATCGACCAGCACCGTATTAAATTATAAAAAAATCATTCAAGAATCATGGTAACATTCTCCCTTTCAAAATGTTCGGTGTTCTCCTACAGGGTGTCCCAATAAACATGGGAATTCAGTGACGAATTCGATATCGTCTTTTTAAATAATTCTTTGATTTAGTATTGTGATACCTACTGAGAAAGCTGTAATCTGTAAGAGTTTCGTCTGCCATGTTCACATTTTGTTTGTTTATGTTTTGACTGCATACGGTTGTACTTAGTAAAACAAGAAAATTAAAGTATACAAACAGAGTAAACTTGTCCGTCTTCACTTTTCATCTTGCGGAGACATTATAGGATACATCTTAATATTATGGCTTTTGAAATAATGTATTACAATGCTAATTCATAACAAAGACGATATCCAATTCTTCTCTGAATTCCCATGTTTTTTGGGACACCCTGTATATTTATGATTTATGATTTAGGTCTATTATTTTATATTTGGGATGAAAAAAATGCTTCATACAGGGTTACCCACAAAGGATGAGACTTCATAGACGACTGTTCGAACTTTATACCGTCCATGGTTCCTTATATTCACGGATCTCTGACATTGTAAACTTGTTTTATTTCTTTGCTTAATTATTAAGTAAGCCATTAAAAGCCATTCATGACAGAATACTTAATTTAGCCTTAGGATTGTCAAATAAAATTGGTTTAAGGTCGTCTTTTTAGTCTCATCTTTTGTGGGTAAACCTGTATCTTATATGCTAAAGGTTACCCAGAAGGGTTAAAACTTTATAGGCATATTTTGTTATTATATTATTTTTCAACTTTCTCAGGCTCAAGGTAATTTTTGTCTGAGTGTTGGCATGTCCTGGCCATCTTTACTTGGTTCCTCCTACCCTGCAGTTGCTAGAATAGGATACAGGTAGAAAATGATGAAAATAATAAGTTAAGATAAGAAACTGCATAGCACACTTTTATGTATGAAAAGACTAGATCTAACATTCAATTCGGCATATCTAAAGGGTTTCAGGTCGTATTTAAATTTCATATTTTAGCTGATAAACCTGTATCTATGGAAAAGAAATGACATCCAATTTCTTCCTTATTATATATACACTGTGCAGGGTGTCCTACAAAATATGACAGTTCAGAGACGACTATTACAGAACTAAACTTATGTTTAGCGAGACAACCTGTACTTTATTTACTTGTTTAGGGGAGATTGTACAGTACAGTACAGTGATATGTCTAGTGTTGACGTGTATGCATTCTACTCCATCAACTCTAATCCAACACACTTCATACATCAGCTCAAGAACTTTACTATGTCTGCTCAATTATGATATTGATTTGTACAATGTTTACTTTACTTTATTCATCGTTAAATTTCATTTTATCTTTTCATTTTTTCGTGTCTGCATACGTTAAACCCAATATATTTAATACATTGAAGAATTTATCCAATGTTGTATGCTTCGCGTTCTGATAATGGAATGTTGCAGATATTTAGTTTTTTTATTAAATGATTATATGGAGCTCTTTAAAACTGTTCCCGCATATTCATGGGTATTTATTTATTTTCGCAAATACTGAGATTTCCGTAAAATAGTATAAAACCCATTGAAAATTTGTCAGGACGACGTTTCTTTCGATTTATTTAATATTTAGGGTTTAACTGTATAGGGTTCTCACTAATTACTTTATTAGAAAATGTCAAGAAAGGAGATTAAAAAGGTGAGACTGTTTAGAGATTGTTTACATTCTGGTGTGCAGTGTTGGTTTAGGACAGCTTTACGTAGAACTAGTTTACATTCTGGTGTGCAGTGCTGGTTTAGGTCAGCTCTACGTAGAACTAGTTTACATTCCGGTGTGCAGTGTTGGTTTAGGACAGCTTTACGTAGAACTAGTTTACATTCTGGTGTGCAGTGTTGGTTTAGGACAGCTTTACGTAGAACTAGTTTACATTCTGGTGTGCAGTGTTGGTTTAGGACAGCTCTACGTAGAACTAGTTTACATTCTGGTGTGCAGTGCTGGTTTAGGACAGCTCTACGTAGAACTAGTTTACATTCTGGTGTGCAGTGTTGGTTTAGGACAGCTCTACGTAGAACTAGTTTAATTGTGTCGTAAATAAACAACATAAATTCAATAAACAGTAATTGCTCAGGCGCCCTTAATAAAGCCTTTGTTAACAATCTTTATTTTCTGCAAAAACTCAGTGGTAGGCGATTATATCAATACAAAATGAAGAAGACTTATTTGTAAACTTGTAATTAGAAAAAAGCTTGTAAATAATCAAAACTTAAATAAAAAGTCGTCTTCGTTGGATTTATATAGTCCGAGTCGCTTACCACTGTATTTCCAGATCTATCTCAATACGTCACACTAATATGTAAACAAACTCATTCTCCTTAGGTCCGCAGAGTCCGCACTCATTTGCGAGAATCATTCTATTATCGATCATAATCTCACAACATTGATCTTGTTTCTGTTTTGTTTTGTTCATTTTTCATTGCATGTATAATTATAATCTGGTTTTTTTCTTCATTCAGAACATTAAGCAATGATTATTGTAAATACTTAGCCAAAATATCTGAAAAACAATGATTAGTAATTGAACCAACTTTAGAAAACGGTTGCAGCAATCATATCTTTATTGTCGTCTCTCAATTTTCATCTTTTCTTCAGAAACCGTTTAATGTTGAAATTCAGAATTCATATATGTTTGAAATATTAATGGTCTACGACTTCGGGTTGCAAAGACTGAAAAATCAGAGTGTATGGCAAGAATTCAGTTTCTTTTTATTTAACCGTGTAATATTTTTCGTCATTTTCTATAGTACTGATGAGGTTACAAAAATATATTGAAATTAATTTCCAAACAAGATTGTTTCTTTCTACTAGAGTGAAAACCTTTTTTTGGCAACAAGGACACCTTACAATTAATAATTCAATTACGTGTTAATAATGATAACTTTTTATTGTGTTTACGTCATATACAGGGTTACTCACAAAGGATGAGACTTCAGAGACGACTGTACGGAATTTATACTGTCAGTTTCCTTATATTCACTATTCCCTGCAACTGTAAACTTGGTTGTTTCTTTGCCATATCATTAAATAAGCCATTAGATTACCATATCTAAGGCAGAAGACTAAATTTAACCTTGGTATAGTCACATTTTAAGAGTTTCCGGTCGTCTTTACAGTCTCATCCTTTGTGGGTAACCCTGAATGATTTAAAACTTAAAACCACTAAAATAAATATTTTAAAAGACTTTTTTTTTACTTTTTCTTCGAGAAAGGACAATAATCTTTTTTTATGAATTGGTATAAATACTGGAAAGGTATACAGAAAGCCTATATTTTATTACCATGGAGGCCCATGCCCTGTCTATCCTTTTATCTATCTATCCATCTAGCTATCTATCTATCGCTCTTGTCTATTTCTAAAGCCATGAGAACCCTGAGTTTTGCAGGGGAAATCCTTTCTCAAGACTAGATATAACTTTACCTGAAACCAATTTTCCAGAACAATTTAATTTGAATATTTAAGTTTGACATTAGATTTTAGAGAATAGGGGTGGAGAGTGGGGGGTGGTACCGATGGGAACTTTAGAAAGGTGAAACAGAATGCAGTGTAGTTGACTGGTAACCTTAGAAGAGGAAACAACATTCTCATTTTCAATTCTTAATAATCAAGTTTCTTAATAGTCTAAAATTCATTTGTCATGGGATTTGAAATCAAGCACGTTTCAAATATAATGGTGAGCACGTTACAAGCATAATATTGAGCACGTTCTAAACATAAAAGTGAGCACGTTCTAAACATAGTAGTTAGCACGTTCTAAACTTAGTAGTTAAAACGTTCTAAATGTAGAAGTTAGCACGTTATAAACATAATATTTAGCATGTTCTAAACAAATTAGTGAGCACATTCTTAACATAATAGTCAGCACGTTCCAAATATAGTATTCAGGACTTTCTAAACATAGCAGTTAAAACGTTCTAAGCATGACAGTGAGCACCTTCTAGGAATAATAGTGAGCACTTTTTAAACATAGTATTTAACACGTTCTGAACAAAATAGTGAGCTAGTTCTAATTATAGTAGTTAGCATGTTCTAATAATAGTATTTAGAACGTTATAAACATAATAGTGAGTACGTTTTAAACATAGTATTTAGCACGTTCTAAGCATAAGAGTAAACATGTTCTAAACATATAGCACATTATCTTTTTGGTAACCAAGTTTGAAATATAATGGTTAGCATGTTCTTTTCAGTATTTTTCAACCAAATAAGTTAGAAGTCCTAAATATTAAGACCGTTTAGACATAATAGTTAGTTATTATTTAGGCATATTATTCAAATAAACAACGTTTGTAAGCTTTAAACATGAAAAACGCAATGTCAAACATTTAGTTAGGCCGTTCTAAAAGTAAAAATTAGAATGTTTTAAACATAAAAGTTAGCTCTTGTCAAATCAAACAGATTTAAGTAAATCAGTCAGTGCGTTTTAAACACATTATTTGCCACGTTTTTAAACATATTAGAAAGCAAGTTTTAATCACATTATTTTTTACGTTTTAACATATTAGATAGCAAGTTTTAATCACATTATTTTTTACACTTCAAACATATTAGACAGCAAGTTTTAATCACATTATTTTCTACACTTGAAACATATTAGATAGTAAGTTGTAATAACATTATTTTCTACACTTCAAACATATTAGATAGCAAGTTTTAATCACATTATTTCTACACTTCAAACATATTAGATAGCAAGTTTTAATCACATTATTTTCTACACTTCAAACATATTAGATAGCAAGTTTTAATAATATCAAACTTTATTAAAACAGTTAATAATTAAACTATTACGTTTATTAAAAATCTAAACATATATGTTTTTCCGTCATCAAGGTTTCCTAGAATGTGACGTGGCTAGCAAGTAGCATCAAGGTTTCCTAGAATGTGACGTGGCTAGCAAGTAGCATCAAGGTTTCCTAGAATGTGACGTGGCTAGCAAGTAGCATCAAGGTTTCCTAGAATGTGACGTGGCTAGCAAGTAGCATCAAGGTTTCCTAGAATGTGACGTGGCTAGCAGGTAGCATCAAATGTCGATTCTAAATAAGAACTCTTTATACTAATTAAACCTAAATATGATAAAAAATATCCATTAAAATTGTTTTCATAAAATATATTAAAAACAATTACTTTTAAGTTTCCATCCTCATCGGCTAAATCTAGACGTAATAAAAAGTAAATATTATGCGATATTTCTTGGACGACTTTGTGACTTCGTAGCTTCGCTTGTTTTGATCTGGCGCCATGCAAAGTGTGAAAAAGGCAATTTATTTGATTGCCAAATCAAACTTTTCAACTTTCCTTTTCAAAGACGCAGCAACGTTATGTTGTTAATTTTATAAATTGAATTCGCATTTTTTCCAGGATCAATTTTCTGGATTGACATGGACTAAAGGTTTATAACCAACATGATAGGACATAAATAATTTCCTATAAAACAGCATGGTTTAATGCACTGAACTTTTCTTTTTTGAAAGATAAACTTATGAAAGATAAACTTATGAAAGATAAACTTCTGAAGATAAACTTATGAAAGATAAACTTATGAAAGACAAAATCTTGAAAGTACAAACTCTTGTAAAAAAAAACTCCTGAAGTTTAATAAAACCCTGGGAAGGAATACAAAAACAAAACGATCGTTTTATGATAGCATAGAATTTAATTTTCCGTTCAATATTTCAGATACTTAGTTCTCACATGCTGCGTGCGAGACTGGTAAAAAATATGTTTGCTCTCAACTTTAATCTATAAAAAGTCAGGTAGATATACAAACAAAACTTTCAGATCAAATATTTTCTGACAAAGAGCCATGTTAAAATTATTTGTTGCAAAAACATTTAAACTTATTTCTAGACATTGCTACTCACAATGCACGCAGATTTTAAAATGGCACTTGCTAATAATTAAAGCTATGGCTGGGCATGTGCTCTGAATAAAGAAATGTTAATTTGCTGAGCAAATCATTGATAAAATACAATAAATTTTATTGGAAACCGATGGATGGAGAAGGAGAAAAGGAAAACAATACATTCAGCAGAATATATATAGAAAATAAGTGTGACGCATGATATTTAAAAATTTTAACAAAATTAAGACATCTCTGTTTTTGTTTAATTGATAAATAGTTTCTATCTATATAATAAAACAAGACATTCGTATATATATATGTTGCGGCTGGACCGATTGGGCTGAACCTTTTTGTGGACACTCAGAGGTTATTGGCTAAAAAATCAAATTTGTTTTTACATTTTTTTTCACGGGCAACGCCGGGCCCTTCAGCTAGTCTTATATAAATCAAATTATGTTTCATATATTATATAACTGAATCCTACTATTTTCTATATCCGTCTTTTTATATTGCATAGATGGAGGAGATAAAGAATGAAAAACTAAGATCTAATGGAAAGATCTTAATTAGAAAAGTTAAATTAACTTCAAATCTTTATAAATTAAGGAGATAGAAGTTAGGGGATGGAAGGGGGTGATTCTATTTCAAATCTTACAATACCTATAACGAAAATAAATGCAAAATCTACGTTAGAGCTTCCATAGTGTAATCAGATGTCAAAACTTTTGTGCAGTTGGGAATCTTGGGATCAACCTTTGATTGATCCATCTTTCCAGCAGACAAACAGATCAATTTCATTCCTCAACGTGGTCACGTGATGTTCATGCTCTTCAGGGATAGCTTTAGTTAAGAGATCAAGCATTGATTGATCAATCTTTTCCAGCAGACATGCAGATCAATTTCATTCCTAAACGATGTCAAGTGATGGTCATGCTCTGCAGGGATAGCTTTAGCTAAGGGATCAAGCATTGATCTTCAAATTTAAAAGTGTCCGCATTTGATATCGAGATCAAGTATTCAGAAGTTGGAAGTTTTGTGCTGTTAATCTCGGGATCAAGCATATGCAGATATACGAATTAATTCCCCTTCGATATCCTGTGGTGGTTAAACCCTCAAGGGATGTAATGAATTATGCTACCATGATTAGTACGATCTTTATTATCTATGTTTCGTTATCTATTTTATCTATGTTCATGTTGACCCTGACCGGCCATTCCGGTCAGTTCTCATTTTTTAAAAGAAATTTCCATTTTGAAAAAGTATATATCAGCGAAGAACTTTATTATAAAGATAAGAGATCTGAGCCGAAAACTTTAGAATTGTGGATATCGAGATCAAAGCTTGATCTCCTCTCTAAAAATCTTAAGATTAATTTAGTCTATAGATTGTATCCGGAAAGTGTATAAAATTCAACCAATCAGAGTGTTAATTGTAGAAGTCGAACAGCCAATTAGAAGAGCAAGTTTTTTTTAATTTTTGCTTGCGCAACTCTCATTGGTTGCAATTTAGCAGGAAAATCCTAAAAAGATGATTAAGCAAAAGATCAAAAGTGTCGAAAGTAATCACGATTAAGGGTATCCAATACAAGAGTTTTCAACTCTACTGGATTTAGATATCTTAGTGCTATAATTATTTTACGACCTATAAATATCTCAGCATAAATGTGACTTCTTTCAGGTTTGGTCACCCTGAAAAGTGTCGGTAGTAGTCTTGTCTTGAAGCTTTGCTTCAATTTTGCTTCTAAATCTAACGTTTGCGTGAACAGGAAGATTACTATTGAAAATTAGTTTATTGGGTTTATTTTATTTTTTGAATTCTTCTATTTACCGAATATTTAAGCGATAGAAAATCTGTTTTTTTTTGCTATTTTTCTGTTGAATATCATTTGTTTACATTACTACAAGAAACTGCAGTACCCTTTTTTCGTAATCAAAAACATTGGTTTCATGTTATAACTTATATGATAGAGAAAAGTTATTCTGCCAAAACTATATATTCTGTATATTTTCTATCCAACAAAAGCATATATTCTGTATATTTTCTATCCAACAAAATTATATATTCTGTATATTTTCTATCCAACAAAAGTATATATTCTGTATATTTTCTATCCAACAAAAATATATATTCTGTATATTTTCTATAATATGATAAGTTTTGAATAATAAAAGAAAATAATCTATATATTAATTTGGCTTGTCTGTTTGTCTGTTTGTCTGTTTGTATCCAATAAACGTCAAAACGGCTGAACCGATCGGGCCCAATTTTTTTGTGGGACATCTAGGGACTCCAGGGAAGGTTTATGAATCATCAAAATTTCAAATATTTGTCTCCATCAAAATTCGATCGTCATTAAATTTTTTGAAATTTTGAAAATCCGCGAATTTTTTTGTGAAAATCCGCGAATTATTTTTGTTTGGTTTTACGATGTACACAAAGAGAACATGTTCACAATTAATTTAGGAGATGGGCGCGAAGCGCCCTCTAAGGCTAGAAAGAAGGGCGCGAAGCGCCTTGAATTTCTAGTTTTTCTATATTTTGAAATGTTTGCATAGATGAGTTGTGAAAAAAAATTTTTTTGATGAATTTTATTTGCAAAAGAGATAGCTAAATGAAAAACATTATATAGCTGAAGGTATCTATATATAAAATATTATATAGCTGAAGGTATCTATATATAAAACATTATATAGCTGAAGGTATCTATATATAAAACATTATATAGCTGAAGGTATCTATATATAAAACATTATATAGCTGAAGGTATCTATATATAAAATAAAAAAAATTGTCTGAAAATAATTTGATTTCTTCTCTCTCATATCTGTTTCCGAGAATTGACAATTGACTAACTATTTATTTATTTACTGTTTACTGGCTGCAAAGAGAATAAAAGGGAAACTAATTTAACGTGTTTTTCAGCCAGAAGTTCTGCCAAGAGGTGAGCTAAAAAGGTGAGAAACATTAAATGTTTAAGTTTTAAACAAATATTTTATTTGATATTTGATACGCTTATTGTAGTATTTTTCCCGTTTTGTGAGGGCTTTTGGTAATATAGTGATTTTATCTCTATTTTTATTTCTAATTTTCAATTTTTATTACTTTATTTTTAATTTATTTTTCTAAAAATTTTATATTTTTCAGTTTAGGATGGGTCAGGAGCTTAGAACAATTTTCACTTTCATCTGTCTACTTACCATAATAAGTAAACCAATAATAATATATTTTTCAAATCTAGTTCAATTCAGAAATAAGTTTAACTTGACTTTGTTTGTCTCGGTTCAAAATTGTTAAGACTTTTTATCTACAAATGATCGGAATCATGTTTTAATCGCTATATTTTAGCAACCCAATGTCGTGGATCTTAGATATTTCAAACTCTGCTTTCTGTTAGATCAAATAATCTAATTTTGAAATATCAAAGATGTTCACCATTTTGATATCAATTGTCTTTCAACGACCTTTTTAAGTTTAATAAATTTAAATAATTTAATGAACAACGACCAAATTCTTTTTTATTTAAATTTTAAAGTTGATGAGTTTTAAAGATTCAATAGAGTCTCCTGTTTAATGAAACAAAAATCCAGTCTCAACCGGTTTAAAGCAAATTTATTTTTTGATTTGGTATTTGTCACGGTTAGGACTTCAGAAATTAAACTTTGCTTTCCCTTTTTATGACTGTAAACAGGTTGTTTTCAGTTGATGTTCAACAAATTTACTTGGTAAAAAATTATATTTTTTTTTTTTTTTGAGAAAAATGTTAAAATTCTACAATATTTAGATGATTTTAGCAATTGCTGCCAGGATTCAGTTAAATCCGAAGGATGCAGGATAGTAGCTGCTGGAACAGGTAAAAATTTACGATAAACTAATTAGAGCTAAGCATGTGCTGAGGAATGCTGAATAGTGATAGCTGCTGGAACAGGTAACAATTCACGCTAAACTAACTAGAGCTAAGTATGTCCCGAGGGGTGCTGGATAGTAGCTGGAGGAACATGTAACCATTCACTCTATACTAACTAGAGCTAAGTATCTCCCCAGGGGTGCTGGATAGTATAGCTGCAGGAAAAGGTAACAATTCACGCTAAGCTAACTAGAGCTAAGTATGTCCCAAGAAATGCTGGATAGTATAGCTGCAGGAACGCTAAACTTATCAGAGCTAAGTATTTCTCAAGGGATGCAGGATAGTATAGCTGCAGGAACGGGTATTCAATCACGTTAAACTAATTGTAGTTAAATATGCTCGCGAGTTATCAGGAATAGATTTTAAAGTAATATTGTAATGGTATAGGACAGCTTGAGTGCCTGTGTGGAATGGGTTGCAAGAAGGAATTTCCATTCCATTCGAAGCAAGAGTGTGAGAAACAGCTGACAGGTGAGGAGCTTAGGTTCAGGTCAAACTTAAAGTTAAGGTCAAGGTTTTACTTATTGTCATGGTTAGAGTTAAGGTCAAGTTCAGAGTTTAGGTCAAGTTCAGAGTTAAGGTCAAGTTCAGAGTTTAGGTCAAGTGCAGAGTTAAGGTCAAGTGCAGAGTTAAGGTCAAGTTCAGAGTTAAGGTCAAGTTCAGAGTTAAGGTCAAGTTCAGAGTTAAGGTCAAGTTCAGAGTTAAGGTCAAGTTCAAAGTTAAAGTCAAGTTCAGGGTTAAGGTCAAGGTTAGAGTTACGGCCAACACCATATTTTTTAATGCAAAGGTAGGGTTAAGGTTTTTGATCTTTTTATAATTTATAATTTATAATTTTGAAGTTCATTATTTGTTCAGCCGAGGCTGGAAGTGGAGATATGTGTTTGAGAAAGCCATGTAAAAACAATGGCGTCTGCGTTCAGCTGAAATATGGCGGATACAGGTGGTTTTTATTTTTAAACAATATTTTTAAAAACCCCTTTATAAATATATCTTTTTCAGGTGTGAGTGCACAGGAACTAAATTCTTTGGTAGAACATGTGAATTGGGTAAAAAGACAATTATTTATAGAAGGACCCTGTTAAAAATAGGAATATAACTTGGAACAAAATCAAACAAACACACAAACCACCATTTCACAAGGAACAGAAGTTCATTTTATTTCAGTCTAAAAACTTGCATTTTTCTGATTAAATAAAGCTGATGGGGTGGTTGCAAGGTTGCAAAGTCGTACCGCTGATTCCAAACAGAACTTGCTTCTTCATAACGTTGAAAATTAGAGTGAATTATATTGATCTATCATTGTCCCATTCATATTGAAAGAAGTGTATCTGCCAAGTTTTAAAGTAGTAGATAATTTTATAAATGAATAAAATAAAGATAATAACAAAAATTTAATGAAGAAAGCAGAATTAGATCTAAACTTCTATAATTGATGGATCCTTTGTAGTAAAAGCTCATTTTCAATCGCTTGGTGGGTGTAAGTGCTTTAAAAGCCTATGCACCATTTTTCGAGAAAAGAATTTTGGAAACTTTGATACTTATTACATTTTTCTAAATTGGAATTAGAATTAATAATTAGTTTATTTGGGAGACATTTTTAATTCAATTGGTGCATTAAGGTTTCTCTTGAATTTATCAAAAAAAAATTTTGAAAATTGAAAATTGAAAATTCAAATGTTCCCAGAAGAACCGAAAAAAGCAAAAATTAACCCGACATGGTAAAAAAGACATGATTAACTTTGCAAAAAAAATTGTTCTAAAAGGGACTGTACACGTTCTTTCAAGTGAACCTCCATTGATATAGTGTCATATTCGATTCACAACAGCACCAAGTCTAATAAAGTGTAAATTATATATCATGCATGTGTTTGTTATCAAAACTGTTTATTTTCATTTGATAAAATTATCAGAAACTATTGATATAATTATTTGAAACTATTGATATAATTATTTGAAACTATTAATATAATTTTCAGAAACACTAGATAAAATTATCAGAAACTATGATAAAATTATCAGAAACTCTGATAAAATTATCAGAAACTGTAGATAAAATTATCAGAAACTATAGATATAATTATCAGAAACTATGATAAAATTATCAGAAACTATAGATATAATTATCAGAAACTATGATAAAATTATCAGAAACTATTGATAAAATTATCAGAAACTATTGATATAATTATCAGAAACTATAGATAAAATTATCAGAAACTATAGATATAATTATCAGAAACTATGATAAAATTATCAGAAACTATTGATAAAATTATCAGAAACTATAGATATAATTATCAGAAACTATAGATAAAATTATCAGAAACTATGATAAAATTATCAGAAGTTATTGATATAATTATCAGAAACTATAGATAAAATTATCAGAAACTATTGATAGCATTTTCAGAATCTATTGATAAAATTATCAGAAACTGTAGATAAAATTATCAGAAACTATTGATAAAATTATCAGAAACTATAAATGATAAAATTATCAGAAACTACAGATAAAATTATCAGAAACTATAGATAAAATTATCAGAAACTATAAATGATAAAATTATCAGAAACTACAGATAAAATTATCAGAAACTATAGATAAAATTATCAGAAACTATAAATAAAATTATCAGAAACTATAAATGATAAATTATCAGAAACTATAAATAAAATTTTCAGAAACTATAAATGATAAATTATCAGAAACACTTTATCGACTTTATCTTCCTCAATATTGTTCCGACTAACGTGTACTGTTGTAAATCGTGCATGTCCCTCTTAAAATGGAGGGTCGATTAAGATAACGACGACTTCCCTTTAAAGAGCGTGTTGACAAAAATTAAATGGGGTAAAATTTTAAACCTAATGATAAAAGTTGGATTGTATGGGGAATCTGTAAAATAAGACGTTTTCCTTGTGACCAAAAAAACCTTAAATCAAATAAGATTAAATTAAAACTTGACCCATAAAACTGTTGAAAACGATTTTTGAAGGCTCAAATGTTGATTTTAAATACTCCAACAAGCATAAATCGAAACTATTGTGGATTTCTATAAGATTGCATAAATGTCGTCTTCCTATACCACAGTTTTATGGATCCGTAGTGTAATTATTTTATTAAGATAATGAACTATTTAAATATAGAGTGGTTCCGATCAAGGTTTCCAACAAAAATCCTCTTACTTTTTGTCAACTTTTCTTCTAGGATATTTTTTTCCCATAAATCTAATGTTTGTTTATTTCAGATTGTCCAGAAAGATTGGGTAAAAACGCCCTGATAGACTTGAAGGAAGAAAACTATCCATTGGAGTGTCTAATGATATAGATGGAGCCACACCTCCTGAGAAACTACCCCGCCCACATAAATATTTACCACACCTCCTGAGAAACTACCCCGCCCCCATAAATATTTACCACACCTCCTGAGAAACTACCCCCCCCCACATAAATATTTACAATTTATGCTTTGACCTCTGCAACCCAACGTATACCCTATAAACTGCACTGTTAGCCTTTCGTTGAATCTTAGTGCGCCTCCCTCAAACGATGCAGTTAAATTAAAAGTTGTTTTTATATTTAAATGTTAGAAGATTGTTCATAAAAAGTGGAATAAGATAATATTGAAAACGATTAGTCCCCTTGGGAAACGTTTCATATCAGCTTCTCTTCCAAAAATCAGAAAAAATAAAAAATAACTGATCGGTTGCGAATTTGATTTTTACTCATCCTGGGCTACCTGGACACTTTTAAACAAAAGTTGAAAGACTGTAAAAAAATATTTATTTGTAAAAAATATCGTCCGCGAAATAAAAATAAAGGAGAATGTAAAGGGACACGGTTCAGCCCTTGCATGAATGGGGGAGGGGGTCAGATCCAAGAAAAAGTAAAGAGGCATTGTGAGGTTTAAACCCACCAAAAAATTCACGAGAAATTACTAATTGATAAAAAAAAACTTTGCTCAACTTGAAATTTTTACTTTTAAATTGAAAAAATTCTGAGTTTGTAAATCCTTTTAGCTGCAATGTAAATCACTTTCTGGTCTATCAATTCAGTAAATAGATGTATAGTAATAAATAATAGATTCTTAAAAAATTGTTTTTTGTACTTTGTGTTTAGTGTTTTTACTTTTTAATAAATATGTTAATTACGTTAAATCTTTGATTTCATTTTTCAGAAATAAAGAATTCTTTTTATTGTTTTACAAGCTATTGGCCAAGGTGCCAGATATTTGCAACTGATTTTTGATTTAGTTTTGAAATACTAATAGTTTCTTGCTGAGTCCTTATCATCAAAACCCGATCACTTCTGTCCGAAATTTTAATATTCTATAAAATCTCCGAACTTCATGGGGAGACATAAAACAAGATTAAATTAAAAGAATTAAAAGATTTTTTTTAAAAAGTGTCTTGCCTATAACTGGATTATGAAAATGCTAGTAAAAGATAAAAATGTATTTTGACCTAAATTAAATTATGTGCCTAAATTCAATTCAATAATAATTTATCGGCAAAACTCCTTTTAAGTGATGGTCACTATTAGGCCCCCTCCCCAGCCTTCTTTTAACATCTCCCCCTGCACTCCCCACCCATCTCTTCACTACCGATCCTTGCGATCAGGGGCGTATACAGCGGGGGGGGGGTTCTCCTTCCTCCGGCCCCTTGTATTTGCCCCCCTGCTTGCCATTTAACATTTAAAAATGATTTCTATAAAATCGCCGAGGATAAAATTTCCTATGAACGCGCACAGTTGTAATATTAGTTGAGTGCTGTAAACACCGTTGCAACGTGCGTTTATCTATCTATCAATATGCTAACATCTGTTGTGTGCACGGAGGGGGTGAAATCAGAGAGAAAACGAAAATATTAGATATGACGAGAGGAATAATGAAAGTAAAAGTTCTAAGCATATCCGAATTTAGAAAACTCAGTGCCACCTCTGAAAAATACAAAAACATTAGATAAAACCTTAACATTTATAATTCCTTCTATTTCAGACGAACTTTATTTGTGAAGTAAAGATACTAGAATATAAACGAACCATAATAGTTACATACTTTTATTAGTGATTAGTGGCCACTGTAAGTGCACAGTATGTATATTTTTGGCGCATCTTAGCTCATTTAGTTTTTGGCAAATAGATTCTAGTACAATAGATGGCAACGTAGAATTTGTACACTCTCAGTACAGCTGTACTCTGACGTCACAAGTGTCAATTCAGTTTTTGTGTCCGACAAAATCATCAATAATAGTGTTAATTTTAGAATAAAGTGCTTTTCTTACAATAAAATAAGTGCAATTTTATGTGTTCTTTAGTTTCTGTTTTTACACTATTTTATTTAATCTTGGAAAACATGTCAACTAATGTGAGAAAATTTCGCTTTCCTTGTTATATTTGACACTTGTGACGTCGTGTATAATTGTTTAATTTCTCTGTTGCCACCTATTGTACTTGATAATCTATTTGGTTTTTGGGATATTTCATAGAAAGACTACCTACATTAGACATTAAACATGTCAAGTATATAGAACATTTCATAGTTGACAGGACGTTTCATAGTTGGCAAGCCATTTCATAGTTGACAGTACATTTCATAGTTGGCAGGACATTTCATAGTTGACAGGACATTTCATAGTTGACAGGATATTCCATAGTTGACAGGACATTTCATAGTTGACAGGACATTTCATAGTTGACAGGACATTTCATAGTTGACAGGACATTTCATAGTCGACAGGATATTTCATAAATGGGACATTTCAAAACAGGAAATTTCACAGATAGGAAATTTCATGGATGGGACTTTTCATAAATGTAGGACGTTCCATAGAAAGGACATTTAATAGAGATTGTTCTAAATATAAAGATTACTCTCTATGAAAGGCAAAAAAAATCTATTTTCCAATTTTGTGGTTCAATAGGACCAATAGAACCAATAGGGCCAATAGGACCAATAGGACCAATAGGACCAATATAACCAATAGGACCAATAGGACCAATAGGACGTTATTTCACATCAAGCTTTTTCATAAAATGTCGTTTACTAAGTTCTTCTTGGAATCATTTTGTTTGTTGTTTTATTTCCTTTTTCTCCAGAAAAACAAGGATTTAAACTTAAAATTCAGAGTGTCTATATTGAAATCTGGAAAAAGTTAAGAGTACAGAGCTGAAAACTTTAGAATGGTGGATATCGGGATTAAGGCTTAATCCACTCTTTTTCTTAATCTCGAGATTAAATATTGCTTGTTCTCCACTCATTTTTAATCTCCAGATTAATTATCCGATCAGGATTAAGGATATCCCATTCTAAAGTTTTCAGCTCTGTGTAAAGTACTTTATTTCTTTTTATTTGAATTTGAATAGTACACTTAGAATTCAGAGTGTCATTCATATCTGGAAAAAGATAACGAGTAAAGTGTCAAGTACTTTATTTCTTCTTCTTTGAATTTGAATAGTTCACTTAGAATTCAGAGTGTCTATATTGATATCTGGAACAAGATAAGAGTACAGTGTAAAGTACTTTATTTCTTTTTCTTTGAATTTGAATAGTACACATAGAATTCAGAGTGTGGAAAAAGTTAAGAGTAAAGTGTAAAGTACTTTATTTCTTTTTCTTTGAATTTGAATAGTTCACTTAGAATTCAGAGTGTCATTAATATCTGGAACAAGTTAAGAGTGTAAAGTTAAATTACCCAAAAAGAGACTATTGTACGGAATTTGTACTGCCTGTTTCACTGCAATTGTGAGCTTGTTTCTATGCCAAATAAAAAAAGCCAATAGATTACTAATTTTATAGGAGAATACTTAAATTAACCTTGGGATTATGATATTGTTTAAAATAACCGTAGACAGCTTCTTTTAGGATATTTATTTTAATCAAATCAATTCTTATTCTCAGTTCTGAAGAAAAAAATTAAAAATGAACAAAAAACCGGCTTTATGACATTAGACTGCTCCCGTTCTTAGATAAAAGATAAGAAACTATTAAACTGTGAAAAAGGCATCTTATCAAGTCATCAATGCTGCAAGAGCATCCCATTTCATATAAGATTGTCTCCAAGATTTAACGCCATAATAATCTAAACGTTATTAGCAAAAAAAGTTAAATTATGACAAATTTCATCCATATATATATTGTGTATTTTTCAGAATCTGTTAACACTATTATATTTTCTATTCAAATCTTTCATCTATATATTGTGTGTTTTTCAGAATCTGTTAACACTATTATATTTTCTATTCAAATATTTCATTCATATATTGTGTATTTTTCAGAATCTGTTAACACTATTATATTTTCTATTCAAATATTTCATTCATATATTGTATATTTTTCAGAATCTGTTAACACTATTATATTTTATATTCAAATATTTAATCCATATATTGTGTATTTTTCAGAATCTGTTAACACTATTATATTTTCTATTCAAATATTTCATCCATTTATTGTGTATTTTTCAGAATCTGTTAACAATTTTTATTTTCTATTCAAATATTTCATCCATATATTGTTTATTTTTCAGAATCTGTTAACACTATTATATTTTCTATTCAAATATTTCATCTATGAAGATTGAATTAAAATGAAAGCTGAAAATTGACGATTGACGGCAAAAGAAAGATGGAAGATGATTAAAGCATAATATAACTGAACCCATGACCAGGAGAGAGAAGTTTGGTACGATGAAGTGGTTTATTGTATCATTACTTGTTATCTACAGTTCACAAGCACAGAGGAAAACAGTCTTATAGATTTTATACCACGTCATTCTAGTTTTTTTTAGTTTTTTTTGTCAATCGAAACCCATAAAATATTTAAAGTTTTACAACCTTGTAGTGGGACCAGATTTAATAAATAGCGAAACATATTCGTACCACGCGACTTAGTTGAACCACTTATTTCGTTTACCGGGTCAAGCTGAAGAGAAGTGGATTAACTTAATCTGCGTGGTTTAAGAAAGTTTTCCTATGTTAATGTCAATGTTACCAATTGGGTTTCCTCAAAAAAGTTCAGCAAATTTGGTCCTACCGTATGATCAGCTATATGTAATAAAATTTCGCTTTCCTTGTTATATTTGACACTTGTGACGTCGTGTATAATTGTTTAATTTCTCTGTTGCCACCTATTGTACTTGATAATCTATTTTGCTTTTAGGGCGCTTCGCGCCCATCTTCTATTTCAATTGTGAACATTTTCTTTTGTATACATTGTAAAACAAAAACAAACAAAAATTTCGACAAAGTTATAAAAAGAATTTGTGAATTTTTTAAATTTTTAAAAGACGAATTTAGTTTCTAGCAAATTTTTAAAAATTCAATCACACATAAGCCTTTCCTGTGCTCACGTGAGGTCCCACAAAAAGTTTGGACCCGATCGGTTCAGCCGTTTTGACGTTTCTTGGATACAAACAACGGACAGACAGACAGACAGACAGACAAACCGACAAGCAAAATATATATATATATAGATGAGCATAGAGGTTCATTATATAAACTTGAGTCGAGTTTAAATCCCAATTTAAATTCGTATAAAAAGAATGTGAAAAAGCTGGAATGGAGGGATAAACAATATTATTATATGACTGTTCACGAAGAATACGAGGAGAACATCAATCACATTCTTCTTCTTCTTCTTCTTCTTCTCCTTCTTCTCCTTCTTCTCCTTCTTCTCCTTCTTCTCCTTCTTTTAGGAAAATTACAGCCATTTTTGTGAACAATTTAGAAACAATATACATTTAAGAATTAAAGAACAAGTAATTTAAGTTTAAATAGTTTTATGCAATGGAATATGGAGACGACATTTAAGCAATTTTTGTGTGCATTTGATTTTGTCCTATAAAGTAGCTAGATTTACCGGCTGATTGAAAATAAATTTATTAATTGAACAGAGTCTTTGTACAATCCAAAATTTATGTGCATTTGATTACCCAAAATCATTGTTTGTGTTTAACAGTCGTCTTCCTTTTTCACATTTTATAATGGGTCCCACTGCATGACTCCAACGATATTTGTAATTAAAGCTAGAAGCAGTTTGTTTGTGAAATAGTTACGTAATTTACTGTTTTATATAAATATCCCATTGTCTTCTTGTATTGAATAATAGGGGAACATATGGCGGTTTTTCAACTTGAAATAATACAAATTATGATTAAACTTAAACTCTAATCGGAAAGAAAAAAGTGCATGATTTTTTACTTATGTGAACACCACTTTTTTATAAAGGCTGTAATCTTTTAGAGCGGACAGTGATGAAAATTTTGAAAGAATAATTCTAAATCTTTTTGATGTGTTTAGACAGTCACAACATGTGGAGAATTTTGAAGATTTGAAAAAATGTTCCAAGCTTGCAAAGCAATACTTAAAAAAGGAAGTAAACAATGCAGTGGAGAAAAGTGAAAATTCGATCTCAAGAACAGAATTCTGGAAAGAAGCTCTAAAAGAGCTCTCCAGGTTTAAAAAGAAAACACTTGAGCCCGCAAAATCATGGAAAAACAAATTGGCTGTCAAGACAGGATTGAAAGCTAACGCTATTGTTAAACGAGATGATTATGGACACAAGATGGAGTGCCACAATACGTTTGCCATCTTTCCCTTCCTAGGTAAATAAAAACACAAACTAAAATTCAATGTATTTTTTTTAACCTTTTTAGCAAAAAAAAGTGCTTTAGTTTTTAATTAATTTAATATTTTAGTTTTTATTCAATCGTTTACAACTGTGGTTGTAACTGTTATCAATAATAACAACAACAACAACAATAATAATAATAACAACAACAATAATAACAACAACAACAATAACAACAACAACAACATGAACGGGCGGAGGAGGAAAAGGTCTACCGAGTTTGGATGGGAGGACGCACAATCCAACCCAAGAATAATGAGCGGCAAAAAACAAGGTTGGCATTTTTTATTTGACATTTTTAATATAATAACATTATTTAACTCTAGAAATTCTATCGACAGCCCCCGGTGCATATTCCTCGGCGATCAAATCTCCATATCAGCAGTCGCATTCCAGCCACGTGTCTGGTCAAAATTTCCCGCCAAAAACACAGACTCAAAAATTCTTTCAGCAGTATGTTGCACAAGGTTCACCACCGGTACATTCAACCAATAGGGGTCAGGACTTTCAAAGGTTTTTACATACTGGAGTTCCACGGACAGAAAGAATTGATATTGAGGATGAATTTAATCCGTCTGGGCACCTGGACTTTCAACCCCAGTTCCAGAGCATTCCATCCTTTTCCAAACCTATAGTATTCAGGTACAGCGAATTCAAATTAATCATGAATACATAGAATATTTCATTTTTTAAATAAAGATCTAAAACACCAACTTTTGGATTTCGAAATAAAACTCAACTTTAAAATAAACATATATAGAATAGAAATAAATAGAATTTTAGTAAGAAAAACTGGGAACTGAAAACTTAACCAAAAAAAATTATTTTCAAACTCTTATTTCAGTGCAACCTGATGTTGTAAAATTTTGAATTCTACAAGATAAAATAGTCAAATCTTGAAATATGAATGATATTGGGTTGCAAAACTATAATAAGGATTAGAAAAGAGTTTTGTTTCTTTCGTCTTCTCCGTTTTCATCCTTAATTCAATTAAGAGGTTCAAAATAAAACAAATTATCTCAGGGACAAATTAACAAACCCTCTTGAATATGAGGAGAGAAAAGAAGACTGGGTTGGGAAACTAAATGTTAGGTAAAAATTAAATTTTAAAGGGTTTTGTTAGTTCTCAATTGTTTATTGAACGAATTGTGAACTTTGAATAAATAAATATGGTTTATTCATTTTGTGCGAGTATACTACCTTTAGAAAAAAAATGTATTGAAAAGTGTTTTGCAACATTTTAATTTAAATTTTGTCAAAAATCAAGTTCTAGAAAATGCTAAAATACAAGAAAAAAAAACTTTTTTATCACAGATTTTTGTTAAAAAAACAAAACAGATTAATTTGTATTTTAAATTGTGATTTTCACAGTAAAAAGTTCACATTGCACGCACTACTCAAATATCAGGTTTTGGGGCAAATCAAAATGTACAAAATTTTTATTGATATTTATTTCTTAACATGACTTATTATGCAATGACAAAATCTTTGTACATTTTGATAGATCCCAAAAATCTAATCTTATCAATGCTGAACTCATTATAGTCACAGTGAACAAATTATTAAGAGTTTAAAGCTTACTTGAATATCAAGGTTTCCTGGGACAACAACAGCACAAGCTGACCCTTCCAGCCAGTCATTGACAGCTGACCTGTCCAAACCAAACCTCTGGCCCGGACTGACCTCTATAAACTCCAAACCTATTCTTCAACCTCTAGGTGCACATGGGAACCTGGTCCCTGCCCCCAGTCTTAATATTGAAGAAATAGAAAGCCCAGCAAATTCAGGAAATTTTGCATATTTAATTTATTAAAAAACTGATTTTTCGCAACCGCCGACTTTTGATATTTCACCCTGTGATTTTGCTAGATCATTTTTTTAAAGTTTGAAATATCAAGGATTCATCATCAGTTTGCAAAGATATGGGGCCTTGTTAACCTTTTCAATAATCAAACATTATAATACTAACAAACAGTACAGTAATGTCGTCTTTTTTCAAGATCAGAAGTGGTGTTAAGGATTTTGTATTTATAACTGTTATACATATTCTCAAAAATGTCCATGCCGATTACCAGAACTATATCAGTTATAATTAACATGTATTTAGCAGAAGTTCCACATCTCTGAAAAGTTTGTTTCTAAAGATATTTATGTAAGATAAAATTTAGATGTATCTTCACTGTATAAAAATAATCCAGACTGGTACATTTTCAAACCTGTCACTACTCCGACCAATGAGAAGACGAGTTTGCCTCCTGTACTAATTCCAACCAATCATGAGGCGGTTAAAATATTAGATAGAGAACCACTTCAACCAGAAGCTGATATTACTGAAACAGTAGAAACAGATACAACTGCTGCTGAAAGATTAGCAGAAGAAGCCGTTAACTCGGAAGGATTAGTCGAAAGTGTTAGAATAAATCTAGCAGAACTAGAGGAGTATGGTTTCAGGTCAGTTTTTTTCAATTTACATATTTTTATTTTATTGCCCAATTTGGTATAAAATAGATTACCTAGGTAGCTCGATAGCTTTGCATATTAGTACCTAATTAAATTCTAAGTAGCTGTATCCTAAGCTGAGATTTTAAAAGCTTTAACCCTTTTAAACCCTGGCTTTAGCGCCAAAATATAAACTTTTGATTACATTTATTCTTTAAACTTCAGAAGATCTACAGAGACAACAACAGATAACTCTGTTCCTACCACTACATCATTCTTTAGAGATATGGAAGAAGAAAGACTTATACTGTTCCAAGCCAAACTTGATTCGGGATTCAAACCAAATAATTTTACAAAAACTTTGTCTTTTCTTCAAAGCTGCACAATTCTTAAAATACATTATTTTCTTAAAAATTATTTTTGGTTTGATAAACTAGATGATTCAGAATGAAAAGAAAGCAGAAAATCTGTTTGAAAGAGTTCAGGAAGACAGGTTTGACAGTACAGATCTTTTTGGGACCAGTTTTGATAATGTGGATCGTAGAACTGAATATGGCTCTGAAAATATCTTTTATAATGTTGAAACAGATAATCTTACATCCGGAACAAGTGGAGATGTTCCTGATGATGGAAGTGTATATAATTCTAAAGCTGTTTCTGATAATTCAAGTGAAACGGATTCTGAAAGTATTCCTGAAGATTCAAGTGAAACTGATTCTAAAACTGTTGCTGATGAAGCAAGTGATGAAACTTTTCATGATCATATAAGTGATCTTGAGTCTGAAATTATTTTTAATGATGAAAGTGAGCATGAGTCTAAAACTACTTCTGATGATGAAAATGTTGATTCTGAAGTACAGGCTCATAATGCTGATTTTCCCTTTGGTGACTTAACTGTACAAGCAAATGGAGAAAATGATGTAGTACAAAGTTTAGATGATACTCCTGAAAGCAAGGACGACTCAATCAATGTGAACTTTGTTGATGATGGTGTTAATAAAGACGTAAATGAATTTGAAGAAGAACTTATGGATGATGATGTGATTGACAGCCTGTCTTATCAAATTTCTATAATAGGTAATATTCAGTTTCAACATCTCAATAAATCAAACAACCAATACATTAATCAAAAGCAGGACGGTTATCCCCTGTGATCAGGAAATTAATCAATCACTTTTTTATATTCTATTGCTTAAGCTCAACCAACTGTATAAACAAAACCAACAATTTAAATAAAAACATTTGAATAGTATGGTATGATTGTTTTAAAAACAGTTAAATGTAAAAAAAATTCCAAATAATATATTTTTGAATAAAAGTCCGATAAATATTGAAGGACGTCGTTTATCTCCGCAGCATTTATATATTTGTTCTAATTTAGTCTAATAACTCAGTTTCATATTGAAAATAACCATGAAATAACGTAAAGACCATAGACAACGAGTTTAGAAGTTGATAACATAAAAATATCTTTAAAAAATATTTGAATAACATTCAAAACATTGATGAAACCTAATTCAAGTTTCTCTTCTTTGTAAGAAGAAAAAAATGGCATGTCCGATAAAGAAAGGTACCATTTATCCCCAATCTGAGTAACAATGAGGAAGATATCATCGTTTTTCTCTCTTGTTTTATTCTCACAATTACCTTCATTGTCTCTGTAGCATAATGCCACCAGTTACTTTTAAAAACAACCCAAACCGGTAAATGATAAAGGAATTGAGTTTTTGCCACAAACTCAAATCTTCTAATCCCAATATCTTTGCAGCTGATGGTGCAAAGCTTTGATATTTCAAACTTTGATTATTTTATCTATAAGTATTAATAGTTTGAAATATCTAAGGTCTTCGACATTGGGTTACAAAGATATAGAGATTAGAAAATTGGAGTTTGTGGCAAAAATTCAATTCCTTTTCGGATTTAAAAATAAGGATAACTCATTTACCCTTTATCAGAAAAGTGTTTAATGGGTTTGAAATCACGAGCTTTTGAAATACACAATTTCTTTTATCTTTTTGATAATATGTAAATGATAAATGACAACAATTTGCAATTCAAAATTAGGGGATAATGATGGACCAAACCTCTATAGAGTAAATAAAGTAAATGTTAGTTCCACATTTTATTAAAAATATATTTCGGCCTGGTTTGACCCTCGTCAGTTCTAAAGATATGATAACCATCAAAATCGATAATGAAAATTTTTTTTTAAAAACCACAAGAATTGTTTGCAATTTGTTGTTAAAATTCTCTTGAAGGTTTAAAGTCTTAACTTAATTATTTATTTTTCAGACGAACCATCTCGCAAAATAATAATCTCTCCAAATCATATTTCAAATGATCACCGATCAGCTGATCATAAAATAGAGATTAATGATCGAAGCATTGATCTGATAGCTCCAGTTGAAAACAGTGAAGATGTAAACCATGATCAAGATTATTCTGAGATTAAAGAGATTGATGAAACTAGTCCTGAGATTAAAACTGGGATTGTAGAGACTATAGTTCCGATCCCGGAAGATGAGGAACTAAAAGGTTAAAATTAAAATATCTTAATATATTGGATTGTTGAGTTCTTTAAACAAAAATGAGAAAATCAGTAGAAGAACATGGATCTATTTTGATTTTTAAAATTTTAAATCTTTTATTTTTTTATTAGTTTGAAAGTTTCTGAAACAGCTTTAACTCTGGCTCACTTTCTTTTAAACTGATGAATCCCTTTCTTTGTTTAGAACTTGAATCATATTTCCTGCTTCTTAACTCTGCTGTTGACCAGCTTACTGAAGTTAAAAATCAAAATCCTGAATATTCAGAAATGGATCCTGATACTAGTTTTCACGAGGAAACAAATCCAAATGAAGGGGAACCTTCTGCCAATATTAGCGTTGAAATCTCCAAATCTGGTGATGTTTCACAATCCATTTTTCAAGATGAAACAAATCTTAGAAATTCACAAGTAAACAAAGATTTCTACGAGATATATAATGATGATATTACTGAGAATGATGAAGGTAAAGAAAATCAAAATACTTCTGAAGATCAAGGGAGTTTAGAAAGATTTCTATTAAATTACAGAGACAATAATAGTTTTGAAAATAATAAAAGTTTTGAAAAAGTAGAAAGTGATGTTGAAGGAAAGAATATTGATGAAGGGCTTGAAGAGGAGAAAAAAATTAATGAATTTGAACAGAAGGAATATCATAGCAAAGGAGTACTTGAACAGGAGAGAGCTGAAGGCACTGGTGGATTTGAACAGAAGGAATATCATAGCAAAGGAGTATTTGAACAGGAGAGAGCTGAAGGCACTGGTGGATTTGAACAGAAGGAATATAAAAGCAAAGGAGTATTTGAACAGGAGAAAGCTGAAGGCACTGGTGGATTTGAACAGAAGGAATATGTAAGCAAAGGAGTATTTGAACAGGAGAAAGCTGAAAGCAATGTAGGATTTGAACAGAAGGAATATAAAAGCAAAGAAGTATTTGAACAGGAGAAAGCTGAAGGCAATGGAGGATTTGAACAGAAGGAATATAAAAGCAAAGGAGTATTTGAACAGGAGAAAGCTGAAAGCAATGTAGGATTCGAACAGAAGGAATATCAAAGCAAAGAAGTATTTGAACAGGAGAAAGCTGAAGGCAATTTAGTATTTGAAAAGGAAAAAATAATTGAAAATTTTGAACAAGGGGAAAGAAATATAAGTTCTGAATATTTTGTTTCTAAACAAGAAGAAAATATTGAACAATTGGAGCAGGAGGAATTCATTAGTGATGATTTTGAACAGAGTTCTGAAAGTTTTCTAGAGAATTCAACAGATGCATTTGAAAATATCCTTCCAAGCTTAGAAATTCAAGAAAATTTTGTTAGTAATAGCTCTCTTCTAACAGAAAAACAAAATAGCTCATTTGATGCAGATAACCAAAGTGGCTCCCTGATGACAGATAAACAAAATGACTCCTTCTTAGTAAACAAACAAAATGGCTCACTTCTGACAGATAATCAAAATGGTTCCTTCCTGACAGAGAAACAAAATGGCTCCCTCATGGCAGAAAAACAAAATGGCTCCCTCCTGGCAGAAAAACAAAATGGCTCCCTCATGGCAGATGAAGAAATCAGCGGGTCCCATGATGAGGAAAGGTTAAAGAGAAAGGTCGACCTTTCAAATCATCTGCTTAATCTTCAATATTCAAATAAACACATTGAACCTTTGTTCAGAAATAGAAAGTAAGAAATTGTTATTATTATTATTATTATTATTGTTATTATTATTATTATTATTATTACTATTATTATTATTATTATTATTATTATTATTATTATTATTATTATTATTATTATTATTATTAACTAGAAGTTCAAGAGAACCTAAACAAGAGTCAGAACATGAGCCAGCCATGAATTCAGGTAGAAAATCTCTTGTTTATGTATTCAGTCAAAATATTAAGTTAGATTTTTTCAGATTTTAGTATTCAGGCTCTACCTCTACACTCCTCATCTACACTCCATACATTAGGTACAATTAACATTTTGGCAATTTGTTTGGTTCAGCCGTAGAAGACTTTATTGACAACTGACAAATCAAAAGCAGGATGATTTAAAATAGATAAACTTTTAAAGTTAAAAATACGTTTTCCAGAATCCATTTTAAATTTAAGATGATAAAATTTTTTTTATTAATCACATATTATATAGGTCTATAAAACCACAATGCTTGAAAGAAATGCATAACATTTTAAGAATTGTTTCTATAGCACCTGATCTTAATTTTATGTATAACAATATTCAATTAAAAACAGAAAAAAACATACTCTCATCTTTTTCAATAATTCTGAAATTCTTTTACTACCCACATATGTTCATTGTTTATTTTGTAATATATTAAAAGATTTGAAAAAAATCTTGTATTTGCAAGATAAAAATGTCTGAAAAAATTTATGAAAATCACATAAATTCAGCCTGCTTAGAAAAAGTCTCATCAATGTTTAAGACAGGATCGTCTTTGAAGTGTCGCAACGCCTTGGACTTTGATTTTACCGCTCTGACTCACTTATGCTTTTCTGTAGCCCTTTACATGTACACTCTAGTAATATAAGGCACTTGTTGTTCGCTTTGGTTTACAAGAAGTAATTGGCAAAATTATTTCTTAGTAAATTCTAATCCCTATATGCTTGCAGCTTAATTGTGAACACCCGTCATATTTTAAACTGATGTTACAATATCATCTACAGCTAAATTTATAGTTTAAAATATGAAAGGTCTACAACATCAGGTTGCAAAGATATAAAGATTAGAAAATAAGAGTTTGAGGCGAGAGTGTTAAATTTCATTGTATTAGTACATTATATATTATTTTATATTTTCATAGTATTAGGAACTCGTATTTGCTGGGATAAAGTTATTTGTATTGTGTCTGTAGATGCGGAATAATGATTCTCTCAAAATTAAATTAATGATAATATTTTTTTGTCTAAGAATAGTTTTGTTTAAACGTATATTGAACTAATCACTAAGAATATTCTGCGTAAAACATCATTACACAATTTTACATGTTTTATTTACGCAATTATTTGCAATTATGCACGGTGCTTGGACACAGTTAATGAGTGAATATACATTGCAACAATCCCACAGAACAGGTCTTATAGAACCAGCACCGACGCGGACCGCCCTGCTCCAAAGGGATTTAATAATCATACAGCTGCACATAGGTGTATATTTCTGAGTAATCAATCAATCGACCTGTATAAACTGGGGTCATTGTATATATGTTGTGCAAATTATTGTCTGCACAAAAACTGTCCACAGTGGGTCTGCACTCTGCAGTGGTTCCGGGGAGGGAGCTTGGTCGAACTTAGTCTTAGTAATTACAGAAGACAAATTTTTTCTTTCGCCCATTGTGCATTTTTGTGGCATTGATTCAGACGACACGTTCCGGCTTGACACTATGGTTTCAGTAGAAGTAAATATTTCCATAACTCTTATTGGATAATGAGATAGCTAGAAAGATATATGATACCGCAATACTATTTCTATTGGTTCAGAATAGACAACAAACACATGACTGAACCCTGATTGGATCAGGCGCTAATGAACTCGGCATACAGGAGTGTTGTCACAACACTGCTGTCAGACGGTACTTGTCAGTGATAATGGTTCTATATATACTACAAGTTATGTGCACATTCCTCGTGATTGTGCAAAAGTAATTTGCGCGTCTTCAAGGTTTATTAAAGGGACTGAAGACGTAGTTTCAAGAGATTTTTCATCTCTGGAATGATAATTCCGATTCACAACGGTACCCTGAAAGTTGTCTTTGATCAAGAGTATATGAGATATCAATTAACTTCTCTGTAAGACTCGATTATTTCAATTGTATAAACAGACTGCCCCTTTCTGCTTCAGAAACAATATAGAGAAAATAGCCAGAATAGACCACTATTTAGCCTGAAAAACGACGATATTCTCAATACATTTGATCAGATAAGGACAAAGGCATAAAGGGCGAAGGATGAAAACTCATTGTGTGTATACCTTGTTCTTCCATGGTTGTTTAAATTACCATACAACTGCAATGTGTGAACTCAACTCAGAATAAATATTATCCTATTTTTTTTTTAACAAACATCTCGCAAACAAAGTGTTTACCAATTACAAGCGTGTCTGTAGATAATTAAGACTCTTATCCCACGGACACCTCACTCTTCAATTGGACATTCACTTAAATTACGCATACAGTCCCTTTAAATGGATGGTTCTCTTTAAATAAGCGGTGAATTATCAAACCGTAATCTATATAATAAAACAAAGACATTCGTTTACATGTTCCCTAGAGCCGGCCAAACGGCTGGATCAAATGGGCTGAAATTTTTTGTGGACACTCATGGGTAGCCTGGGGGTGACTAGGCTGAAACTCGAATATTTTTTTCAAAATGTTTATTTAATTTAAATTTAATTTTCATTCCACGTGCAACGCCGGGCACTTGAGCTAGTTTATCATATTTGTTTAGGAAGGACTACTGAATATGGAGAGGGGTTCACTTCTCAGAATTATGATTCAGCCGAAGATAAAAATAAATTAGAAAATCCAAGAGATGATAACTTTGAAGTTATCAACATAGACGACAACGAAGGACTGTTTACTGAAATCACGAATAAATCTGAAGGTCTATTATTCATTAAAAGGCATATTTTTTAAATTTACAATTCTTAACAGTTTAGTGAATAGATTTTTTTTATTCCAGATTCTCCAGAACAGACCCAGATGGATTTAAGCACATTTTTTGAAGATCTTTCTAACAGTGAAAATAAGGTAAATTTCGGATAGAATTTAATAAAATAATAAGAGATAAACATGCAAGTAAAAAATGTGCATAATCATATTCGATTGATAATTTACTTAATACAAGCTAAAGTGTCCGTGGATTTTTTTTATTTTGAAATAAAAACAATTCGATTTAAAAAAAGAGATTTTGATTTTTGAAGAAAAAAAATCTTGACATTTTAGCCCATTCGGTCCATCCGTTTGGCCAGCTATAGCTAACATATATACAAACAAATATATATGAACAAAGAGAATTATTATATAGATTGAATTTTTAAATATTGCAGGAAGAGGTTTACCTTGGCTCCTTTACCTCAGAAGAAGAAAAAGAGGAAAATGTTAAAACCGGTTTTCCGACTTTCTCGGAATCATCGCAGATTTTATCTGATGAGGGTTCAACGGAATCTCCGGAAGTTTTATCCGAATCTACGTATTTTTCTACCGAGTTTCCTGAAGTGTTTACTGGGGTTCCGGATTTTTTTACAGAAGCCCCAGATTTTTGGGCTGAAACTACGGAAGTTTCAACGGAATCTCCAGAGATATCTACGGAATCTCTGGCAGAAATGATAACACAAATGATAAGCACGGAATCTCCCGAAGTAGTTATGGAGGATGAAAAAGTTGAGAACGGAGAAATTTTCACAACTATTTCTGATCTAGGTAAGTTAATATTCAGAAGATTAAAAAATTGGCATTTTGTATTAAAATTTCAAAATACAATTTTTTATATTTTAAATTTTCTTTTTTAGTTGAAGATACCACTGCATATACAATAGAAAATTTACCACAAAAACCAAGGTATTTTCTTCGGCCATCTGTATTTTTCTCTTTTTTATTTAGTTAATTTTTAAATTTTGGTTGAAGCACTTTTAACTATATCAACCACGAGAAAAGGCTTAAAAAGTATTCCACTTGCAAATATTTAATTTGATCCAGACAAATGTGCGTAGGATGTTTTTTAAATTCAATTTGTGCATTTCTGTTGATGAATTCTCGACATTTTCTATTCCTTTTGTTTTTAGAAAGAGTTTACAGTTTTATAATTGTAAAAATCTGAAACTGAAAAAAATTTCACAAAAATTCGCAAAAATAAAATGAAAATAATTCCACTCCTCCCCTCTTCCATGAGAGTTCTAATTTTACGAGGACCCCTGAGTAAAATATAACTTTGGAAAAAAATGATTTACCTCTTTAATTTTTCCTAAATTTAATTCGAGGAAACGACAATTTTTTGAGCATAGCATATTCCAAAACAACATCTACTTAAACTTGTTAGAATCTATTTTCTGACTCAGATAAAAGAAAATTCCAAGTTTAAATCATATCCATTTAAAAGTTTCACGGTGGAAATAGAGTTTCAACGCTTAAACAAAAGCTTAGCTCTTGGGATTTATAAAATGAATCCGGAATACAGATTTTAGCAAGGGAACCACTAACAGATTAAAACAAGGGCCAAGGAAGGAAAAAAGGATACAGATCCATACAAGGGTCAAGGGACCCGGATACAGAATTAAGGAAGGAAAAGGATTCAGATCAATACAAGGGTAAAGGGACCCGGATACAGGATTAAGGAAGGAAAAAAGATACAGATTAATACAAGGGTAAAGGGACCCGGATACAGATTTTAACTAGGGAACCACTTAGAGATTTAAACTAGGGTGAAGGAACCCTGATGCAGGATTAAGCATGGATATTGGATATAGATGATAGACCCATAAAAAACCAAGGGATCCGGATACATGATTAAGGAAGGAAAACAGATTCAGATCAATACAAGGGTAAAGGGACCCGGATACAAGATTAAGGAAGGAAAAAGGATATAGATCCATACAAGGTTCAAGGGACCCGGATACAAGATTAAGAAAGAGAAAAGGATACAGATTAATTCAAGGGTAAAGGGACCCGGATACAGATTGAAGGAAGGGAACTGGATACAGTTCAATACAAGGGCAAAGGGACCCGGATACCGAAATTAAGGAAAGGAAAAGGATACAGATCAATACAAGGGCAAAGGGACCCGGATGCAGGATTAAGGAAGGGAACTGGATACAGATTAATGCATGGGTAAAGGGACCCGGATACAGAATTAAGGAAAGGAAAAGGATACAGATCAATACAAGGGCAAAAAGACCCGGATGCAGAAGTAAGGAAGGGAACTGGATACAGTTCAATACAAGGGTAAAGGAACAGGATTAAGAAATACAGATTTATGCAAGGTTTAGTTTGAACCAGAGTAAAGATAAAACTATGAACCCGGATATAATAAATATTTATTTTTTAGATTACCTGGAAAATATCCCGGAAGTAAAAGTACAACAACAAAACCAACCAGGTTACTCTAAATTCTATATACCCCTTTATAATGCTTTTAGTTTGATCAAAATTTGAGAGGAGGGGGGGGGGAATATTTATAAATAATCAATCCCTTCCCCCCCCCCCCCACACACAGAAACTTATTAGGGGTGGTCGACGTCTGTAATTTCCAGGGCCCCTTCCCTTAAACAGAAACATCCCATTCACAACAGTGCCTCTCTTAATCATCAGTATGAGCAAATAGAGAAATTACTTCATTTTTGTCTAACTCATGGGTGGCGGGGAGGAGTGTTAAAGGCTTAATTAAGTTTGAATTTTTTTCTTCAAAATTTTAAAAAAAAGTTTTTTTTCCCGGGCAACGCCGGGTTTTTCAGGTAGTTTCCATATAAAAATTACAAATTTATATGCGTAGAGTGATTAAAGAACGAAATTGTTAAAAATTAAGACGTTTCCAAAAGAAAATAAGACGATATAGCTTCCTCATTGTTGCCCTGATAAAGTTATGAATAATATCTAGGTGCTACCAACCATACCACAGTCTAGACTGAAAAACCAACCCAGATTAGAGCAGGTTTAAAATATATGTTCCATATAATTATTCATATTGAAATTAGGTTGAAACTTTAACATTTTAGGTTGGAACTGGAGTTAAATTTCACCAAGAAGAGGTTTTTATATTTCACTCCACACTGACTGAACTACAGGTATAAAATCTAGCGTAATATGACTGCATGCTCCAAGCCTGAAAAGCCTACGCAGCAAATTTACACACAAAGGAATTGAGTCTTTGCCACAAACCCTGATTGTTTAATCCCAATATCTCTGCAACTCGTTGTCGCACACCTTAAATATTTCAAACTAAAAATATTTAATCCAAAAAATTATTAAGTTTGAAATATCTAAGGTTCACGATAATGGACAGGAAAGATATAGGGATTAGAAAATCAGATTTGTGGCAAAGACTCAATTCCTTCTGAGTATTTACTACCACCCTCTCTCAGCTTTATCTTTGAAACACTGTACATTTCATGGCATCCTTATTTTCCTTTTTAAATGTCATAACAATTTCTGTCTTTCCTTCCCTTCGACCTACCAATTACGTCTTTTCTTTCTTTCTTTCTTTCTTTCTGAAGATAAAGAATCCATCTTGCCTTGGTTAGTTCAATGTTCGAATTGCTCCTCTGATGCATTCTAATAATCAATCAAGTTCAAGTTAGTTGAAAATGGAAAATCCGCCATATTTATTTTTGAAACCCACAAACCGAAAATAACCTTTAGTTCTAAAAGTTACTATGAATCCCTAGCGTACATTTATACTTTAACAAACAATGTATATGTGAGGTCTATTCAAGAAATTCACTAACAGTAAAAACATTTTCATTACTTAAATTTGTCCACGTCAGAACTGACTGAATTCGAAATAACCGGCTAAGTTATTACAGAATAAGATTGAGCTTTGCCTATAGCATAGTTGATCATATCATCATTAAGGCGTACACATGCTCCAACAAAAGAAGAAAGAATCCTTCTTATATCCATGCTCTATACTATCCATCTCCTTCTTATAAGTTAAAATCCTTACTCTACTCTATCCTTCTCCTTCTTATATCCTAGCTCTACTCTAGCCTTCTTCTCCTTATATCCTAGCTCTACTCTATCCTTCTCCTTCTTATAATCCTTGATCTCCTCTATCCTTCGTCTTCTTATAATCCTTGATTTACTCTATCCTTCTCCTTCTCATATCCTAGCTCTACTCTATCCTTCTCCTTCTTATATCCTAGCTCTACTCTATCCTTCTCCTTCTTATAATCCTTGATCAACTCTATCCTTCTCCTTCTTATATCCTTGCTCTGCTCTATCCTTCGTCTTCTTATAATCCTTGATTTACTCTATCCTTCTCCTCCTTTTAAATCTTGCTTTATCCTATCCTTCTCCTTTTTTATAATCCTTGATCTACTCTTTTTTCTCCTTATAATCCTTGAACTATTCTATCCTTCTCCTGATAATCCTTGATCTACTCTATCCTTCTCCTTCTTATAATCCTTGAACTCCTTTATCCTTCTTTTTATAATCTTTGATCTACTCTGTCCTTCTCCTTCTTATAATCCTTGATCTACTCTATCCTTCTCCTTCTTAAAATCCTTGATCTACTCTATCCTTCTCCTTCTTATAATCCTTGATCTACTCAATCCTTCTCCTTCTGATAATCCTTGTTCTACTCTTTCCTTCTCCTTCTTATGATCCTTGATTTTCTCTTTCCTTCTCCTTATAATCCTTGATCTATCCTATCCTCCTTCTTATAATCCTTGCTCTATCCTATCTTTTCTTTCTCTACCTACACAGGAACGTACTCAGGAATTTGTTGGGTGGAGGTCGCTTATAGTTATAACCTCTCTAGGGGGGGGGGGGGGTTAGGTTAGGTTGGGGCCTTAAACACCCTGGAAATCCAAAGATTGTACTGCTCCAGGGGGAAGGCTGACCCCAAATCGCCCCCCCCTGAGTACGCCTCTGTACGATAATAATAAAAGTTTTCCTTGTTTTAGAATATTATCGACAAGTCAATAAGACGAGGTGGTTTACCCTCTGATCTTTTCACCTCTCTTCAAGCTGCCAGGAATTTAGTCAAAAAAGTATTATAAAAGTGGGTTTAGTTTTACAAAATTAATATGAGTTTTCTTTGGCTAAAAATATACATGCAGGTCCATATTTTTCAATCTAAATATAAAAACAGCGATTTCAACGACCATATATAGCTTTCCCCCCCCCCGATTTTTCGACAAACTTTTTTTTGTTTTGTTTAAAGTTAGAGATTTAATATCTTTAAATGAGCAGGCCTAGAAAAATTAGTTTATGACCTTTATAGGGATATAGGTTTTACCAGGAGAACCCCCTTTAAATAAACTTGAATCTCTGTGTTTGACTTAAAACCTTGTTTAGGGAGCATAATCTATCATTGGTAGAACTATTTTATAAATTAATACTTCAGGCTGAATACTCCCAGGTCAGATAAATCAATTAATTAATCAAAATATAAATAAATCCACAAAAATTATATTTTTACTTTTCATCAAAAAATTTCAATTTTAGGATAAATCTGTAGTCATTTCACCAGAAGACTCAAGGTACAGTTTAGTTTTTAAACAATAAAATTCTTTGAACATATTAATTGATTTCTTTCTTTTTCTTTAGATTATTTGCTCGACACTTCCACTTCCTACGAGCCATCTTTCCGTTCCTATAGTCGTAGAACATCGTTAATCATTATTCTTCCGTTATTTTGTTATATTAATAAGTATTAAAGACGACATCTAAGTATTGAATACGATATTTTAATATTGAAATTACGGTATACGGTAAAAGCTTTATTTTTGCCAACTAAATTTAATTCTACTAATGTTAATTTGAACCATATTTTCCATTTTTCACTTTTTAAGACGACATTAAGAAAAATATTAACTATTCCGACAAACTTAAGGTTTTTAAGTTAATTTTTTACTTTATCTATAAAATACTGAATTGTTGCGTTTTTGAATCTCATAAATTCTTTTTGGTCATAATATGCCCATTCCAAAGCCTAGTCTCATTCTTAAGTATATATGTAAATTGTAGCATTGTAAATAATAAATTTGTTAAACTTAATTTAAACATAGGTTTTGTCAACCAGTGTTTCTTGACATACAGGTTTGCCCACAAAGGATGAGACTTCCCGAGACGACTGAACTCGTTTCTTTCATTTATTAAGCTATTAGCAGATTATGATCTGTAGACTGAAATAAACCTTGGGTTCGTCATATTTTAATAATCTTTGGTCGTCTCAACAGTCTCATCCAAAAATGATCAAAAATATTACGCTCGGTAACGAATCGATCTTGTAAGAGAAAAAGGTGCAATAGTGGTGGGATCCATAAAACTTTAGGATAGAAAACTTCATTGTCCAATGAACATGAAAAACAGCAATGGCGCCTAAAATGCAGTGAACAGTGCACACAGACCGATTCATTAAATATATTTGAGTCGCTAGTCTATATGGTGAGAGATTAGAGAATCAATAAAAGCGGAAGGGGTGTGGGACTTTTACATTTACATGCAAGGGACAAATAGGATCACCCTCAAAGCATGAGACGCTAAAGACGACTGTATGAAATTTGAACTGTCTGTTTTCTTATATTTATGGTTCCCCAATATTTAAAAATTCCACGAAAAAGACTGTCTTAAGGCACAAGACTTACTTCTGCCTTGGAGTAGTCATATTAGGAGAGTTTAAGGTCGTGTTCTTAGTCTCATCCTTTCAGGATAACCTTGTAAAATTGATAAGTAAAGTAAACCGGAAGTGAAGGGAACCGGAAGTGACAAAAATCTTTCCCTCAAACATAAAATGACAAATCTCACTTAATATCATCTCTTAGTTTTTTGATAAAGTTTTTGTAAGTCTCTTTACCAAGAGTAATAGTAATCGTTCTTATTCCTTACAAGTTAATAATTCACAACATATTTTTGGAGAGGGCAGGTTTTCCCCTGTCGAAAGCCTAAAATTCTAAGAAAAAAAAAACGCTGGAAAAATTTCTAAAATTAGGTTTGCAAGAAATGAATGCCTCAGCAAGAAAATTAACTGATGGACAGGGTTACTAGGAAAGGATTAAAATTTAATGACTACCTAAAATGTCTTAAATATGTCCCTAACGATTTAAATTTAGTCTTTTAATGGTATACTTTTCGACTTAAAGGGAGTGACCGGCTATGTAAGGTAGTTTAACTGAGTATGCAATGTTGTGGAAAACTTCTTTCGGATTCATTTGAGACATATTAAAATTTAAAGATCTGTGAATCCTGAGTTTGAGCGCAAATTCGACGTTCAAAACTCCGACTTTGGGGGTGGATACGTTTTCAGAATTAGTTTTTCTTTTAATTATTCGTAAAATTTCGTAGAGTCGTCTCTGAAGTCTCCATTCTTGTGGAAAACCCTGTAGATAGTTTGTGGACTGTTTACAAACCTTGATATCTGACTTTTCTATCGTAGTTCTGCTCTGGATCTTAGCATTTACAGAAGCAGGAGTCAATAACTGAACAAATTATACAGTGATTCTTAAATATAATCATCATTTTGCAATTATGAATTATATCCTTTCTTCAAAATGTTTGACACAATTCATTGATTTATTCAATACTATGTTAAATAATTAAACACTTTTTTCGTTTTATTAATATTCATTTGACGGGTGTGTAAAAAGTTGAACTTCAATTTAATTTAAGTCATTAATAATTTCATACAATACTTTATTCGTAATATATTTTGGTAATTAAAATAATTTTAAAATATTGATGTTCATGGTTAATTAATATTTTGGATAAATTATACAATATCTACATGACTTACAGCTGCAAAATTTTTCGTCTGTTTTATCTATTACTCTTTTTTTTACATTTCAATCAACTTTATCTTATCTTACCATGATTATTGTACAGTTGTCGTCATGTGTATCAATACAATGAAGACGAATTTCGATTTTAATTTCTAACAAGGCTTCAAACAAAATGAATACATACAAACACGGAAACCAAGAAAAACTGTAAATAAACATCTTCTCTTTCTTTGGTTGTAAACTTGTAATATTAAAAAAACTTAAAATAGAAAAGACGATCTTCATTATATTGATATAAACGTCGATAAAATATATAGTACCTGAACAGCATATCTGAGTGTAGCTTTACTTCCGATTTGACCCAGAACAGCTAGAGCTGAATCCTCAACTGTTAAACCTTCAGTAGCTGCTCGGATACGGATAATTTGAACCTGGAGCAAACAATTATTTATAAATCCTCAGCGCTTAAAAAAAAACAAAGAACAAATTGAATAAAGAGGGAAGGTACAGAGCTAAATTGAACCACTTCGTTTGTACTTGAACCGGAACAAAGAGATGTGGTTCAACTTCGCTAAATTTAGTCACAGAAAACAAGTTTTCTTCCGCGCTATTTCTGAAACATCCATTAAAGTTCCATTAAGAAGAAATTAAAGACATTGAATCGTTTTCCAAAAAATTTCCAAGTTATTAATTTAAAAAGGGATTTTTTATATAAAATTTGTACTGGTTCATTTGTATCCAATAAACGTCAAGACTCCTGAACCGATCGGGCCCAAATTTCGTGTGGGACCTCACATAATTCAAAAGAAAGTTTATGGATGCTTAAAACAATGTGTCCAAAAGTTTTTGAATTTTGTAAAATTTTGAAAATGCGTGAAAAAATATTATTTAATCCGCGAACTTTTTTTTTATTGTTTTATATTTTACAAAGAGAAGATGCTCAATGTTAGAGCCAAAATTAAAAGTTGAAATAGAAGATGAGAATGATTACCATTTCTTCCTCTGTGTAGGGCAGTGTGCGTATGATGAGAAGTCTGTCCAGTAAATCAATAGGTATTCCATGCGGAGATACAATATCCTTAAAATCATTTTTTATTTTGAAAAATGTTCATGACATAAGTTCTACCTAGCCCCCCCCCCTCAAAAAAAGTATTACGGGGTCCCTCTTTAAAGGTTTATAAATTCATTGATATAAAAAATACTTAATAAATAATAATGCATCATTTTGGCCGCTGTACCTGTGTGCCCCTGATAACAGATTTTCCCCTGTTTGTGGCAAAGATAACAATGGGGGAAATGGTAGACTCCAGAGCTCTGTGCAGGTAGGTGAAACATTCAATATCCAGCATATGAACCTAAGATAAATAAAGATGAGCTGCCTTATTGATATATTTGATTAAAATAAAATTTATTTTTATGCGGATCCTGGATCCCTTCTGCAAAAAATCGATCCAAATCAAGCTTATAAATACTTCTTAGCAATTTTGCAAAATTTGTTATACATAAAATTCCAAAATTGTGCTCTGTTTCCGTTAATTTGTTGGTGGATTTAGAACCGAATATCTATTGGGATCCGAATCCTATGCACTACTTAAATACAGCTAGTTGCTTTTCATAGATAAAATGTTATTTTCTTTGTCGTAATTCAGCGTTCAGAATTGTTTGTCATGAACTAGGGGTCATCAACAATGCACATTTGAAAAAGTTCTAATATTTAATTTTTTATAAAAACTTAAGTCATTGTTATCCAGGTAGTATCATAATAATAACTCAATACTGTGTTCAGAATATGCCTTAATCATTTAAACTTAACATTATTTTTGACCAAAATTGGTGATTTCGTTGGATAAAACTAATTTTTCACGGACGTTCGAGAGCTTTTAGTAGATGCACCTATTGGTAATTTGACAGCAAATATTCGATTAAACTTTTTTTAAAGTTCAGATTTGAGTTTTGAAACAGGAGATAATTTTTTTCAGTTTTTGGATCCGGATCCGTGGATCCGCATATTTTTGTGGATCAGTATCCGGGAATCCAAAATGTTGCGAAGCCAACGGGCCCGGATCTTAAGAACGGACATTTAGTAAGAGACGTCTGTGCACGTATGAATTTACCTCGTCAATAAATAGAACACCAGGAACAAGTTCAGCAATACCTTCATCTATATATTTATTTACAACCTGAATATTTAGAAAAATCAATCAATCAATCTATCATTTTATCAATTAATAAGTTTTAGTAGAATCATGTTTTAAATACAGATTCTTTTTACCTTGTTAATCTCCCTTCTTAGTTTATCGGTTATTTCTGTTTTCTTTTGTTTGAGAAGTTGTCCCATCATCGACATTATATCCTGTCCACCCTGTGGCCTAAACAATAAATAGACATCATATCTTGTCCCCCTTGTGGCTTTAACAATAAATAGACATTATATCTTGTCCCCCATGTGGCCTTAACAATAAATAGACATTATAATGTCCCCCTTGTGGCTTTAACAATAAATAGACATTATATCTTGTCCCCCATGTGGCTTTAACAATAAATAGACATTATATCTTGTCCCCCATGTGGCTTTAACTATAAATAGACATTATATCTTGTCCCCCATGTGGCCTTAACAATAAATAGACATTATAATGTCCCCCATGTGGCTTTAACAATAAATAGACATTATATCTTGTCCCCCATGTGGCTTTAACAATAAATAGACATTATATCCTGTCCACCCTGTGGCCTTAAAAATAAATAGACTTTATATCCAGTCCACCCTGTTGCCTTAACAATAAATAAACATTATATTCTGTCCACCCTGTGGCCTTAAAAATAAATAGACTTTATATCCAGTCCACCCTGTTGCCTTAACAATAAATAGACATAATGTCCTCTCTACCCTGTAGTCAACATTAAAAAATTGGGTTTTTTAAGACTCTATATTCTGTGCAGTAGAGGAGGGAATCAATTGACTTTTTTGATGTTAAACATTGGAATAACCCAACCCCGGTTTTTGTGGGGTCCATAAAGTCCAAATATGAAAAAAAAATTGGGCCTGTAGTCTTCGGGTGGTAGCATTTCTCATTTAAAGTTAAAATTTCTAAAATTTTTTTTATATTTATAGATTGAACTTTAAATAAAATTTGCAAGCCCGAGACCCATCTCCAAAAATTTCAATTACACATTTAGGGCTTTGTTGATTTATAGATAGGTCAAATATTTCAGAAGATATAGGTAGTTTAAAAATAAAGTATTTGCCTTTTTTGGATCTTTTAGAACCTAAATTTTGGCATGATTAAAGCAGGTTTTAAATAATGATATTGATTTTCTAAATCTTAAATCCCTGACAGCAGATAATTTGACGAGGATTGATTACCATTTTATACATTTTTTTTGAGGGGCAAAATAAACAGATTTTAAAAATAATTGGAATAGAAAGTCAGCGAAAATGAAGACGACATTTTAAAAATTCGTCCAAAATTTCCATAGTCTGCAGACCAGAAGCTGGGAAGGGTTTAGATGTCCCCAAACCTTTTTCCCCTGCATTCGTAAATCGTGACCGAAAACCAGAACTATACAGGGGGGGTTGGCAGCGTGATGTTATATTCTGAAACAAATGTCGTCTTTGCACCGAATACGACGACATTCTTATCTTAATAAATGGAATTTAAGGCAACTTCAGCTTTTAAATGTTGAATTTAAATATTTTTTTCCATATCAATTAATTTTTGAAGTTATATCGCAACTTATTTTGCATACCGTCTTCAATTTTGTAAACAACGACCTTCTTTACTATGCATTGTGGCACCCTGTGATCAATCTAACAAAATTTAGAAATCAAACATTATTTTCTGTCCACCCTGCGATAAAATACATTAAACTCCACCCTTTATATACTTACACACAAAAGACTTTTAATAAACACGAGAAAAATTTAGTAAAAATCCCCCCTCCCTTTATTCTTACCACGAAACTGATTACATGAAATTACAGGGGTGGTGGGGTCCTACCTAGCATTTGCTACATCAAGATCATGAAGTGTTACATCCTGAATAACCTCCTTGCGCTTGTGTACATCTCCCTGCAGTGTAGATTATAATTCACATGATAAAACTATTTATGCATTTACAAATCAAAAAACACAGGGGTCTATATTTTTTAGAATTACCATGATTCTTCGAGATAATATACACCCCTGTCAGATTGATTGATGCGAACTGGACTTTGTTATTTATTTTGTTGCAAAAAAGTTAAACTTAAAACATTGCCAGATTTTCTTAATATTCGACATTTTCACTAGCTTTCTCTCCGGGAATTTCCAAGACATTTTTGTTTTACTATCTTATGTTATTAGAAGAATGCATCTTACTCATATTTATAGCAACTAATTATCTGGTAGTCTTATAGATTAATTAATAATTATAATTACCTTAGGAATTGGAACATATTCTTCAGCTTCAAGATCATATTCTGTAGCAAAACTATCGCTTCGACCCTGTTGAATTTAATGTTTAGTTGATTGATTTATTGGTTTGATTTTTATTTGCGCAGTTTACTTAATCAATTTATTATCTTATCAGTTTTCATTCATCCGTGACTTGATTACTGAATGATTACGTAATCAATCACCTTTCTGGAGATTTTTTGAGAGTTCATAGAAAGATGATTTCATGGATAAATGACACAAGGCTTAATCAAGTCTGAGTATTAGGTCAATTAATAATTATCTGATGGACTAGAACTATGAACATAAATAAAAATCGATTCATTAATGAATTAACCAATTTTACTGATTGATTGAGTCACCTGTCGCTTGACTGCTCCGCTGTTTGCTTCAATATAAATTACATCGCCAACCTGAAGTATCAAAAATTACATTAAATCTATAATTATAAATAAAACAAGGATTTACAGTGAACAAGAAAAGGTCCTTTAGGCAGGAAGAAAACATTGATTTCTTAAACTAATTTTTTAAATTTTAATAATTGAGAACTTTTGATAAGTTTCTTAATTGAGTGTAGACTGTACAGTCCCTTTCATTACTGTTAAGATAACAAACCTCTACTCTTTCTTTTTGTAGATTCTCGTAAATAGATGGATCAAGTTTGAGTTGCTTCGTTCCCTTAGCTGTCTTTAAACCTAAAGAAATATATTATATACTCGACTTCCAACCATCTTGATTTTCTCTGTTACTTTTTACGACAATTTCGCGTTTTAAATTATCTAACAGTGGCAAAAAATATCGCGAATTTATCGATAATTTGTGTGTGGATTTCGAACGATGGAAATTCGTTAATGGCAAACTTTTTAATTCTGAACATCCATAAACCCTCCCTAGAATCAAGTGAGGTCCCACAATATTTCACGGGATTTGTATTAGGAATCCGAAATAAAATCAATGAAAATAAAGAGGTCATGTCATAAATTTCAACTTGAATTATATGTATTATTCGAGATTTTATATGGTACATTGTATATCATCGTGATTTGGAAATTGGAATTTACTCTAAGTTCAATAATTGAAATGTCAACTTGAAAATGTCTTACCAAGAACAACATGGGACACGGTCTTAGAGAATCCTCCGGCCGGGTTCTCCGTTTCTACCGGAGATATCTCGGTAACTTCGCCTTCATAAACCTCCTTCGTTTCTAAAAATATGGAATTTATTGTAAAAAATGTAAATACATATAATACTAGGGCTCTTACAATAAAAATAGCTCTTAAATGTTTTTATGACAAATGTTATATATCAACTTAAAGGATTTTCCCGCTTTTGAGGTTGGATTTTCAAAATATTGCAAAGCTTATTAAACTTTGAATGCTCATAAACTTCCCTTGGTCACGTAATTTACAACAAAAAACTTGAGCCTGATTGATTTCCCTGTTTTCTATCATAAACATCGTAATCTTAACTAAAACTACGTTGGAGCCATTGCTTTCAGAATTTAACGAAGAAATATTAGTTTTGAACACGCGCAAATAATAACTATCGTAGTAAAGGTTGTGGTAGAAAAAGAAAAGAATAGTCAGAAGTAATCATTTTCTACGCTTAGTGCTATTCCTAGATCAAAACACATACTAAATAAACAAATTGCACAAAATCTGAATTTTAAGGTTTATATGCAATTTATATTTCCCGAAATAGCTATAAATCATTGATAAACCTAGATAGACATTTTACTACACATTTTACAATGAGTGTGGGGGGGGGGGGAATAGATGCGACCCTGTAACACCTACCCTTGATCCTGAGTCCAATAGCTCGACGGAAATGTTCCATAAGAACTTCAGTTTTCTTTATCTCAGAGGAGAACACCTCACTCCCGACCATGGGGCAGAACGGAACCTAAAATAAATTTTTTAATAACGAATTTTTGAATCAATTCTTCTTTGGTATACAATATGCATACCTTGTTTCCAAGTTCGTGCGCGATGGCGAGCGCAAGCGCAGTTTTCCCTGTGCCGGGGGGACCAGCCATTAGAATTGCTCTTCCAGCCATTCTCTTTGCCTGGATATAACACAAGATGTATTTAATGTAGAAGCACAAATAAAAAAGTAAATTTAAAGTTTGATCAGTGTTAGCAGAAGAAAAAGATCATGAAAGACCCCCAATGTGGGATCCCCTGACCGACATCCGAGAGAGGGTCTCAGTCAGGTGCTGATTCCCGACCAGTTCAATCTGGCACCCTAATCTCATTCCCCCTACTCTAAGGGAAATAGGTAAAATAATAAGTAGAACTAGAGATTTTTTTACTTTATTGATAGGTCAGAAAGGTTGAAGTGCTAAAAAATGTTTGTGATTGTTAAATTTAGAAGCTTGATACCTTGATTAAATCCGTGACAAGTCCTGCAGCTTCTCTAGCCTGCTCCTGACCAACCAGTCCAGAGGAAACCTTTAATTAAGATGAACTATTTTTTAGAAAAGAAACTCAAATTTTTAAAATCACTATATCTTTGCAACCTGCTGGTATAAACCTTTGATATTTCAAACTTAGATTATTTTATCCAACAGAATTGACATCTAAGGTCTAGTTCATTGAGTTTTAAAGATATATGGAGTTTAGGGAAGTCAAGGATGTTAACCTAGGGCTACAGAACACTACGGGTTCTGGTAACCCTGCACACGCTTACATCCAGGGTTCACCAATAGAACATGACTTAATCGGACTAAACAGCCGACCCAAAACATGATTGATATGTGTATAGGAAGGGGGAGTGCTGAGGGTGGGATTGCCTGGGGCCCGTATTCAGGAACAACCCCAGAAATTTTCTTTAAATAAATAAATATATAGGGTAACAAATTAGAGTTTGTGGCAAAGACTCAACAACTTAAAAAAACTTAAAACACCTCTTATCCAACTTTTCAAAACGGTCAGCAAGATGTACAGATTATTTTTGTTATAAACACCAAGTAAAACGCTCTAACAACTAGGCGAAACAAATGAAGCTAAAAAATCTCAGATCAAGAGAATACCCGATTTTATCTGAAGTCGGAATAAACAAATAATATCTTAGCATACCTTGATAGCAGTTCCATCCTCGTTCAATCCCAGACCTGTAATATATTTTAGGCATGAAGTAATCATATATTTGAAGACATGTGCGGGTTTAATTACAATATGATGACATAAAATGTTTGTCGATTTCTAAATGCACACCCAGGATTATACTAATTCTTAATCCTGATTCCCATTTTAGCATAGTTCCGTTTAATACAGGCTTGACTGCAAGGTGTCTCCGATTATAGTCCTACCCGGTCGTTCAAGTTGAATTTATAATTAATAAGGAAGCCATAATAGGCCGGTCCAAAAGGGTGCATTAGAATGGAATTAGAACATTAATAAAAATATGATTTGATACCTAACTTGACCCATTTTAGTAACTATAAATTTTGACCTCTAGAGGAGGTCATGAATAGTTAGGAGGTCAACTACTGCTAGGGTGTAATAACAATCTTTTACAAAATAGGATCCTTCAAATGAAATCAAATCAAGCACTAAACGTGACATTATACTTAGTCTTGACATATTTGAGAGCATAATGGAGAAGAGGTCAAACCAGAGGTCGGATATATGTGGCATATTTTTATATTTGTTTGCTTAAAGTATTAAAAATTGTCTGGCCATGCTGAAATTAATGAGATGGTGTGAACCAATTGGTATTTTCTGTAGAATCTTATTCTTTGGATCGTATAGAAGTCTCCCTTTCGAAATTCTACATTTCCCAATTGTCAAAGTTGGATGGAAGTCTGAAGTCATAATGAAGGTAGATAATCTAGCCTTAATCCTACCAACCAGGATTAGTTAAACAACTACATAAAGATATCTACCTTTTACATGAGTGTGGGCTGAAATCCTCTGGGTTTTAATTGTTGATTTGACTTCTTCGATCTTCATTTTTTTCTGAAACATTATAATCGTTATGAGTGTAATTAATAATGCAAAATCGAAAAAAATTAGTAGCTAAAGCCGTAATTCCTAAAGAACGATTTTTGCCCCCCCCCCCTCCTATAATTTTTTTACATGGTTAACAGATGTTAACACATGGATATCATTGGTAATGTGGCCAGAGGCACGGCCCCCTAGCCTGTCCTAGCTGCAGCGCACAGCCCCCTAGTGGAACCCCCACATCGCCTTCAAGGCACCAAACACCATCATGCAGATAGCGGCCTGGAGTCCAAACTGGATGGGAGCGCAAATTTTTAACGCCCGTGCCCTCTTGGTACATTCCAGTGGCTGGCTGTCAGAATGACAAACTGTGTTTTAACTATAATAATTATTTTTAATTAAATTTTACAATATTCTTAAATTTCTATATGATATCAAATGGAAACATTTAGTTTAGAGACTTTTATATTTCTTATTTTTCATTCTTTCTTCTTGATCATCCATTCCTTGTCCATCCTTCAATGATTCAATCATACTTTGGCTAATTTTGAAAATATAAAGAAATTAGTTTTTTGGATGTTTTCTTCAGCTGGTAAAATTGCAAGAGAAAGAACTATTTTCCTAACCCTGTATCTTGGACCTATTCTGAGAGGAGCAAGGCCAATTCCCTCTCCCCTTGCTTCAGTTTCATATTCTGCTTGAGTCAGATGTTCTACACATTTTCCAATTTTATTTCGAGTGGACAAAGGAGGGGGAGGGGGGGGGGAGGATGGGACGTCTGCGATTCTGAGTATTTGTCTTTGTTCACTATCGATGAAAAAAAATGGATAGTGTAAAGCTCTAATCCTCTTCTAATTTTCCTGGTCAAAGTTTTCTTCTCTCTTGTTTGGCATGTTTTTACACTGTTTTCAGTTTTTGCTTTCTAATCTGTTAAAGACATATTGCTTGCATCAGCTACTTTTCTACACACTTTCCGTGATATTTTCTTGGAGCAGGGAGGCGTGCTTTAATCACCACCCTGCAGAGTGCTGAAATGACAATTGTTAAACTGTACTCGTTCAAGAAGGGAGTATAGGACCCTGCCAAAAAAACCTATGTGGGGGGCAGGCAGGCATCCTTTGATTAAAGTACATAGATTGCCCTAAGTACTTGATCCTACCACCAAACCCTATGGAGTCCGGCTTGCGATACAGCAATTCTCGATCCATCGAGTCATGTGGGACGTCCACTACGAAACCATTCTGGACCTCACTATAAACTAGCCCTCTGACTCGCAGATTGGATCTATCCTGCCATGGAGTACCTTTATTAATTATTATTCAAATCTTTTTATTGATCAAAAGTACAAAAACAACAAGTAAACTTTATATATATATATCAAAGATAGGTACATTTTGATTTTAATATTTTACATGGAGCATCTGTTTATTTATGTGGAAATCTTAGAGATTAGGTAAATGACACAATTTTCATTTTTATTTTGAAGTTAAGCAAATTCAGTAATGACAGTAAAATGAGCTGACAACATTTAATGAGGGCTCGTAGGGATATGCTTTCACTTTTCAGTTCAAATAAAGACCAATTGTAACAAAGGCAGAATCTAAGATGGTGATCCGAAAGAATATAAAAATATAAAAACAACAACACGAGATGCGAATAACGTACATGAATAAAGAAAGAATAGGAACAATAAAAACAATAAGGCGATACACCATTAAGTAGCCAATGGGGTCTCGTTTTGGAGTGTTAACGAGAGGTGTTTTAAACATGAGCATTAATGATAGACCACTGTAGAACGATGAAAAAAAAATGCTTACAATGTACATTTTAAAGTTTTAGTCTAAAACAAAGTACAAGTAGAAAGATCATAAGCAGAAACTGTGACGGGGATCAGAAGGAATTGCCAAAAAATACAAAACTTGGAAAAATAAAATGATTAGATGATTCACCATTAAGTAACAGTATTATCTCGTTTTAAATTGTTGGCGAAATGTGTTTAAAACAAGGGGTCTGTCCTAGCATACGATTTTTTAATCATTGCAAAAAAGAGATTAAAAACATCAAATAATTGGTAATGTTATGCAACCTACATCAAAAAAAATATAATTATTCTTGAACTATTTCAGTTTCGATCACACATTTCTCCCCGTGTGTTGTGATTGCGCTGAATGCCGCTGAATAGTCTCAAATAATCACGAAACCTCATATTTTATATTTTAAAAGTAGCTTGTTTAAAGCTGTTTTATCGAAGAAAGAAGATATTTTCATTTTCAAATCTACATTTTATTATGAAAGGAAAAAATGTACATGTCTTGATTAAGATATTTATTATTTTTTCTGGATTTAAATAATTATTAAGTTAACGAAGACGACTAAAATAGTTTCTAAATATTTCACTAGATGTCTCTAGGAGTTGAACAACCCTTATAATTATCATCTGTGACGTCACTCCTGTATCCGCCATTGACATCCCTTGTGCGCGCGCTCAACGTAAGGAACGTATTTTTGAGTAAGGGGGGAGGGGGCCAATGTGCGTATTTATAATAATATTTCTTGGATTCTTTCAAGCTGTTTTTTCTCCAATAACTCTAATTTCGTGGTTTCGCTGAGAAATTATTTGTAAAGGTTAAAATCAGCTGATAATGTTTTGAGTGTAAGGTAATTTCCTAGAGAACGATTTTTGGTCCCCGCCCCCCTCCCTCTTACCATTTTTGTACATTGATCTCATATGTAACACATGGATTCAATTGGTCATGTGGCCGCAGCGCCCGGCCCCCTAGCATGTCTTAGCTGCAGTGCTCGGTCTCCCAGGTTGTCCTAGCCGCAGCGCTCGGCCCTAAAATTGTCTTAACCCAACCTAGCCCTGAACTAATAAAAGACGCATCCGAATATCATTTCTTCTTATATTTCAGAGCCTTAGTTCTCTAGTGTAATGGAAAAGGATGGTGTACAGGGCGACAGTGTAGATACTTGCACTAATAAGGTAATAATTTGATATTTACATCTGAAATCATGTGGTGTATCTTTCGACCTACGCCAATCCGCTACACTCCACTTCTGACCTACGCCAAATCTGCTATGCTACACATCCGACCTACTAGCACGTGGTTTTACAGCTGCTATATGGACTTGTGGCCGCAGCGCCCGGCCCCCTAGCCTGTCCTAGCCGCAGCGCTCGGCCCCTAGCCCATCCTAGCCGCAGCGCTCGGCCCAGAAAGTGTCTTAAATAACCTAACCCGTGGCCGCAGCGCTCGGCCCCCTAGCCCATCCTAGCCGCAGCGCTCGGCCCAGAAAGTATCTTAACCTAACCTAACCCTAAATAACAAAAGAAAGTGTCTTAACTAACCTAACCCGTGGCCGCAGCGCTCGGCCCAGAAAGTATCTTAACCTAACCTAACCCTAAATAACACAGAAATTGTTTTAAATAACCTAACCCGTGGCCGCAGCGCTCGGCCCCCTAGCCCATCCTAGCCGCAGCGCTCGGCCCAGAAAGTGTCTTAACTAACCTAACCCGTGGCCGCAGCGCTCGGCCCCCTAGCCCATCCTAGCCGCAGCGCTCGGCCCAGAAAGTATCTTAACCTAACCTAACCCTAAATAACAAAAAAATAAATAATAATAAATTTGCTGAAAAATAAATGGTCATGTACAAAATTGATAAAGGGGGGGGGTCAAAAAATCGTATACTAGGACAGACCCCGCGGCGCTCGGCCCCCTAGCCACTGTGTTCGGCCCAGAAAATTTCTTAACCTAACCTAACCTTCAAAGTTCAATTAATACAAAAATTAAAAGCTGACGTAGGTCCGACATTGCAGTAGGTCGGAAAGTTAGTAGGTCAGAAGCTCAGTAGGGTGGATGTTACGTATAGACAATATAACATTACCGAAATGAAGAAGATCTTTTTTAAAGAATTTTATAAAAAATTGTAATTTCGTTGATTTTTGGAAATATGATTTATATATGTTTTCGTTTAGGAGAGTGTTGAAGATCCAGCAAAACAGAATATTAAAAAACCAGGTAAGAACTATCATTGCCGTAAAAAGATTGGGNGGGGGGGGAGGGGTAAATCTTCTTGAGAAAGATAAGATCTTTTCTTATAAATTCAACTTAATTATTATGTTGAAGGACCTTCCAAAATAACAAAACTGTCTGAAGACGACCCTAAACCCGGGCCGAGCAACTCAGCCGCAGATTTTGATCTCGAGGTGAGCAATATTTGTTAAAGATACTTGGGAAATGGTTTTCAAAGTTTTTGAATTGGACTAAACAGACGTCAGCTAGCAAGTTGCCCGGTAATTTCCTATATAACGATTTTTACTACAAAGATGGCGACACTTCGGTTCTTAAATTCGGTAAAATCTAGAATTTATCAGATATCGCAGTGGAAGGACGTAGGTTTCACCAGCTTGTATAATCTTAAATATCCATTCAGGTTTTTGATTCTGGATCATCCTGTTCCAATGAAGAGTGCTGGGGCGTGGATAGAAAAATAGTAAAAGTAATAGTTTTGAACTAGTATTAATATTTTGTTGAAAATTACATATTACGCTTTAAATGTATATTTCCCCGTCTGGGTTCGAATTTGAGTACAGGCCAAGAGTGAAACTGTTCATAAAATTTAAAAAATCTCGCAATTAAATGTAAAAAAGTTTAACTATCTAACATAATAAATGTCTTGAATTGGATGTGAATTATGCAGTGGTATATGCTTTCTCGAAAAATTATTTTCCCCCCCCCCCCTTAAAAAATAGTTATCCCCTTACAGTCATATATGCTTAATAATGATATTCACTGAATTGAAGGGGGTCCATATAATTCCATCCAATACGGTCCCAAATAATTAATTGATATTAGGGGCAGAAATTAGCCATGTCGTTATTGTAAACATTTAGAAGTATGATGTCAAATTATAGAAAAAATTTCACACTGCAGAATGTTTACTGCAAGGGAGCGTTATTTTTCAGCGTATCATAATTTGTCTCTTTTATATATTACTGATATTTACATCCTTTAACACCCCAAATGCAATACACATTTCTGAACTGTAGTACACGTACACAATAAACTTGTCAACGTTCACAATGACCCCTGTTTAATTGGGAAAATAAATGATTTTTTGGTAAAAAGTATCTAAAAGAATGAAAAAAGTTGCCTCTTCATGTCAAATACCCTCCCCCCCCCCTCCTTCCCCTACTTTCCCAATTATTAAAAATCACTTTGGGGTGCGGGGTTTTTTTTCTGAAGAATATACACCCCCTGAAATTGTGTTTTAAATGATTTAGAAGTTGAATCCTGGTGTTGAAACCATCACTGGAAATAAACCTGTTAGTTCAGATAAAATTAAGGTAAAAACTCATTTTTTTGGAGCCTTTCTTCGACAAAGTTTGACGATCTAAAGGGACTGCCATCGTAATTTTAATAGACACTCCATTTAAAGTGGGGTATACCCATAAAACCTGAATCTGATCTAATATGTGAACAATGACGTAGTTCTTCATTGATTACGAAGTTACTTTCGAAGAGAAACGTAAGAATGAAAATTAACAGTGTTCGCAAAAAAATATCTTTTTCTTTTTAGATCTGACAAAGCTTTTAGTGTACTGTTGTAAATCGGACATTCCACTCATTTGACAGTCCCGTAAAGAAGGAATAATCAAGAAGCTAGTTTTGGAAATTTTTTCCTCTAAAAAATATAAATTTTTCGGAATAGTCCTGATTTATTAGGGAGGGGTTATGAATCATATGTTAAGGAAATATCAACCTTATAAAAAAAAATCTGGTTTTCAGATTGCAAAAATGTCAGATTTTTAGAGACATAGAAAACGTACTGTGAACTAATATTTAATCATTTCACTAAATGAAAATATTTTTTGTATCACGTTTTATTACCCTTGGTGCAAGCCAAAAAATTAAGTTAATTTTTTTATTAAAGTATGTATCCATAATGTTGAATTTTTAGATGGATGAGTACCCTTCAGACAGTGAGACAAAATCGACCACCGTTTTAACAAGAAAACACCATAGGAAAAACAAATATTATGTTAATCATTTAATGTAACATCATGAAAAGATTATGATTTTTAGCTGAATTTGGTAACAAAAGATATAAATTGGCCATAAACTGATTTTCGAAGAGTCGAGGGGGGTGACTTAGAAGAAATTATACACTCCTGTGACAGATTGAAGAATTTTGATTTATTATTGAAATAAATATGTTTGAAAATGTAGAGAAACTCAAACCAGCGCAGATCTGATAAACCCTTTGCCGTCCTCCTCAACACAGGTAACCCAGACCCCCCTCCCAGAAATATAGAGTTAATAATTTAATTTGTTCAAAACCTTCCCCCTGCCCCTTCTCTCATAGTTTTAAAAAAAATCCTACTAAATTTGGGAAATAAGTAAGTTTTAAAGGCAAATAAACTGAAGAAAATATCAAAAACATTGGAAAAACTTAGTGTAAAATTTTCTACCTTCCCCTTCCTCCCAGTCCCAAGGCAAAAGAAATTTTATACCCATATACTTCCCTACGACACTATAGATAATTCATATCAAGCTTGAAATTAATTTAGACATTCTTCATGTTTATATGTCCTCTTCTTACCTCTTCAGTCTTCATTCATAAATTACAAGAAAACAACCAACAAAATTATTTATTCATTTATTTTCTAGTAGTTTTCTTTTATAAACATTAAACAATGAACAATAAACATGCATTTCTTAAATAAACCTTTTTGGTGTTGTAAATATATACTTCACAAGCATTTTATGCACTCTCACTTTTTCCTCAAAGAAGATGCATGAATTAATTATGCAGTTAAAATTAAAATTTTGAGGGGAGAATGCAGCTAGACTTGGTAGTTGTGCTAAAAGTGTAGTATTGTAGAGAAAAAACTAAAGTATTCATTTTATTCCAATGAAACATTTTTACGGGATTATTAAATAAGAGCATAAAGTCTTCTGTAATATTTCACCAGTTGTTTCAGTCAGCAGAAGAAACGTTTTTCACAATTCTTAAATAACATGAAGAAAACATGTGAACAAATTATTTTATAGGCTAATTTGCTATTTAGGAACATATTTCTCCAAAGAAATTATCAATGAAAGCCATAGTAGAACCGTAGAATCGATTATATCGTTATCATCATAAGCCGTCTCTGTAACTTTATTTGCAGATTTCTACAAAATTTCATCTTAATGAAGAACCTCCGACAAGCGACCCTAGCTGAAACCTGCAAGATTTTTAAATGAAATTGAAAACTTATTTTCAATGATTTAAGTTCACTATTTTTCTCAACCTGTTTGTATACATGCAACTAGTTACATGTTTTTTTCTATGTTATTTAAGAATAGTAAAAAAGTTTCCTTTGCTGACTGAAACAACTGGTGAAATATTACAAATGACTTTAGGCTCTAATTTAAAAAATTGTACACCGTAAAAATGTCTCATTGGTATCGAATAAATTCTTAAGATTTTCTCTACAATACTGCACTTTCAGCTCAACTAACATATCTACTCGGTCTCTCCCTTTAAATGTGAAAATATTTCTAATTTGCTTGAAGTTGGATGTGCCTGAGGTCGAGGAGGACGAGATTGAACTCCCCAAGGAAACCCTTGACAGGAGGGAGAACGTGGAGATCTGGAAATCTAAGAATGTGACTGAAGCCATAGGTAATGTTATTGGACTCCTCGCAGCAGCTGCACGGTGTGGCGCTGTGCCCTGAAGGCAGTCTGGGGGTTCTACGTTGGGTTCCCTTTCAGATGTACACTTGATGTGATGTGATGTGATGTGATGTGATGTGATGTGATGTGATGTGATGTGATGTGATGTGATGTGATGTGATGTGATGTGATGTCATGATGTGATGTGATGTGATGTGATGTGATGTGATTGCTTAGTCAACCACCTCGGGGGGGGGGGGGGGGTGAAAATCACTGCTTATGCATCTCAGAAGGTTTGTGAAAATGAATCTAGATTCTGATTCAACATTTTCAGATCTCTGTCCTGATATTCCTGATATGTTTTAAAACTTTATAATTTTTCCGTCCGAATTCTCTCAATACAATACGCCTTCGATTATTCAACTTAAAATATTTTTTTTTATTAAGAATTTAACCTTAATGATACACAGTTTTGGTATTTATATAAAGGTTTTTTTTTAACTGAATTTATTTTCTGTCCAAAGCAGTCCATCAATTTGCTCTCTCATTCCTTCCCTTTTAGTCGAGGACCACGACGTATACGGGACTGACGAAAATGAGGATTCCATGGACTCTCTAGTACAGAACGATGACTCAATGGACTCCCTTGGTATTTCCTCACGAAGGTACGGCTCAACTAGAAACTAGAAATAATAAAGAAGAAGCAATCCAATATTAATATTTTGTTATATAAAAATTTATTATTTTGATTGCGGTTTTTTCTTCATTGAAGTGACTTGCAACCTAGGAGAGGAACGACAATATCATATTTCAAATCTGTTAAAGGGATAAAGGGTGCCGGTGTGATTCGCGCATGAACTTTTTAAATTCAGGGTCACGTTAAACCACGCCGACAGTCACTTTTATTCAAGATAATTTGTTATTTAGAACGTCTCTCTGTGATAATTGTGAAGTAGTTCTTGTAGAATCTACTTTATCTCGCTGCTGCTCAAGATCCAGTAATCCTGAGAGTACTGTAGGTAAAAACAAGATAAAAAACTTGGATTCCAGGGCGCTTCCTGTCCAGGGGTGTATTTTTTCATTATAAATTATTAACCGCCCCCTTTTGACAAGAATTGTTGCCCAATTTAATATATAAACCATATTATTTATAAAATATACATTCCTGGAATATGGAACCTTGCCCCTCTTCCTCTTAACGTCAGTTAACTCGAAACTATTTTTTCTTCGTACACGAAAAAAGAGAATTTAAGATTTTCCCGTTTTCTATTTATGAATTTCCAATTAAAATGTATCATTAATTCTAGAAACCCCGGACGCAGAGGATACTCATCTACCTATCTGTGATCTGTATACTCAGGTGAATATCAATCAATCAGAGGGTTTAGATCTCATTCCCACCCTAGTTTGTAAAACAAAGACCGCTAATGGGGAAAGGCACAAATAAGTCCTTGCCCTGTCGCACGATTGAAAAACACCCCTTCATACTAATTCATTCAAAATTCTTGACATCATTTATCCCTTTCTACGTCATTCAGTTTATCTTTCCATCCCGCCCAGATCATGGGGGGGNTTACTATAGTATCTATTTTATTTGTATATTTCGATTCAAGTTCATCGCTCTTTCCATGGATTAACCAATCGATTCATTTATCATTGATTATATTTATTCTGATTTTATTTATTTTCATTCTTTTAGACCTGTCGTTCCGGTTCTGGTCGGAGCTACGAGGTCAAAACCTCCCAAACTGAATCCGAATATTTCCAGCCTCATTCTTCTTTATCCTCGCTCGCTACCATCCTCTCATCCTCATCTTCTTCTAGCTCAACCCTCATCCCATCATCATCATCCTCCTCCTCCTTGCCCTCAACATGTTCATCATCTAAACCGATACCTAGTTCTCTGACATGTTCCTCAGCCTCCACAACTCCCCTCATCTCATCCTCCTCACCCTCCATTCTCCCTTCAACAACAGATCAATCAACCTCTACAGCAGACTCTTCCTACTTAAAATCCAAACCAGCCTCTGTTTCAAATTCAAAAGCCTCCATGTCAATCTCAACCTCATCAGACCGGGTCCAGCCTCTAAAACAAACTGCCAATTTTCAAACACAGACTGAAGCTGAAAACTTCCGACCTAAACGGAAATCCGGTAGTTTTTCAGGTTTGTATAGGAATTCATTCATTCCTCCGTTAAAACAGAAGGGTATATATTTTCTTATAAAATTATTGCCTCCATTTAGAAAAGAAAACTCCCCTCATGTACTCTGCGTTAAAAATTAATTTTTATCGCGAATTTGGCTAAACTTAATGATTTAAATGGAGCACAAATATACTTTTGGGAAAGAAGTTATAAAATGAGTAGCTAGTAAGTTTAAGTCAAATTTTTAGCTCCCCATATTAGTTCTTTAAAAAATACCTCTATTAGAATATTCATTCATTCTTTTATATCAGCCGACCCATCATTCATTAATTCTTATTTGATTGGATTAGAGTTATTTTAATATTTAACTCGACATTTTGTTAATATTTCTTAATTTGAATTCTCTCCAAATAATTTAAAAATAACTCCTTCAAACATTTTAAACATATTTAGTTCAAATGTTTAAAATAAATATCAAACATTTCTTGATTATTTGTTCATTTAATATCTTGATGTTTTGCTTCTCTAGCTAGACTTGTTTATACATCTTCACTTTCCTTTGCCGTGTCTATTTATCTGTATCTATCCATCATGTTTCTCCAATTCTAGAACTATCCCTATCCTGTGTTCCATCTTTCTATATATATTATCTCCAATTCTTGAATCATCCCTATTCTGTGTCTCATCTTTCTATATATATTATCTCCTATTCCAGAATTATCTCTGTCCTGTGTCCCGTCTTTCTATATTCTTATATATTATCTCCAATTCTTGAATTATCCCTATTCGTCCCGTCTATCTATATTATATATTTATTATCTCCTATTCTAGAATTATCTCTATCCTGTGTCCCGTCTAAGAAACAAAGAAAACCCCTAGAACTGATGTCGGGAGACTCTACTCCTAAACCCTTCACCTTCACCACTGTCAGGTACAAATAAATTATTCAATTTAAATCCATCCATCAATTTTTAGTAGAAAATCAAGTTAAAAATCGATTAATTTAAAATCTATCCCCAAATTTTTTATGCATAATTCGATTTTAGATTAATCGATGAATTTTGTAGAAATAAACCAATTTGAAATCAATTAATCAAATTAAAATCAATCAATCATTTAAATAAATCAATCAATTTGGAGTATAAAAATCAACTTTTAAACAAAAAATCAACTTGCAAATAAGTAATCAAGAAATTGGTTTTATCGAACTCCCTTCAATTTAAACATAATTTTTATTGAAAATGTTAGGGAGACAGATTCCGGAGAAGTTGATGTTGGAGGGGATACACCGGATCTAGGTTTATCATGTCACAGGGTCCGGGACACCATGGACCTGAATAGCACACCTTCAGGGACCTCTACGGACCTGGATATGACTCCTCTGGGATCTGGGACCATTCTTCATACTTCTCACACTTCTAGCAATACTAGGTTGGTGCATACATATCCAGAAGGGAAGGGGGGGGGGGGGGCATAGATCAGCTAAAAACTATTTTGTTACGAATATCGAAGAATCAGATATGTCCAAATATTTGGGCTAGCTAAAATTTGGATGGGTTGGCCTTGGTTTGGAATGATAGAGGTTAACTTTAAATTCTTGTTTAGGCGAACTTCAGACTGTTTTATGGACTCTCTTAATATAGAGGTAAAGCATCTTTAAAATTTTGTTATTTACAAGATCGCAACTTTACCTTCATTGTTATACTTACAGGAAGCTCCATATTTATCTATCTGTGATAACACTGCTCCTACCTCCCCTGCCTCTCCCGAAGCTGCTGATGTCGAAGATATGGAATTTGAAGGACCTCTGAATCCGCCTGTGAATCCTCTGAAACCCTCCCCCCGGGCCCTATTCTCCCCCGGGCTAGGCCGTAATATTATACCGGACAGAGAGAATCCTCCCCAGGAGATACTAGATTGGGTCTCCATCTTCTCCAGGTACAATCTAGAACACCTGGTTGTTGTCAAGAGGCCGAATTTAAGAAATTTGAGACGTGGCTCGAACATGGTTGGTTTTACTTGAAATTTTTTCAATGTTACGAGATTTGAGCCGGTGCGCAATTGGAACCGATTTTTGGTGGTTCAGCGATGCGGTTTAACTTTTTAAAATTCGGCCTAAATTCACTTTATCGTGAACTTGTGAAGGTCAAGGTCTAGGTCATCATACCGTGAAGGTCATGATCATTTTACGTGAAGGTCAAGATCATTTTCCCTTTAAGGTCAAGATCATTTTCCCGTGAAGGTCAAGATCATTTTCACACAAAGGTCAAAATCATCTTCACGTGAAGGTCAAGATAATTTTCCCGTGAAGGTCAAGATCATTTTTACGTTAAGGTCAAGATCATTTTCAGGGCAGGACGGTGCTTCCTGCACCTTGCGGCGGTCTGGGGTCAAACATTGGGACCTCTTACAGATTTCAATCTTTAAAAATCAAATATTTTTTATCCGTAGATGGAGCAATGCAGAGAGATTAGTCGCAATCAATCAACTAATCAATACATGCGAGCCTTCTCAAGTCAGGCATATGATGCAGGTAACCTCAATCATCCAATCAAATAATGTAACCAAAATGTAAAAAATTAATTGTTAAAAATTATTTTTAATTGACATAAGACAGTTTTAGAAGACGAAACAGTCTTAAACAAAGTTCAAACGAATGAAAATGTATCTTGATATGAAATAAGAAAATGCATTAATGTTGGATTAATTTGACAGAAGATCCTAAAGAACATGTATTATATCATATCTGTTTGGTTCCATAGTAGTAAAGCTATCGTATAAGAATTCCCATTATTACACGGTTCAGGAGGAACAATTTTAATATTGTTCGCTTACTAGCGTTTAAGAATGCTTATTCTTACTCTGTAGGTGTAGAATTTTCATTCTTTAACGCTCAGACCGTGTAAGAATGGAAATTATTACACGGTCAGAGCGTGAAATAATGTATATTCTTACAGGCTCCGAGCATTAAAGAATGGACATTCTTACACTAGTTGAAGAATATTCATTCTTACACGCTCCTTATATTGATCTTTTCAGTATAGATCAATATTGATATTAACTTAATTATTTTGTACTGAAAACATGGACAGGGCAAACTCACCTTTTTTCTTTTACATTAATACATACAAACTTGCCTTTTTTAACTTAAAAACAACATGGTCACTTACCTTTTTCTTTTATATTAAAACATGCAAACTTACCTCTTTTACTTTGTATAACATGCTCACTTACCTTTTCATGCTCACTTACCTTTTTTGTTTTTTGAAGTATTGATATATCTTAATTCAGAAATATCAATTTGAATCTCAACCCTAGTCCTGACAGAAGAGTGGAAATTAACATTTACTGACCTTTCCCAAAAATATGGTCGATGCTTTTAGCCTTACATTAGACTCTTTCATCAAACTGCCGAGTCTCAAAGCATACTGCCCACTGCCTACTTATTATTTTTTTTAGTTCATCTTTATTGCAAACCAAGTTTGGTGATCTCTGCGTACTTGAAATAGTATGGTCAGAGATTTTCAGTCTGAGTCACCATATCTCACATAGTTCGAGATGATGAAGTGAAACCACAATCAAAACCAAAAAAAATATAAAAACTTATCATTGAAATATTAGTGTCACAACTTTTAATGGAGTCTTAGCACTCCATAGCAATGAAAACAAACCAGTAAATCTTGCTTCATGAATAAAAGACAAAGATCTTCATCAGTTCATGTCGAACTGATTCTTACTAGATAACCTGCTTTATCTCCTCTTTTTGGAAGATTTAGGATCTAATATCCAGAAAATGATTTCTTCTATAAATGAAGACACTATACCTTCTCCCCATCTAAAAAACTCAGGGGACATTAAACATACTGTATCTAAATGTAGTATCAACTTGAAAAAACGAGCAAAATCATTAGAAATTGGTAAACAAAAAAACTAAACTAAGGAAACAATCACACCACATGCATTACTTTCAAATTAAGTACCAATTTAAAATTAGAAAAATAAAAAACAGTGATAGTCAGAACAAGAGCATAAAACTTATTGCAACCTTTCATAATGTGAACTGTTCCAACTTGAAATAGTTGTTTTTCACCAGAATTATTTTTTACTATAATTTCTTGGGTATGTGCCCATGGAACCTCACAAATATGATATAATCATAATCTTATGAGGATAAAAATGTAATAATGGAATTCTTAAACTCGATGAAATAATCTCTGCGGCCTTCGTTAAAGAATACATCAAGATTATTTCATCTCGTTTAAGAATTTCCATTATTACATTTTTTTCCTCATAAGATTATCATAATATCTCGGGATAATTTTTAGGTGATTGAGCCGCAGTTCCAGCGGGATTTTATCTCGTTACTCCCTAAGGAGTTGGCACTTTACGTTTTATCCTACCTCAATCCTAAAGATCTTCTCAGGTAACAGCGCCCCCTCCCCGTATAATATGCGCAGTGTGAGAATTAGTGGCCGGTTTGGGCTTCTCAAGAAGGATGGGGGGGGGGGGGCTAACGATTTGTAGCAGGGAAAAATAATTTTGGGATAATCATTTACTTGTGAAATAGTTATCAATTTAAATGGTCAACCCTCGGTACTTCCCATTACAATGCGGATATTAATCACGGCTTTGATTCTAACAAACAAAGATTAATGATTTTCTTCTTGTATTGGGTGGGGAGAATAAATATTTTAAAGGATAAATAAATTTTTTGGCATTCTCCTTTCAAATTTTAATTCATCCAATCCTGGGTTTATGCCTGAAAATTTATACACCTGAATCTGGAATCGCAATAATATTTTTTCTGTTCAGAGCGGCCCAGACGTGCCGGTACTGGAGAATACTAGCAGAGGATAACCTATTATGGCGGGAGAAATGCCGGGAAGCAGGGCTCCAGGACTGCAGGGAAAACTACAGGTATGGGGCCAGTTATCAAGAAAGCTGATAGTTTTGACAATTTCATTGCTTAAGTTCCGGATCGCGGCTCCCTGTATCCGGATCTGCAAAAATATGCAGAGCTAGGGGGTTAAAATATCTCATAATACAAACAACAAAGCAGCAAACTCTATAGTCTTTGAAAGTTGATTTATCAATCGGAGTTTTAGGCGCGTCCTACTACCCACAAATTAAGTAGCGCTCTGAAGGCAGTCTTTGTGTTCCTTATTTGTAAACTGCTCACATTGGGTTCCCTTTTAGATTTAATTTGATTTGAATGAGGGATTGGTTTCCCCCTACGATCTCGATGTTAAATTAAAAAAAAAAATTAGAAATCCCAAATCTGATAAGCTATTTAATACGCCGCTGGACTGGAGCCGGAACCGCGAAATAATGGACTGGATCTAAAGCACTGCAATTTTTTGCAAAAAAAATAATGAAATGCATCCGTATCTAGGAGAAGAAAGTACAGCTCTGGGTTTACCTATTCTCCCTGGAAAACTGGCTTTATGCGCCAGCATAATATAGAAATGAACTGGAGAATGAATCCAATCAAATCTCCGAAGGTATGAACAAAATTTTAGTTTATTGATATATTTCTTTTTACTCCATTCACACTGGGCTGTATATTTTCGTTAAAAATCCCCCCCCGCCCCTTCATCGAACAGAATAAAATACTTGCCTTTTCATGTCGTAACTTTTAATTTTTCTCCCAAAGCATAACAAATCATTCTTAAAAATATATTTTCTTCATTCACTTTATTTTATGTCTTGATATGTTTTTTTTTGTATATGTTTTGTTCCTGAAGTGTTATGCTATTCATATAATATTTCGTTTTAACAATCCCATATTTAGGTGCTAAAGGGTCATGATGATCACGTCATCACATGTTTGCAGTTTTCTGGTAGTAGAATAGTGTCTGGCTCAGATGATAATACGCTCAAGGTAAATAAAAGATATTTCTAGAGGAAAAAAATTTAAATAAATATAAGATCAAACTGAAGTTTTAAATGATGGTTTATCCTATTGATGTTCAATGGAAATGTATAAAATTATAATAATGTCCCTACATCAGTTCTTTCCCCCTGCGACATTGCATCCCCCCTGGGACATTTCCCTATTGATGGTTCGATGGAAATGTATAAAATTATAATAATGTCCTTACATTTCATCCCCCTGCATCTGTTCTTTTCCCTGAGGCCCTGCGACATTTGAATAAATGTTGGACTTAAAAATCAAAATTAAAACATTGAAAACTAAGAAATTTTAATCATTAAAATGCGCCTTTAATTCATAAATGTAACATGAGAAGTGGCAAATGTTGCCTTCTCACATTTTCAAATTTTTATTTTTCCGAACATTAATATTTTTAATGTGTTTTTTTCCTTCAAGATACGTAGATAAACTATAAACATGGCCGGGTGTGTAATATTGCGTTTAATGTCTAACGTTAATTTGAAATAATCGCAGAAGTGAATGAACTAATGCACGACAACAGTAAAATTACGTAAAATATGTTTTTGATCTGTAATCTGTTCCTCAAGATGATTTCCAGATTTTTTCTTTTAAATTTTTTTTTCAATAATTTATATATTTGAAAACATGTAACCATGTAAGAGATTATTTCAGTGGCATTAACATATTTTCATTATCTACGCTAACTTCAAACAGAAATTTTCCAAAGAACAAAAGACAGAAATTGCCATCATTAGAATTAAAGAATGACAAAATCTTAATAATCTTCAGTTTGAATTAGACTTTTACATCTCAACTGAACGTCGACAGTACGTATGCAATGTTTAAAAAGAATATTTTTATGTAAGCCTCCAATTAAGAGATCCATTCACAAAGATGTCTAACTCCAATTTAAGAGATCCATTCACAAAGATTTCCTTTAACTCCAATTTAAGAGATCCATTCACAAAGATGTCCTTTAACTCGTTTACGATTTATCACTAAACCTCAGTCGTTTCGTAATCTTTATGAATGGAAATTTTTAAGTCTGTTCAATGAAAAATAATTTGTATCATTTCATATCTATAGTAAGTCCTAAAAAGATAAAAATAAGAATTACAATTATAAGAATTACAATTATAAGACGGTCCAGGAGGAGAATTTTTATTGATATTTGCTCCTCAGCCTAAAAGCTGAAGAAAACACAGTACACACTATTGTCTAGGTTTGGTCTGCAGGAACAGGGAAGTGTTTACGTACACTTGTTGGTCATACAGGAGGGGTCTGGAGCAGTCAGATGCAAGGAAACATTATAGTTTCTGGTTCTACAGACAGGTAAATTAAAGTTTCTGGTTCTACAGACAGGTAAATTATAGTTTCTGGTTCTACAGACAGGTAAATTATAGTTTCTGGTTCTACAGACAGGTAAAATAAAGTTTCTGGTTCTACAGACAGGTAAATTATAGTTTTCCCTACATCAAATGTGCCAACTCCACCATCCCCTTTAAGAAAATTTGACGGAATTTCTTGATCCGGGAGCTAAGCATACGAAACTATCTCTTTCATGTTCAAATATTCTTTCGTCGACTAATAAAATCAGTGTTTAGTTGTACAAAAATATTTTTATTTAAATTAAACACAATGACCATGTTTAGAAAAGAAGAAAAAAATCCATTAATCTAGGAACCTTTAAAGTAGCACAAGATCAGAATCCTTTTATTTCTCGGGAAAACAAATTTGTTTTGTTTAGGTCACGTGGCTGCAGTACGGTGTGTACAGTATGACGGAAGACTGGTTGTCAGTGGCGCTTATGATTATATGGTCAAGGTATAGTTGTTTATGTAATATCCTTGTATGTTGAATGTTAATAATAATAAAGATAAAATGGTGAAAAAATCAAACTTCATAATTTCTTGATTTACCAAATATAATAATCGTCTAATTAGGTTTTTATATTTATTCCTCCCCGTCCATTCTTAACTATTCATCTTTTTATATTCCGATGCAACCACTTTAAAACTGTTAAAAATAAATCACAACTTCTTTAAAAATTTACTTTTTGTTTGAAGTATTCATCTGCTGAGTGCTGTGCTGATGGTGTTTTTATCTTTTATTCAAATTATAATCTATTATTTAATTGTTTCATCTTTTTTCATAAAATTCTTTATTTTAATTTTCATTTCGGAGAATTTTTTATTTTAAGGGACTGTACGCGTAATTTTAGGGGACCCTCATGCAAAGATGACAATGCCCGAGTCACAACCATACACCTAAAAGCTTTGTCTTATCAAGTATGAGTTAGATGTCAATGTTAAAATTTTTGAAAACTATTAATTTTCAATTGAGGTTTCTCCGCCAGAGTGATTTGCGCATTTCTTCTGCAGGAAAACATATATGTTTTTGTTTATGTTAGGATTATTTTCAGGACTCCTGGCGGAGTATATAAGAAAATTTCCGATTGTTGACATGATATTCATATGGTTGCATATATCACATTNTTACATTTGAGATTAATTAACTCTTTAGTTACAGTTTACATTTGAGATTAGTGAACTCTTTAGTTACAGTTTACATTTTAGATTAGTGAACTCTTTAGTTACAGTTTACATTTTAGATTAAATAACTCTTTAGTTACAGTTTACATTTTCTGTAAATGGTCGACAATTTTATCCCGTAAGATGGACTCCATGGTTTTACAGACAAGGGAAGTTAATGAGATCGGACGATAGTTTTCAGGTTTACATTTAACACCTTTCTTAAAAATTGGGGTCACATTGGCTAGTCTCCAGTCCTCAGGGACATAGCCTTCATTCAAGGATTTGTTAAAAACTATGGCTAAAGGTTTACAAATACTGTTTTTTAATTCCTTGAGTATTGTAGAAGTGATACCGTCAGTTCCAGGAGAAGTTGTAGGTTTCATCTTGTCAATCTTCTCAATAATATCAGACTCATCGAAAAAAGTAGTCGACAGAGTTTCTTCACTTGGCAGCCTCGACAGGGTTGGGATGGGACCGTCCCCCTCTGCTGAAAAAACACTACTGAAATATGTATTAAGAATTTCAGTCATTACAATGTCGTCACTAGTTATTTCTCCGTCTTGCTTCAGATTCTGCACGTAAGAATAAAATGATTTGTTATGACGGCGAGATTTCTTTGCAAGCTGTTTTTCAAAGTTTTTTTTTAGCATTTCTCACTGCATTTTTCACTGATTTTTCAATTTCTTTATATTCAAGAAAAGATTCGTGTTTCTTTGTGGTTTTATAATGGTTATATGAATTGTCCCATGTACATTTGTTGAGGCTAGGAAAACGACGATATCTTCAACATCATTCATCAGAAAAAAGGCTTCAAGGGTACCGTTATGAATTGACATCTGTGCAGTGTGCATGGAGGGTCACTTGAAATTACACTTACAGTCCCTTTAATTGTTAACTATTTTTACATTTTTCCTCCTAAGGTTTGGAATCCTGAGAGAGAAGAATGTATTCATACCTTATCTGGGCACACTAACAGAGTGTATTCCTTACAGGTATATACCACTACTAGCTTGGGAACCCAGCATTGCCTAGGGTAGTCATAGTTAGTCGCACCTTATCGTAAGTTACGATTTTAGCTTTTTTCCGTTAAAATCTGATACTCAAGCTAAGAACATTCCCGTACTTCTCCCAAGTTCCCCAATCAAAATTTGTGGCAAATTGGTCTAGGGGTTCCTGAGTTATGATCTGACAAACAAATAACAGAGAAATTACAACATATGGTTTGGAGAAAAATTGAAACTGAATTATCTTCCCTTTTTTTCTTTTCCAGAATACTTAATGGAGAATCCTGTAGGAAACTAAAGTTTTAAAAAAGTAAATAGCTTTTTTGTTGTTTCTCGTTATTTATCGCTTAATACGTGAAAGTGATATTTTGAACAGAATTTTTAAAGCTTTCTTGCCCCCTAGCTTAGTTGAAGTCTTATCCACTGTGTTTTTAAATTTTATCTACAGAAAAAGAAGTTATAGTTACTTTATTTGGTGAATTGTTCGTAAATCAATAATTGTTTAAATTGTGGTTTGTATGGCTCTCTTATCAATGCACTGGAATTCTATCTATCTATCCTAAACAACTTTTGATCAGTTAACACTGAAGTTAGACTATTGTTGACTAGTTATTTAATTGATCCAACATTTTGAAATTTGTTGTCTTTGTTCACTAATTTTAATAGTTCATGGAATAACACATAAGGTTCAGTTGATCATAAAAAGTTAAGATTTCGAAATTATTTTGTCTAATATCGGCCATACAACTGACCATAATAATCGAATGTTCTAATTTGATTTTATAGATATTTAAACTATTTCTAGTTTGATGGAACCCACGTGGTTTCCGGAAGTTTGGACACGAGTATCCGAGTCTGGGACGTAGAAACCGGAAGTTGCAAACACGCTCTTATGGGTCATCAGTCTCTTACGTCAGGTATACAAAATCATCTCTAAATAATGTTGTTCAATGTTAGTTTATCAGCTGATCTCAGGTCGCCATAATGGAAAAAATAGCTGATTAAATGTAATATTTTATTTTTACTTATTTATCTCTAGGTATGGAGTTGAAGGATAATATCCTTGTATCTGGGAATGCGGATTCTACTGTTAAGATCTGGGATATAATTACAGGACAATGTCTTCAAACCTTGTCAGGTAAACAGCGGACTGATTGTCGTCTTCTTTCCTTCTTTGAATAATAGTAAATATTTCGAAATTTGTAAATTGTTATAACTGATAACTATTAAACAAACCACGGCCCGTGTTATTATCATATTCTGCATATAACAAACTCTTCAGCTTTATTTCATATCAAATAATAATTATTATTATTATTCAAATCTTTTTATTGATCAAAAGTACAAAAATAACAAGTAAATTATATATATATATATCAAATATAGGTACATTTTGATTTTAATATTTTACACGGAAAAAATGTTTATTTATGTGGGAATCTTGAAGATTTGGTAAATGACACAATTTTCATTTTTATTTTGAAGTTAAGTAAATTCAGTAATGACAGTAAAATGAGCTGACAGCCTTTAATGATTAATGATTAATGAAGGCTCGTAGGGATATGATTCCGATGGTTGAAGAAAAAATAGGAATAATAAAATACAATAAGAACAATAAGGCGATACACCATTAATTAGCAAATAGAGTCTCGTTTTGGAGTGTAACGAGAGGTGTTTTAGACATTAGCATTAATGATAGACCAATGTAGAACGAAAAAAATGCTTACAATGTACATTTTAAGGTTTTAGTGTAAAGTAAAGTATAAGTGGAAAAGATCATAAGCAGAAACTGTGACGGGGATCAGAAGGAATTGACAAAGAATACAAAAAATACAAAAATTGGAAAAATAAAACGATAAGGCGATTCACCGTCAAGTACCAGTATTATCTCTTTATGAATTGTTGGCGAAATGTGTTTAAAACAGGGTAGATTAATTATATGAGGACTAGTTGCATGAGATCCATGGATTTACATAATCTACGATTAGTATTTTACAGAAACATAAGATAGTCCATTATTAAGGACTAGTGAGAGGATATTTACTAGTTGTAGTGTATAAATGTCTCAAATCTAAGATCTTACAGTTCAATTGTTGTATTCAATTGATGGAATCAAGTATTCGAAGCATAAATATTTAAAACTCTAAAGCTGATATCTCTTCTTCGATCCTTGCCAGTTGTTGAGGATGCTGGAGGTCACAAGTACTGGATGCCTTACTCCGGTCTTATGAGAATGAGGAGTAGTTTTGCAAGTAGTGCAGTTGTATTCCGCCCATCTCAGGGGGGCAGAGTACATTCTTATAAACTTGGAAGAATTATGTCTGTGACGGATTATTTTATCTCCAGGTACCATGAAAGATGGATATTCTGAGCATATACTGCAGTAGTACTCGTCCTGTCTGTGCTTGACCCTGAGATTTATGTGGTTAGGTTTCTTGGATTGAATGAATGAACTTAGCTCATTAGATTTACGGTTCCTCGATATTTCTTCCATTTCCATTGCATTCAAATAATAATGACGGACATTTTTAAACTGACACGTAGTTGAATTAGACACGACAAGATCAAATATTTCTAATGATGTAAGATGTAAGATGGTTCAGCAATCTCATAGTTTTTTATTTCCAAGGGGAGAGAGGGGGGGGGTAATTCTTAAAAATATATATCCCATCATGAATATAAGGAGGACTATAGATTCCGTACATTCGTGTCTGTGGTCTCAATCTCATCCTTAGTACGCACCATAGATAAATAAATAAATATAGATAGCTTATGTACGCAAAATCAGCAAGAATTGTACAGTCCGCGAACTCATACTTCTAGGGGTCAAAGTGTACTTCAATGATAAGCGGGGTGGTTTGGTGTTTTAATGGATTTCATAGAATAGAGTGTAAAATAACTCCGGTACAAACGTAATCCAATACAGATTATATTATTATATATTATTTATTTATCTTGTTCCAAGGTCCTAATAAACATCAGAGTGCTGTGACATGTTTACATTTTAACAAGAACTTTGTTGTCACAAGTTCAGATGATGGAACGGTTAAACTCTGGGATGTTAAATCAGGTATGTATCTTATTTTATGGAAAAAAAAATCGACAAATTTCAGTGTAAAAATTGTTAATATCATTAATTGAAATTTTAATTATCAATAATTATTATTATTATTATTATTAATGATCATGATCTCCTACTCCTAGGGGATTATATCCGTGACCTCGTATCCCTGGAGTCTGGAGGATCTGGAGGAGTTGTTTGGAGGATTAGATCCTCTCCAACTAGGCTGGTCAGTACACGCACGCGTCTACTTAAAAGGATTGTTGACATAATTTCAAGTGACCCTCCATAAAGTGGCATGTCCGATTCACGACAACACTCTTTAAAGCTTTGTTTGATCAATAATAAATAAGATATCCATGTTTTTAACTTTGAAAAATTACTGTTTTTCATTTGTGGGTTTAATATAAGAGTGACTTGTACAAGGTTAAAATCAAGGAGCATGGAATAGATGGGAGATTCAACTGACGCGGCCCGCCCTCCCATATGATTATACATGCTTTGCATACGGTACTCCATTTGTATAAGAAATATTTGTCTGATGTAAAATTACCGCGTATACAATAATCTTTTCTCAGTTCTGAATATGTCTTATAAAAATGGAATATCGTCTGCAAAGCATACATAATCATATGGTAGGGCGAGTCCCGTCAGTTGTATCTCCCTTCTACTATTCCTTACTCCCTGGTTAAAATTAAGCACTTATAAAGTTGGGAAAACTAAGATATCTTGAACATTATTTATCAGATGAAGAATAAACTTTTCCTATTTGAAATAAGGCATGCCGGGCCCCGTTTAAAATTGGTGGATTACTTGAAACTACACACAGAGTCGTTTTAACATGGTTATTTAATTGTTAATGCTTGCACGGTAGACGTTTAAAGTGATTAATATAATAATATAATGCCATGCATTGCGGTCAGGGGACTCATGTCGGGGTCCTTTATAGATTCCTTTTTTGATACTTAATGCTGCATTGCATTGCATTGCAGTGCAGTGCAGTGCAGTGCAGTGCAGTGCTGCGGAGCGCTTTTAGACCTATCTATTTCTAGCTTATTCTTAAGCGATACCAACATCATGATTTTCAAAATGATCAATATATGCGCGCGCTTTGATTGCTTCTTTTGTTTTATTATATATTTCATTCATTCATTCCTTCATTCATTCATTCATTCATCCATTCATTCATTCATTCATTCACTCATTCATCCTTTCATTCATTCATTCATTCATTCGTATTTTTATTCAACTACAAAACACGAGATAATACAAATAAAATTTCTACTCTGAAAATATTCATGTTATTTATTTATGTATATTGTTAACAGTATTGTATGATGTAGGTGTGTGCGGTTGGTTCCCGGAATGGTACTGAGGAAACAAAGCTGTTAGTTCTAGACTTCGACTCGGAAGTTAAATAGCTGCCTCTACTGTACAGTGTACTGTACTGTACCTTTACCATGTACATCTTAGAACATCGTGCTTTTTGTACGAAATGAACACGTGGCGAAAAACGTGTTACCTTATTTCTTATCAGGTTTTGCGGCCTGCTAAGAAATCAGGGCGCAGTTATTTACTGCGCACTGTTCTTAAGTACAGATGACAGTACAGTAGCTCTCGAAACTGTGGGATCCTACAATTCCTCTGCATATTTACATTGATACATTCAGAGTTAAAGAAATGAGTTGATTTGATACGGTACACAATGTTGTCAGGGAATAATTAAAGGGACTGTCAACGTAATTTTTAGTGATTCTTTATTTAAAGGATTACACGCCAGATTTACAATATTAGCCTTTAGCTCTTTGATACCTAACTCTGCAAATCGCTTAATTGAGAACTGCAATTGAAGATAATCAATTTCTAAATCAGAAAAACGGGGAAAATGCATATTTTTTGCTGGAAAAAATGTTAAAAGGTTTCTATTGTAAATGTAGGGTCACTAGGAATTACGTAAACAACCCCTTTAAAACAAGATTGAACAAAACAAAAACCAATATCTCTCAAAATTCTAAACTTTTAGATCTTATTTTTATCATTTTATAATTTCCCTGTAAATTGTAATTTTTATAATTTCTGTTTAATTTTGATTTAGAAAATACTAAGAAATAAATATTTTTTTTTTGGGGGGGGGGGGTTCTTGCTGTTTTATTGTTTTACTTTAACTTCAGCACTATTTTACAAAACTGCCGTTTAAAATAAACAAAATTTAATGAATTGATTTTTCATTCTTTTTTTTCGGTAAATTTTTATGTTTTGGAATTTTAATCTTTTAGTCCAACCTGGAAAATAAGTAAATTTGATTTGATATTCTTACTCAAACGTATCTTCAATTATAAGTTATGTAATATCGCCTGTGTACACTTTACAGTGATGGATTTAGAATATTTATTTCATGTACTTGTCAGATTTTAGTTTATTCAATTGTGTACAATAGTTGTACATTGTACACACTGTCCTACATTATACTTTTATTAGTTTATTTACATTTTGCAGTACCCAACTGTACAAATGTTTCCTCATGTTCGTTTATCTATGATATTAATGTAATTGAGTTTATCATGCTCTACTGTCTTTCTTCAGTGTGTCCCAAAGAAATTAAGTTTTTAAAACAGTTTATTACTCCATGTTGTGTAATTTTTGTCTTATTTTTTATAATGGGCATCTTGGCATCTTATTTTTTCGAATGCAGACTGTAGTCAAGTCATTAAAAAATTTTATATTTGAACCGTTTAGGCGTTATTCAACTTCAGCTGAAAAAGTCATTGTGACCGCGGCATTTGCGATTTTTGAAGTACTAACGCGCTTTTGTCGTGTTCAGAATGATTTTTATGCAATCAAATTGTTTTTAATATCATCGAATTACGAGTACAACCAAATAAGTAATTTTGGATTTATGTCCACCATAAGTTCAAATCTGAAAATCTACAATATTCAAAGGCATTAATTTACTTTTACTATTATTATCTTTAAATAATATTCTCAGATAGTTAAAAATATAAATATAAATTGTACAAATTCTTTTTTTGGGACACACACCATGTTTTAAAAAACCTTCTTTCAGCCCCCTATTAATTATTTGCTAGATTTCGAACACACTCGACCGATCAAAATCGATAAAACTCGAATGTTTCAGAATGATTCTCCTTGAGTCTAACAATCGAATAATCGAGGAGACCCTGTCCTTGAAGATAAAGAATGTGTTGGGGAACCTCAAGCAGGAGGGGATCAGTATTACGGTGGCAGACTTCGACGGTGCCCTTTACAGGTATTTTCTAGAATTTTTTTATTTTTAGAGATCTGAGCTCATTCTACAAATTTAAATAGATGTAATGCAAATAGTGATGTTCGTTTTTGATCCGTTCAAATTTTTTCTCAGAAATTTTTTTAAAAAATTTTTATTGAAAAAAGTTAAATTGAACAGTAGAATAAAATATAAATTAAAATCACGTTTCTACGGTTTCTTGTATTCAGGATCAGTAACCCTGACAATGACAAAACCAAACTTAATGTATCAATCTCTCTCAAATTCTACAAGGTAATATTTGAACTTACTTGGCGGGCTTTTTAACATTTGATATGATTTACCAGTTATTTTGTCAACTTGAATTTTTAAAACCGAACACGAATTTGACGCAAAAATATCTGAAATAAGTTACAGATAATCTCGGCAAAATTAGATCAATGAGAACAAACATTCATCTGTAACATATGTACGTTTGGTTACCAACGAGTTTATAACCCCATAATTCTTTTCCCATCTTCTGATATTTCAAATTGATAATTTAATCTAACGATACATATATGATTGAAATATCAAAGGTTCAAGAACTCAGCTTACTTATTTTTCTGAAATGATTTTCATGTTGAATCTGATAAAAACCAGCTGAAATGATTTCCATGTTGAATCTGATAAAAACCAGCTGAAATGATTTCCATGTTGAATCTGATAAAAACCAGCTGAAATGATTTTCATGTTGAATCTGATAAAAACAAGCTGAAATGATTTCCATGCTGAAGCTGATAAAAACCAGCTGAAATGATTTTGAGGTTGATTCTGATAAAAACCAGCTGAAAGATTTCCATGCTGAAGCTGATAAAAACCAGCTGAAGTGATTTCCATGTTGAATCTGATAAAAACCAGCTGAAATGATTTCCATGTTGAATCTGATAAAAACCAGCTGAAATAATTTTCATGTTGAATCTGATAAAAACCAGCTGAAATGATTTTCCAAATATATGGTGTCAAGTTTGCACATGCGTTTTCCTGACTTTATTGGATTTAAATTCATAAATTTTAAAATTGATCAATTATGCAGTTTGCATAATTTAGGAATTGACCAAACATCGGTTGATCAGACTAAAATATATAAATTGATGTATTGTAATTACTCATTATTTAAAATCTCCTATATCAGATAGTATATACTGTAAGTGTAACTATACACGTATAAATAATACTAGATTTTGATTTTAAAATATAATTTAAGATAGTTGTTTTTAGCTTAGCTTGCAATTATTAAAATGAACTTCCTACATGAATGTTTGAAGAAGTATTGATTAAACAAGATATTTTCTTGTTTATATAATTGTAATGAAATTCAATACAGCCATGGGATTATTTTTAAGAGAGAAATTTAATTCTAGGAACTTGAGAAACATGGCTCCGACATGGTTCTGAGTAGAGAGTACGGAGATATGCTGATACAACCTGAAGAAGGTAGAATTTATATAGGGATATTTAATTTTGATTTTGAGGATCTGGGGTTCAATGAAAAGTTGCAAATCCAAAGTCAAGTTTTTTGGTCCTTTTTTATACGAATTACATATTACCCAAAATTCACATATTTTTCAAGTAAAGCGAATAAACCCGGCCCTTAAACCATATCTAACGTCTGCACTGGGTAAAAGAAATGGTTTTCTAAAAGGAGGGAATAATTTTGCAATATGGTTTGCTGGTGATTGTTGGTTAGGGTTTAATATTTAAATTCTATTTATTAAGGTTTTGATGTCACGATCCAAGTGGATCTATCTAATATTCCAGAAAACTGGGAAATTGTCGTCAAGAAAATAGGTGAATCATGTTTTATGATCTAATAATGCTATAACCTCATCTAACATCTTATCAATTAAAGATTCACGACTTGAATATCAAATCAAATTAATAAAGATGCATCTTATGCATCACCTCTGACAAAAAGGCATTAATTAGTTTCTTAACTGTGTGTGTTCTTAATGCACCCTGAGCTGAAAACTTTAGAATGAGATATTCTTAATCCCGGTTACTTAACCTGAGTATCCAATGGACACACTTTTGATTTTCTTCTTAAACCGTTCATTCTTGGATATAGTAGAGACAAATCAAAAACCTGTTTTTTTAATTGGAGAGTCCCTCCCGTTTCTAAATATAATCTTAAATGGCGCGCAAAATTTAAAATTTATCGGCTTCATATACGCGACGCTGATTAGTTGAATTTTATACACTTTTCAGGATACAAGTACAAGATTAGGTTAATCTGGATATTATGAAAAAAAGAGGATCAAGCACTAATCTCGATATCCACCATTCTAAAGTTTTCAGCTCTTACAAACTTTTTACTTGTGAGAAGTGTAGTGAGTGCAAACTCGGGAGAATTTTAGTTATTTATTTTTCTTATTTCAGGTCTTCTCAAGAGAAATTGTTTTGCAGCAGTTTTCGAGAAGTATTTCGACTTTCAGGTAGAAACATTTCTTCATTCCATTCATTATTTTAAAATCAGTATTTGCCATCAACCAATCATAATGTAATTATGTTATAGAAATTTAAATTTATGAGGTGAAATTTTATTATTTTTTAAATTTCCATTTAAAAAGTTCTTATCCAAAAAAAGTCGTGGCAAAGCATAGAGATTTATTTATTAAAAGGCAGTCTTTTAAAATTTAGTTAATAAACAAAATTCTCTCAAAATACTTTTATAGTAATGAACCAAATTTATACTAAAAGCTTGAATTTTTAAGGAAGAATTTGAAAAACTGTACGAAGTAAGATAAGATTTAAATTTAATAGATTGGTTTTCCCTTTGAAGTTTTTCCTTAGTGTAGATTAAAATGCTTATATTCATTTAAGACCTGAATATATAATTGTAGGAACTGTTAAAAATGAAAATAATAGTTTGTGTGAAAGTTTTAAAACTAATTGAATAACCTCAAAAAACATAAGGACTGGTACCTTTGTACTTGATGACCTCTGAGTGTATTGTCATTTGCTTCTCAGAACTGTATATTGTACTTAATAACCTCTGAGCGTACTGTCTGCTGCTTCTCAAAAATGCACGTTGTACTCTATAATTTTTGAGTGTACTGTTTCAATACTTCTTAAAACTGTACGTTGTACTTGATAACCTCTGAATTTACTGTCTCCTACGTCTCGTAACTGTACGCTGTACTTTATAACCTCTAAGTGTACTAGCTTCTGCTTCTCAAAACTGTAAGTTGTTCTTTAGAATTTCTGAGTGTCCTGTGTCTCCTCACTGCTTCTTAAAACTGTTATTCTCCTTCGTCTCAAAAATGTACTTTTTGTACATCTGATTCAGAAAACTGTACTATGTTTTGTCTCCTCCTTCTCAACCATGTACTTTGTACTCGATAACACCTTGTAATACTGTTATATTGTAATAACTCTCTAACTCTAATCCCCCGTTTCTTCTCGTATTTTGATATTATATAGTCATCACCAAGATAAGGTTTGAATAAAAGTCGTATTTGTTTAATCTGAAATGTAGCAAAAGGTACTGTAATTTGTCACGGTTAAGAGTGACATACAGGGTTACCCACTATGGATAAGACTGTAAAGACGACCTGAAACTCTTTAAATCTGACGATTCCAAGGTTTAATTAAGTTTTAAGGTTTAAGGTTTAAATAACTTATACATTGATTAGACAAAGAAAGAAACAAGTTTAGTATTGCAGAGAATAATGCATATAAGGAAACAGACAGTACGAATTCTGTAAAGTTGTCTCTAAAGTCTCATACTTTGTGAGTAATCCTGTATATAGAGGAAAAGATTTCCGACAGTTTTACATTTTCAAATCTGCTGGTGATGCTCATTGCTCATGACAGTGTGAATTTGTCAAAATACTCTCAAGAAAGAGATACAATACTGTTACTAACTATTTATTTGTGTGTTTATGAGAACTGTTCGTGAAAATAAAATGGGGTATGTGACAAATCATAATTGAAAAATGAAACGTGTGGTATTTTTATATTTAGATACCGTGTGTTTTTATTGATAATTCTATCTAACCAGTCCGCCACGGACCCTACAAATTCTGCGGAAACTCGGTCCTCGGGCAACATATTATTGCATTATTGCCCTGTACTGCTTTAAAATACAAGAGCAGTCCTGAAAATAATTAAGTGTCTTGTACAGGAAGCAGGAGAAGAAGGACAACAGCAGGCAGTTGTACACTATAGAGATGATGAAACTATGTATGTAGAAGCAAAGGAAACAAGATTTTCAATAATATATAACTAGCTGAAGTGTCTGGTGGAATTTTAGAAAAAAAATTTAAATCTCTAATTTTGAAAAAAAAAATTTGGAGAGAGAAAAAATTTTAGCACCTGTTAACCCCGGGATTCCCATAGATTTCCTCAAAATATTTCAGCCAATTTGGTCCAGCCGTTTGGCTAGCCAAATTGCCTGAAATTTAATACACCCTAGCTGCCAACATGTTTATAAGAAAAGGACGATTAAATAGGCTTTTTATTATTTACAGTTGTATTTCAAGTTTTAAATGGATTTTATTTTTTAACGTTTCTTTTAGAGAGTTAAAAATTATCATCGTATGTTGGTAGATGAAAAACGTGCAAATTGCCACAACATGATTTTAAATCTAGAAAGATGTAGAAGTGTCCACGTTTCATATTCTATTGAACTAACATATATTTGATATTTCAAGTCGGTTTGAGCTTAAAGAATATTTTCAACTCGGGGGACATAAGTTGTTGGATTTGGTCCAATTATAATGCCCAGTTTTAGAAATAGACTTTAGACCTGTTTTTGAATTGCTTTTTCTCCATTAGAGTGACTTTCTACAGAAAAAAAATTGAGACAATTTTATAAATTTAACTCCTTTCTGCCTTAACATTTCACATTCTATTCAAAATACATTATGGGATACTTCGATTGTTGATAAAATTGTCAAAATCTTTAAAATTGCCGTTTTGTAGAGCTGTGCATGGGTTCAATTGTCTTAACTGTACCTCCACAAATTCGATAAAATTCACCCAATTGGTTTTAATTTGTACATCAGATTTTGCACAGCTTGGTTGAATGATAATGAAGAGCTTCTGAAAATTAAATTAGTTAAGATCTTATTAATTTACAGGGTCTGTTTTCAGGTTTCAAGCCTAAACATGGACTATTTAGTATTAAATATATGTTATAATATTACAGTTGTTTAATATCAACGATATTACTGTTCTTGCATTACAGGACAAATACGAGAATTTGTTGAAAACTCAATTATCCTATTTCTCGGGCAAGGCACTCACTCAGAACAATTAAGCCTGGGTGGGCTGTGTGTGCAAAGAAAGGCTTTGAACGATTTAGGGAAAATCGTGCCATGATAACAATTTGGATTAATCTTCCAAAGCCATGAACATTCACTTAAAAAAGTTTCTGCTTGAGACAAGCTAAGGTATGTTTAAAATGAATGTCTGAAGTGTGGGTGAAAATTGAAAAATTTGTTATTAAATTTCTGCTTGAGACAAGCTTAGCTGTGTTCAAAATTAATATCTGAATTGTGCGTGAAAATTGAGAAATTTATGTTCAAAATTAATGTCTGAAGTGTAACGGGAAAATTGAAAAATTGGTTAATTAATTTTTGAAAATATTGTTCGTACAGTCAGACAGAGTTACTGTAATATTCAGCACAATTTTCAAGGTAAATTGTTTTTATATCTCTACTTTTTTATACTTTAAGAGAGATGAGTTCTCAAAACCTAAACTTTCATTTAATAATTTGTAAGTTTTCTAGCTTGCCAGCTTATTTAAAGTGTAGTACAGAAACTTACAAGATAGAAAAGTAAAGTTTTTTCATTCTTCGTAAATCAAAGATGAATTATGTATTAGTAAATTTTCGTATAGGATTTACTTATACACTAAATTTGAGAAAAATGGCGTTGTATTTAACAATCGGTATATTTTAAATCTGACGTATAACTCAACCGCATATTATGATATAAAGATGTGTTAAAACTAGGCTTTTATTGCGTTTCACACTTCCTTCTATAACCAATTTCTGCATTCTAATATTGCTTTTCAAGTCGACATATTTTCTTCTTAAATGTTAAACTAAAATTTTCACGGATTTTTTTTTAACATGAAAGGATTTCTTTAAGTTCAAACAATAGGCCTTTTTAAGGCAGACATTTTTATTTCGACCAAAAAAATTGGGCCCAATCGGTTTAGCTGTTTCGATGTTTTTTGGATACAAGCTAGCAGACAGACAACTTAGGGAAAAACTTTAGAAAGAAAAGAAAATAGATTTGATAAGTGAATATTTATTTGTTTAGGATGCTGATGATATTATATTGGGGAAAGTGTTCATGCAGGTTTGTTATTTTTTTCTAACATTTATTTAAGCTGAACACACCCCAACCAGGGAATAGGAATAAAGGGAAAGGAAATGGCGCTGGTCTGGCATGAGAAAGCCAGTCGCACTGCTTTGCAGACAAGTTCGGTAAACCTTACACACACTCATTTGTTACAGACACACAACATGACTACAGTCAAAGAAATTGCAGAACAATGTTGTCAATTATAATGAGCTTGAATAACGACTAGTTTATTGTAAACTTTAATCAAATTATATTCTTTGCATGAAAATTTGGCTTATAGCGTTGATTTAAATATATACTACATGTATGTTAAACTTATTTTTAAGTAAACAATTAACAATAAACAAATGAACTCTCCTAGACTGTACAAATACAGAGATTCGTATGTACTGTATATACCTACAGTACACGCCTCCGATTCGCTAATCTTTACACACACTCTTTTGGTACAGACACACACACATGACGTTTCCGCACCCTGACCCCAACTGACTTAATCTGAATCGTATCCAACTCACTTTTTCCGAATTGAACTCAATCCACAATCAAAACCGAATCCAACTCACTTTTTCCGAACCGAACTCAAAGAAAATCTAAACCGAACCAACTGATTTAACCTGAACCGAACTCCAACTTATAACTGCATAAAAAACTGAATTAATCTGAATTGATCCGACCCCAGCTGACATAATACGACCTTTTCTCGGACCGCATTCAACTGACAATCTAAACCGAATGTCATTAAATGTCAATTGTTCAGGAGTTCAAAGAGGGTCGGAAAGCCAGTGCCACTGCTCCTACTGTACTGTTTTCAAACAAGGTCAGATATTAGTTTGTTTATTTACAAAAAAACTTTCAGTAATGAACACGCAAATCTGAATTTTAAAAATATATTTAACATTCTTTAATGGGAATTGTAGACACAATTTCAAATAGAGTGGCATATTTGACTTCATTTGAGTAACATTGAGGAAGATATCGTTTTTTTTTGTGGTTTCTGCAGCACAAATACGCAACTCATTTTGTGTGAATTTAAACCATTAGTCAAAATCAATTAATTTTTTTATTACAAAAACATTAGTATTTATTCTCGAGCAGATTGTTTTGAATGTTACCTTTGTGAATCGACATTCCATTCTATAAAAAGGGTATGTTGAAATAAATTTTGTCTCCTGTTAAAGGATGTAAAGATGATGAAAGTTGCATTCTAATTAAATGTTGCAGGAGCCTCCAATGGGTCTGAAAGACACTAAGGCTAGAACAGGAGAAGGGGTTGGTTATATCACATTTGTTCTGTTTCCCAGGCACACTAACAGGTTGGACAAAGATTACAAAATACTTCTGTGAATCTGTTAATCTGCTTTCTAAGTGGTTTTTTTTGCCTTTAGAGATTTTTAGAAAAAAAATGTTTTTGAAATTTGAAAATATGCCTTGAAATAGTTTTCTGTTTTGAATCTATATGTGGATAACAATAATTTCATATTTTGTTCTTTAAACAAATTTTAAACATTTTTATTAAAGAATTCAAAGCATTATTTACCAATTTAAATGTTTGTTTGGTTGACAATAGTTTAATATTTGGTTCTTTATTTTAAACATTATTTTGAAGTAGTTTTTAGGGACACGTCTGATTTACCATTTAGTAAAATACTAAAAACATGTTCGTTTTCAGTATTTTAATTGTTTTTTTTTGTGCACAAATGTAACATCCGGTGCTAAGGATCCATTTAATTTTGATCCGGATCCAGGATTCCGCACTAGGAAAAAAATGGGTTTATTATTGTTTACAGTGACATAGGACTGTTAATAAAATAGTTAATTATAATTAACAACAATTATCAAACCCTGATTTCACAAGCCCGGCGTTCTACAATTTCCACCTTGTGTTCTTGTGTTTTGGTGAAGACGTATCTTAATATTCCATGTAATAACTCTAAATCCCTAACCTTATTTTTATTGACGTCGGTAACTTCTATTTTAGAGAAACCAGGGACAATACAATAGACCTTATCCATATGTTCCGTGACTACCTTCACTATCACCTCAAGTGTAGCAAAGCTTACATTCATTCAAGGTAGGGATTCAAGCAAGGAGTATTGAATATCAGGGAGAAGGAATTAACACGGCCCACCCTACCATATGATTATACATGCTTTGTTTCATTTGAATAAGAAATATTTGTCTGATGTACAAATACCGCATACATGTATACAGAATAGGTTATTGTTAAAATTGAAATAGGGGGAAAATTAGGCTGAATATTGAAGAACGCCAACAAATAAAGTTTTTGGGATGCAAAAACATTGGCAATACATATTACATAAGTATTTTTTTAATATAAAAATCGGTTTTATTTAATATCGTTAAGTGAAAAACCACGTTTAAAAAAATTAAAAGACTACCTTTAAAAAACTATTTTTTAAATGAAGACTGTCTGCAAAGCATGAATAATCCTATCCTTTGGTAGGGGGAGCTGGGTCGATTCCTGCTCCCTTAAATTCCATACTCCTTGGATTCGATACTTTTTTAAGCTAGAGCTCTGGGGTTGAAATATTTTACTATAAGAGAAGAATTTTGAACATTTCAATAAAGATAATTCCTAAACCTAGGGTTAAAAAACTTATTATCAGACGATACAATTTTTTTAAGCAATTTGTTCAAAATACATATGTTTTTTTTTGATTTTTTGCTTAACTTTTAAATTAAACACATTTTTCTTCTCAAAAACTCTTTTAATTAATTTTTGGATGCTGGATTTAGTCTTCTGTTCTTAATAAAATCTAAAATTTCATTATTTTAAGCATGTCTGTATTTATTAAAAAAAATTACAAAACAAAATAGTGTTGTTAACAATATAACACGAAAATGGGTAAATGATATTATTGCTAATCATCCTTTTCAATGATCTTGTTGGATTTATGCTGTTTTATTCCCAACCGCTTGCATCTGGAAAGAAAAAAATATATCAACCTATTTTTGATGACATTTTAAATTTAATTCTTTAAAAATGGTTGAAAATTTATACCTAAGTTGGTACATGTGCCACATTTGAGTATAGAGCAAAGGGAAGAATCCAAATAGAAGGTAAAACCGGATTAGGTTCGGGAAGTAGAATGCAAAGTTCCATCTAAATAATAAATAAGATTAGATCGTTTTTACAGAATTTTAAAAAAGTCCTTTAAACATTACCTGTTTGGAAGTAGCACTGAGAACTGTTCTGTTTCTTCAAAGTATGGAATGTTTCTTAGAGCAATCACTCCCTCGCAAATAAATCCAATAGGGTAGAGAGGAATCCATATGGTGTACCTGAAAAGGGACCATTTAGGTGATTTAAACGAACCTTCATTGGTACCCTTTAAACATGTTCTTTCATCTGAGTAACAATGAGGAAGATATCGTCGTTTTCTAATACAAGTTCTGTTGATTTCTTTTGTTTCTGCAGCATAAGTAGCAAACCACTTTTGAAAGAAAAGCCCTACTAGTAAAATATAGATATCTTCCATTTCTGTTCAAACAGAGTGTTGTGTTGGACATGTAAATCTTGAAATAACAGGGTCGCATGAAATTGCGTCAACAGTCTCTTTATGTCATAAAGTATTAAGGTTTGACATAATTTTATTCTACTTTGTAATGAAACATACCTGAGCCAAGTAATAAGTCCAATATCCATATCATACACTCTGATTAAAAAAGAAAACTTGAAAAAAGTAAAAAAGACAAATTCATAATAATAATTTAAAACTATTTTAGAGTTATTAGAATTATTTTTTTTCATGTTTTCTTCCTGAAGAGATAGTAAGGGTATCTGACAATTTCCACACTTGAGTAGGTCATCAGTAGATAAAACACAACTGGCTACAAACAAAAATTTAATTTATGGGTTTGAAGATTAGAGGTGCAACTTTGGTATTTTGTTTGAGTGGTCTGAAAAGGCTTTCCACGGCTAAAATATTTTGAAAAAAGAAATCATATATTGATAAAGACATGTCATTTTCTTCTATTTTAATCCCCACCTTGTCCTGCATCCGGGGCTCTGAGTCTATCAGTAGGAAGAGGAAGATAAGCCTACCTCCAACTTGAATGGTTGCTTCATACACAGATCCCTGACAAAATTATGTTTTTCAATCAACCCTTTTCATGTGGCTTATTGAATTTTAAATTTTACCTTAGTGTAGCCAAACAGAGGATTTAAAATCTCCAAAATCATCAACAATTGAAGAAACTAAATAAGACATGGTTTTAAATACATTTTTTTAATTTTGTCAATTCAATGTTTTTGTTTTTTACCTTAAATATTCCTCCCACTGTTTCAAATGCTTTTGGCACAAACTCATCTGGGTTCTGAATTAAATGGTTAGATTAAACAGTTTTTAATTTTTACACAAACTGTAATAGAAAACAAGGATAAAGAAATAAGTTAAGTGTCACCTTTGAATAGTTGAGAGTAAGCACAAGGAAAGCGTAGAGAAACCCACAGAACATGAAAATATTATAGCAGAACAAATATATCCTTCGTTTGCTTTCACTTACAAATCCAAACTCCTCTTTTTGCAGTTTTTCATAAGCCTCAGGGTACTGAAAATTGAGTTTATCAGCCATGAGTTCTCTTAAATATTTGTAATGGTTAAAAATGATCATAATAGGACTGTAATAGGTCACCTTAGTTCTAAGAATATCTTGATAAGACAGATCTCTCTTGAGCTCATCCTTCTCCTCCTCTGTATCAGACTCATTCTTTATCCGGTCAAAATCTACTTTCAACCAGGGCAGTTTCTTACATACAAATATTTAGATTAAAATGAGTTTATCTGAGCCGGGAATTTAAATTAAATTTATCTGAGCCAGAAATGAAATATTAAGATTAAATGAAGTTTTTAAGTCAGAAAAAAATTTATTATATAAAGGGAGACTAAGCGTAATTTCAAGTGACCCTCCATGCAAAGAGGGCAATGGTCGATTTACAACAGTACCCTTCATTGAGTAGAAAGATCTCTCTGTTTAAACATATGGGAACCCGCTTGAATCCCGCCTGTATGCTGTGTACAGAGTAACCTCAATGCAGCTGATCTGTTACTAACCCAACTCAAAGTATTGACTGTTTTACGTAAAAATGCTGTTTTCAAAAATTCAAAAGTAAATTTTCATTTTCTGCCACAAACATTACTATTGATAATTCTTAAATATAGAACAGCTTGCAAACTTTGTGTTTAACAAATAAAAGCGTTTTATTAGATTAACATAGATATGTCCGACATCCTTCCTCAGTCAAAGGTTTAAAGGGTACATTGTGAGTCGAGGATGCTCCTTTTTAGTTTAATCACTTGAAATAAGGTTTACAGTCCCTTTAAGATTTAATTAAATTCATCTGAGCCAGACGTTTTTCCCTCAATCTCTCTTTGGTTGTATTTCAAAATTTCAGTGATAACAGGTTTATACTTTTTTCTAAAAATTGTATGATATAATCATAAATTATGAGAAATCCTACCTGGTGTGCATAAACAAGTCTAGGCCACCAATCGGACTCTTTTTTCTTTAATTTAATCCTCACTTCTCTATCATTCACTTCCAGGCTTCCTTTTATATCAGAATTATGTCAAAACTGAAGGGAAAAACACTTGATAATTATAAAATTTTAAACCTGAGTCTTTTTGAACTGGAAGGAAGAATTCCAGAACAAAATGATAATTTACTCCTTCTCCCTGACTTCCGGTCCCTACAGCTGCAAACTCGATCTCTTCCTCCTCTAAAATAAGTTCTTATTGAGAATTTTTATTTTTACGTTAAAAATTACTTAATTTTTATCAAATATTTTTGTATTTAACTAGGCTTTTAGGGAGTTTCGCGCCCCATTTCACTATAACAATTTTAGCTGTTAACTTTTTTTTCAGCTGTCATTTTGCTATTTAAGTCATATTTTGCTGATCTTTCTGTTGAAATTTGCACATTTTCTAAAATAAAAAATGTTAATATTTTTTCGGACAATTTTTTTTTTTTTATATATTCAATGATCGTCGTTGGGGTCGTGTAAGTTGCCACACAAAATGTAAGCCCGATCAGTTTAGCCCAATTGACGATTATTGGACACAACCAGACAAGCAAAGTATATATATAGACTTAATCTTATTTCTAATGAAACTTAAATTCTCAAGAAGAGAATCTGAAAAATTTGACCAAAATTAAAATTTCTAATTTAGATATTTGGACGAATTTGCAAATAACTTTTAGATTTTGATTAAATTCAATTTCTGAACAATTACGAGTTTCTTTAAAATTTTGATGGGAGTAAAGAAATCCCTATAATGAAAACCACTTCTTTTATAAATTACTGAATCCTCTCTTTATCATAAATTATAAAGATTATAAAAACAAAATCTTCAGTTTCACAAAAAAGAGGTTAGTCTTTTTTATATTAGGACGTGAAACATACCTATATTTATATTGGGATCCACTGTATTTTTAAGATCTACTCGGAGGAGAATTTCTTCCTCTATATTCAAAACTTCGAAACCAAAAAGTATTTTTTTGCCATAGATTTTTTTCCCTCAAATTTTCTATTTAAAAAATAATTAAATTTTCGAAGTTTTCCCTGACTGTGCCCAGTAAACAAACGGAGAAAATGTTTTCCCCATTTTCTTATCAGTAACTTCTGAAGTACAAAAGTAGGTTTTTGGTAACTAAGTATATACAAACTTATTAAAGGTGAAAAGATATGACATGATAGATGATTTTCACAAACAAATTTAAAATATTTAATAATTTTATTTCGTTTTCCTTATTTCAAAGTTAAAAATAATTTTATATTAACATTAAATTTGAGATATATTATTAGTAATATATATTATTATTATTACTATTAAGAAGAAATTGTGCAAACAAAGATTTTTGATTTTGAAAAAAGTTATTACTTATAAGAAATATATTTTGAATCATTGACAAAACAATATTAATATTTCTGCTTAGTTTTAAGTTTCAGACTTTACACAGCTGACTAGAGTGAGACTGTATACTGGTCGATACTGATAGGGCAGGGTAGAAGTGGGGGGGGGGGTGACGGTGTCCTAAAGAATTATTATTCAAAAAAAATTTAATATTTTTATTTTTTTTTCAATTCGGTCTGTTTACTCAAAATACTTAGTGTAACAAAAGTAGTTCAAAACTTTTAATTTTTAAACTTTAGTCCCCAAAAATCCCCCTTTTTGTGTTTCCAGGCTTTCTTTATGCCGGCTTGGAAAGGGAATTTACGGAGGTGAAAAAGAAGGGGAGGTGCAATACAGGGTTTCAGGGATTTATATTTTTCCGGATTCCGAAAGATAATATTTCATGCATGTCCTTGTCAATAATGTAGTTAGTTGATTCTCACAAAAAAAAGACAATTTAAAATTTTTTATTTCAAATCTCGGTATAATTATAAATTATTACAATTATTTTTTTTGTGTTATATTTTTATTCGGCTATTTTTCTTCTCTTCCGGCTATGATTTTACGTACAACTTGGTTGGCTGGTTGGTTCATATTAGATTTAAATGCATTATTTAACTATGGTTGGGGGATAGATGCATTTATATCGACGCCATCTTTCTTCTTAGTTTCAGTCTGTCTGTATAGTGTACACTTTACGCAGTAGTATTCCCGCATTTGAAGAATTTAATTTAGGAGATTTAATGATCTCGCAAAGAAACATCAACTGATCGTTTACAAAACATAGTGACAAATTTTTCTTAACGGATATCATGGACATGGAGATTGGAGAATGGAGATCAAGTTTATACACGGGGATGTTTATTTCTCCAAATTTTTAGGGGGAGGGGGGGTACGTAACCCCAATAACCCCCCTTATTTACGCTACTGTATAATTTTATTAATATTTAATAAGTATTCACGTTTTACTATTTAGAATGCGTGCAAAGACGAGCGATTTTCTGAAGGTGTTAAACCGAGCCAAGATCGAAGAAGAAGGAAGAAAGAAGCAATCCTACGCTGGGAAAACGCAGTTTATATAATTAAGAAAATAACAAATAATCTTCCAAAAGTTATTCTTCTTGTTGCAACCCACCAGACGCGGGGAATTTATTAACCTTGTTTTTTGTTATTAATTAGTGAACAGCTCATTTAATTTGTTTTCTTCTTCTAGGCTTGCATTCAGTCAATTGTGAATATTTTATCCAATTTTTATCAAAGCTTCTGTTTTTATTTTTATTTACTAACTGTTCTTGATTTTTAAACTCGGAAATTTTAAGATTTAAAAGAACTCCTTCCCTGTATCCCTGTATTTACACATCTGTGATTTTATTTAATATTTGAAAAATTCATTACCAGATAAAATGGTGAGAAAGAGACGATTCTAGAACTGTTGTCAGAAGAATATAACCAACCAAAATAAGGATGACTACGCCGGCGCCAACCTCGGCGGACGCATGTCTTTCTATTGTTCATAGTCTAATGTGCCATAGGTGAGATTGTGCCTAAATCGTATTGTAAATTTTTGAGTAATATAGGTGAGATTCTGCGTAAACCATATTGTAAACTTTCGAATAACATATTTGTAATTGTGCGTAAACCGTATTGTAAATTGTTGAGTAATATAGGTGAGATTCTGCGTAAACCATATTGTAAACTTTCGAATAACATAGTTGTAATTGTGCGTAAACCGTATTGTAAACTGTCGAGTAACATAGTTGTCATTCTGCGTAAACCGTATTGTAAACTATTGAGTATAACATAGCTGAGATTCTGCGTAAACCGTATTGTAAACTGTCGAGTAACATAGCTGAGATTCTGCGTAAACCGTATTGTAAACTGTCGAGTAATATAGGTGAGATTTTGCGTAAATCGTATTGTAAACTCTTGAGTAACATAGGTGAGATTTTGCGTAATACGTAATGTAGACGTTTTTGATTGTTGGTACAGGTGGATTTTGGGGAGCCCCTGTTAAAATTAGGAGCGCAAGAATAGAGAGGAGGCACCTTCCAGCCATTAGAATAGATCCGAAAAATTTTCTCTGCGGCGCCACTTTTACATTCAACATTAAATTATAAAAATCCGAAACTTGCGAACACATTTTCCACCTTTCAACCCAAGCTGGTCATAGTTTTGACATAAAATTTCTCTTGGTGTTTAAGTATCACCCTCCCCTATCCTCTAAACTATCTAGAAGCGTAAAACTCCTAAAAGCGAAAGCACTGATTTATTAACAAGCTAATTGTCTGGCACGCAATGAACTTTTTTATTTTCTATTTCAAGACGGATACATTTCAATTATGATGTGACTGCTCATTGTTAAACTATGATGGTGCTTGTTGTTTCTTTGTTTATATTTATAAAGGATTTGGGGGACATTTTTATTTGAAAAGGTCAAAAATTATCCTTGCTTCCAACAGCCCCCAAAACAACAAACAAAAAATATTTGTTTTGAGAACTATTTCAGAGTATAATTCGTGAATAGGGTTAAGGAACTGCAAGCGTATTACGTGTAACCTTCCATGCAAAATAGCAATGCCCGAGACCTTAATCTGATCAATAATGTGGAAGATGTTGTTTTTTCGGACTCAAGGTGTTAAAATGTGATAATTTCTCAATTGTTTCTTATAAACAAGAAATGGGGAATTAAATTCAGTTTTGCAGAGAAAATTGTTACAGATGCGGCCCTGAATCATATCTGTATTTCCAGGCAAGGAGGGGAAAGTGAAGCTTTCAGTAAACGTGCAATTGAGTCCCTTGTCAAAAAATTAAAGGTAACGTTTTCCTTGAATTTGAAATAATAATGTAGACTAAATCTGGGCAGAAACTTTATCAATTAAACTTTGTGTCCTGCAAATTTAAATCAGTCCGATTATATTCATGTTTAATTTTGTATTGAGAATTATAGAGTGGCCTAGTTTTTAAATAAACAAATATTTAGATGTAGTTAATCTTGGTTCACATGAAACCTAAGTAAAGTATAAATAGTGTTTCCCACAAAGGATGATACTTCAGAATCGAAACAAATTCACGATTTTCCTCAACTGTGAACTCATTTCCTTCTTTGACACATCATAAGGGAATATTTCAGTTAACCTTGATATTGTCATTTTTTTTTGATTGCAGGTCGTCTAGCTTCATAGTCTTATCCGGATAAACCGGTACCTTTCCTCACGCCACCTTAATGAGGGGAGGAAGGCCAGCTACAGCAGTGTCTAGTCCGTAGCTGAAAACTTTAGAATGGACGTCATCCACTTAATGGCTTAAACCACTCTTTTTCTTAATATCCAGTTTAAATATTGCTTGTTCTCCACATGAGCTCGTGCCACATTGTCCTAATTTTCTCTTCCGAGCCACCTTGTCCTTTTAATATTATTATTTTGAAGTGTTTAATCCCCAAAGATAAAACTATCTTTTAAGCATCGGGCCACGTTGGGGCATAAATGAATATTTGTAAATAGTAAAAAAATAGTTTCAATTGAATTTAAGTTTTCGAGTTCAATGTCCTTGACATTTTTACCAAATATTTTGGTTTTTATTTTTGACATCATTCCCATGGCTTTAGAGATTCCAACATGATGTAACCATTGCAATAGGCAGTCTGGGTTGCCCAAGATGGGGCTTCTTGCAGATCTCATCTCACATAATCACATAATCACACACTTAAGTCTATCCATATTGTATGCCCCAACATGGCCAGATTTAAAATTCAAGAATTAGAAACTTTAAAACACATAATAATCGAAGGACTAGGATTTCGAGGTGGCTCGGTAGAGAAATTGTTGTGGCTTGCCTTTCTCCCCTCCCTTATTTCCGCGGTCTTCTTATTCTCGAACTTTTCAGGAGAAGCGTGACGAGCTTGATTCCTTGATCACAGCAATCACTACAGGTAAATAATCTCCTTTTATTTTTAATTAAAAGCAATCGTAGAAAGTTACAAACTTCAAACCCGGGTTTTGTAATTCTGTTCAAAACTCCTGTTTTCAGAAGTAAATTCCCAACTTTTGTAAACTAGAGATGTTTTTTCTAGATTTATTATTAGGAGGGTCTTGTCTTTATCCTATTAAAGGAATATTGAATATTTTTAATGCAACATTTTAACTACTAGGCTTTTAGGGGGCTTCGCGTCCATCTTCCATTTCAATTGTAAACACGTTTTCTTTTTGTACAATGTAAAACAAAAACTTAACAAAATTTTGCGGATTTTTGATGGTGGCATATTTTTTAAACTTAGATCAACCATAAACATTCCTTGGAGTCACGTGAGGTCCCACAAAAGAAATAGGCCCGATCGGTTCAACCGTTTTGACGTTTATTTAATACAAACATAAAGACAAACAAATAGACAGACAAGCAAAGTATATAGATTGATTTTGGTTAAATTGCGAGGGAGATAATATCTTCTTTTGATTCTCAAAAATTATCTTAATTTTTCGTTATTTTTGAAACCTTTACCATTGAGTATATCTCTAAAATTGAATCCGTCGAAATTTTCTTTTATGATGAAAAGGTCCAAAATAAGATTTTCACAGAAATTCTGATATTAATATTTCAGGTGGGGTCCAACCAACTAAATGTGTAACTATACCCCGAACTTTGGACGGCAGATTACAGGTAGCAAATAATAAACACTTAATTTTTGGAATCATCAGTATCAAAATCAGAATCATCGATACTTTTTTTTCAGCATTATCCATCGGTTTTCTTGTTAATTTCATGGATTTTATGATTATTTCCATACATTGGAATACTTACTATTGAGTCTACAAATATGATGAATTTAAAGTGCTATAGTTTTAATTTTGATCAATGTTTGCCAGTGATTTTGATTTTTTCATTTTGATCTGACCGGGGGGGGGGGGGGGTGGATTCATACTCAGATCTGGATTCAGCACAAGAACATTCTATATTAACAGAAATTAATGTTTTGTAAAAAAAAATAAACGAATAGGGTTAAGGAACTGCAAGCGTATTACGTGTAA